GCCCATCCTGACACTCAGTCCTGGTTCAGTTCTGGTTCAATCCTGTTTTAGTTCTAGTTCAGTCCTGGTTTAGACCTCCTGGTTCAGTCCTTGGATCAGGCCTGGGATCAGTCCTGGTTTAGTCCTGTTTTAGTCCTAGTTCAATCCTGGATTACTCCTCCTGGTTCACTCCTGAGATCAGTCCTGGTTTACTCCTGGTTCAGTCCGTAAGGGTCAAAATTGGATGAAACATCAAACAACTGTTATCCTTTTTTTTGTGTTATTCATTTAACCAAAAAATCGAAAACTGAAAAAATGAATTGTTATCTGTTTTTTTTTTTCATTTTGGTTTTGGAGACAAATAATGAAGAAAATAGTTGTTTTTTCATTTTCTTGTTTTTGGTTTTATTTTAAAAAACAAATGATACACAGATTCTTAAAGCTCACAAGAGTCAGTTTTGTGTAATATTTGACCTTTTATGGTATTTGTGGAGATAGGTTAAGTTTAATGCCATGCTGTGGAACATTATATTCAAAACAATTACATCTCTATTGAGACAAAGTGATGTGCCCTCCATTAAGTTATATAGCTTTTGTCATAGCAACTCTTAAAAGTGGTGTTTTTGCTAAATACCCCACTAAACCTTACACTTACTACTTTAGGTCTGTTCTTTCTTAGCGTTTTTCATCTTAATGACTCTACCCAAGCATTTAAGTGATATATTTTTTGTACTGCCCTGTACTATGAGGCTCTTCATCTATCCTTATCAGAGTGACAGCGAGAGCAGGGGGCAGCCATTTAAAATAATGTCAAACAAGAGAAGAACAAAGGCGGCTGAGAAGAGATCGGCCTCTGTATACTGTAAGCACGGTGTATATTTTACATCAGTGAGTTTCTTGTGGTTATATGACGTTTAGTGGTACATACCTTTACCACCTACTTGTCTCCGTGGAGATGTTATTTCTTAGAATGTTCCACAGTACAGCTATATCTTGCAGTTTTTCTGGTATTTTACTGCTACTGACAAAGAACGTTGCATGGTGGCATCACTTATCTTTCCCACAGAATTGGAAAAGTTTTATGCCACACTGAGTTACATTCCTGTCAAAGTAGTAACATCTCCATGGGAACAAGCAGATCCATCAGAAAAGTTATATGATCTTCAAACCTTTTCTTAATTCCCCCCACTGAACCTTTGGTATTCTATATTCTCCATCTTTAGTTCAATACAAGCTACTACTAGAGCCACTACTATTACAGTAGTACTTGACACCAGTCTTTTGCTATTTTTGCTACTTTTTGGGCTGTTGTTCTTCACTCGTTTCTTCTCTATTATTCTTTTTACCTGCAAACTATCACGATTTTGAAGGCCTAAACATCACCGAAAAGTCTCCAAACCCAAATTGCGACAACGCCCAAAGTGACTCAACTCAGCAGCACCGTCTAGAAGTGGACCCCTATGTGACTGTAGACAGGCAAAGTTTGGTTTAGGCAAACAAAAATTTGGAACAGTGATAGCGAGCAATAAGACAAGCCAAAAGTAGAATTGGCGGATACCCCTATGATGAATGTTAGCTATACTGGTTCAGAAATCCACCACTGCTTTGACTGCGTGTTTGTAAAATGTTACTAGTCCCTGTTTTTTGGTCCAAATTAGCTCACATTTGGCACGTCACATCTAGAGACATAGGTTCACAAAAAAATATATCTTTTTTTTTTTTTTTTTTAAATATTCCTTAAAGTTTGCCCTTAGCACGCCGATGAAAAACACCGTCATTACCTCTTTCCCGTCATTACCTGACTTCTCACAGCCACAGGCATTGGTCTAGCAGGGGTCTCAAATTAAATTTTCCTCAGGGCCAAAATATTTCCAGACTGCAAAACCGGGATCCACAAAAAATCCGCCAGTACACAATGTTTTATTTGACAAAATACAACAGTAAAATCAACAACTGATCAACAATTTTAAATCCCACAACAACTAACTAAAAACTTAATTCATCAAAAGCATACAATGTTTCTTTTTCAGTGAATAATGCATTTGATGGAAAATCTCAAATTGTGTAATGCAGATTAAAACAGTACCACAGCAGAACTGCATTGTAAACATAACCAATGAAAAATCTATCTCTTTAATGAAAGAAGTGGCACCGATATGAAGAAGCTATTTTTCTGAAATCTGGCTTGTAATGTGTGGTAGCAATCTTCAAACACTGTCCAAGGTGCACATCTGTCAGTCTGTTTCTATCCTGATTTTTAATACTGTTCATGACAGAAAATGCTTCACATAGTATGTAGGTAATGTCCTGCATGTAGCCTAGTGTGAGAAATACTACAGTCGGACTAGATCCAAACCCAGACTCCTGACCCAGCGGGAGCAGCTCTGGTGTGATATTGTTGCTCTTTTGAGGACTAATTTAAGATTTGTCAGAAAGTTAAAGGTGCACTGTGTTAGGAGGGTCTGGCATTTGCTTGCCTCCATGGTGATATTATTGCTTTGCTAGGCATGTTCCACAATATGGCATTAAATAAGTATATCAAGATTTTATTCCATTACAGGTGCTTTCATTTCTCAAAACTACAGCAAAAATATGCATGATTACTGTAAGTTAAGGCTCTGCAATTAACTGAATTTTGATCTGGATTTTGTTTTGTGTCAAATGATCCCCAAACTATAATCAAGTTGAAATGAGCTTAACAAAGTTTATTTTGGGATATTTTTTTTTTTATATAAATAAGTATATTTATTTATTTTTAATATAGAAATAGTACAACAGCTAGATATATAGTTAATTTTTGATACATTTATGTTTTTCTATGTCTTATTTCATGTTCAATATTTTAGAACTGCTTTAAGGTACATATTTGTAGCCTATATTTATTTTCCTTTTGAATGTTTTGGATAAATTATCAATAACAAAGTTTTTTGTTTTGTTTAGTTTTGTTTTTAGAGAGAGAAATGCCGAATAAATGTCATGTAACTAAAAATAATCGTTTGAATAACTGAGATTTCAATATTGACCAAAAATAATCATGATAATGATTTTTCCATAATCGAGCAGCTCTATTGTGACTAGATCCACTTCTCCACAGATCTGACCTGTAACTTGTGGGCTGTGTGCACTGTGCAACTTTAAATTTCAACTGCATTTAAAGACAATTTTTAGCACATTTTCTGTTGAATTGCCAAAATTCCCTCTGAATATAGTCATCAGGTAATTCAGAAAATATCAAGACACACATTTTCCACCCGTACTTGTAAGAGCATCTGTATGCAAAACTCGCTTCTATTTTATTAATGTGAAAACTGTCTTTGACACATCTTATCCTCATCAAGGACTTACGCTCTTCCGCTGTTATTATTCATGCAGCGTGTAGATAGTGGAGGATAGTGTGTGCTTGTATCTCCAGTGCCAGGTTGACTGTTGGCTCTTACATAAAGGGCATTAATTAGCATGTCTTTGAGGGGACGGTCTAATCTCTGGGATACAAGCCATAAGAATCTAAGAGGCCCTGTAGGGGACAAACTTCCTCCCAGTGAAATAAATCCTGTGTTTATCAGTGTTTATGAGAAGTCAACAGGGAGGTGTGAGTACATTAAAATGGTTTGTGAAACTAAAAGTATCATACAGTTTTAGAAAAGGCTTAAGGTGTGAGTGCTTCAGTGGGTCAAGTGATGTACAGTGTAAAAAAAAGTCTGATAAAGCTAGAAGATTGAAGGTTAAATTGTGGAGGCTTCCTTTAGCATCTAGAATTATGAATAATTAATTTGTATTTGAGTTTGTTGTTTTTCTGTATGTTAAAAATAGTACTGCCACTTTCATGTCCTTGTGTAGTTATTTAAAGCACGAAAGTTGTGCAATATTTAATTAAATGTGTTAATTCAAGTTTAAGTTTTAACTTTAAGTTTAAGTTTTAATTTCCTTTCTTTACAACACTTGTCTTAAAATTATATATTACACAAAATTTACTCTTGAGCCTTAAGCCATGTTAGAATGTTGTTACCTCCTCAATAATGTTAAGATTAATATGATATAAAATTGTTTCTTAATCAAAAACATGCCTGGAGTTTAGGGGTGTAATGATATCCAAGTCTCATGATACGAAATCATCACTGTATGAATTTATTTATTTCGATATTGTGGGAAACGATATGATGGAGAGGCTCACGATTAGGGATGTAACAATATCCAAATCTCTCAGTACAATATTTCCACGATATACATCTCATGGTATGATATTTATTGCAATATTTTGTGGAGCTTAACAAAACTGTTAATATACTACTTTTTCCTCTTAAAATGCCTTGACAAGACTTAATCCAAAGAACTAAGACTTAAAAGTGCTTAGAACTGTTTCTTCATATAGTCTACACTGAGCAAAGGATCATGGTCTATGTAGTTCCCTCTGTCTTTTTTTAGCTATTGCTGCACCATAACTCTTAATTTAAGCAAAGAGACTTGTAATTCGATATATTGTGAGAACTTTGACAAAACGATATCATGATATTTCAGTTATTGTTACATCCATACTGGAGTTGTGTTTTGTCTCATTCACAGATGTCTGATTGTTAGTCTGGCTATATCTCCAAAGCCCAAAATGCTCTCTTCCACCTTGCGATATCATGAAGCCGTAGTTTTCATTTTAACAGCTACTTTTTACCATTTGTTCAGTAGAGACTGACAAATCCAGGGCTGAAATCATCCAAATTATTCTAGTGAATGTGTATGGAGTTTAAAAACACAGTCGAGCACTTCCTGTATTGCCATATAACGTCACAAGGTGTAACAGAGTGTTCTCAGTTTGAGGGAAAAAAATTGATTTATATGTTAAACATGTGAATAAAACAAAGCACAACTCTGGGTGTGTTTCTGATGAGGAAACAATATTATAGTGTAGAAAATACTGTAATACAGGTTTGTTAAAGTAATACTCAATCTTCACCAAAAGAGTTACAATGATATTAATAATAAATGTGCCTTCTTCTCCTTCCTCTTCTTCTTTTTCTTGTGTCCTACAGGGAGAGCGTCAGGATTTGGACGGTGCTGAGGAAAGAAATGCTCAGGTGCAGCTCGACAAGGCCAAGGTAAATCCTGTCTAACTGACTTCCTGTTTGACTGTTGCATCATGGGAGCATTCAGCTGGGTCATGTTACATCACACTCCACCACATCAACATGGATTTGGATTATCGCCACGCTATTCTGCTCCACTGGAACACATGTAATCTTATCTGCGATTTGCGTCTGACTGCTTCGAATGTGGAATTTATTTCTAAAAATTGTGAAGAGGAACAGTATGGAGATGTTTTTTTTAGAATATGCTATCAAGTTTCATTGATTTATACCAAAGATACTGTATCATGTTCTCCCAAAGCAATATTATTACCAGTTTTTCCTCACAATTTTTTGAAATCTAGATTGATTTTTTGCCGCCCAGTCCTACTTCAGATATATAATACATTTATTACGTTACACCCAAAATCAACATCATTTACGATCTATAATTACCCATTCCATAATTTGTGTTCGCTTTTATTCTGTTGTTTTATTGTAATTTGCTACTTGTGTGAATATAACATATTTGTTGTGTGTTTTTGCAGTACAAGCCTGTTGCATTTGCGGTCCGCTGCAACTTCTCCTACACCCCCGCGGATGACGATAATGTCCCAGTCCCAGGACAAGCCGTTACTTTTGAGGCCAGAGACTTCCTCCACATCAAAGAGGTTCACACACTTCCTGAATATGTTTATCATTATGTTTTATTATTTATTTGAAAAAAATGTGAATATAATTTTAGCTCTTATAGTAATTTTTTGTTTGTTTGTTTGTTTGTTTTTTTAAGGTATAGCTTAATGTCAATAAATGTTATGGCTTATCATGCATGTGTGCTTGAACAGTGTCACTTTTTAATACTCAAATGAGGACAATACTTTACTGTATAATTTCTACAGATATAAAAATAAAAAAGATATTTAACTTTATGCCTGGACAGGCCCAGTAATTTCAGAGATATCAACCATAAAACTTCCTGTTATAGGTGATATTTTGAGGGCTTTTCACAATTTAAAAGATAAAATGGTTTAATCACTTTAGTATTGAATAAAAGGTAACTGATAATCATTTCTTTTTGTGCAGAAGTTTAGCAATGAGTGGTGGATCGGGCGTCCGGTAAAGGAAGATGGAGTTGTGGGTTTTATTCCCAGTCCTGTGAATTTGGAGACCATCCTGATCAGACGAGAAGTACAGGCCAGGAAAGCTGCCAAGGCCTTAGCCAAGTGCGTATACTGACCGCTGCTTAAACTGTTGGATACTTTACTTATGTGGAATGCAAAACAACGCAGTGCACAAATGGACAATGGACATTACCAGTGGACATATATGTATCTTGGGAAGAGCTCTGACTGTTGTCTTCTGTGGGCAGTGAGCCCAAGACGAATTATTGTCCCTTTGGGACAATAAAGTTTATCTTATTTTATCTTATCTTATACTCTGGTGGTTGAAAACTGAAAACAAGGTCAAAGTTGTGACAAACCAGGAACTACACCTGGATTACACTAGGACTAAACCAGGACAACAACAAAAAATAAATAAAGAAAGAAAGAAAAATCAAGACAAGTCAGACATTGAAGATTGCACCCACTTAAAGCTCAATAAAAATGCATTTGAATAATTCTCATTTCAGTAAAGCCGCCGCTCAAGCAGCTCAAGATATGAATTCAAAGAAGTACACCCCTCCTTCACAAGGTCAGTGCAGTCTCTGTTCATCTATATGTTCACATATTTGGAGTCCATTGATGTTTCAAATGTGTTGGTATTTTTGTTTTCTTCAACAGCACAACAGCAAGTGAAAAAGAAGCCAGTAAGTCCTCATACAAACATATTAGAATATTAAAACTATTTTATTCTTCCAATCATTCATTGGTAGCACTTAACCAGTAATATCATATGTATATAAAGGCCAAACTGGTATTTATATGATCACTCTGTTTATTGTAATATGATTAATCCTAACTTCCTACATATAAATTACCAAGAAACATTGTTAGTATTTTTTAATTGTGTTACTGAAAAAAAAAAAACATGTATACCCCCATATCCCAGTTACTACGCTATTTCTAACCTTTCTAACCAATATTACAATATAACTGTGCTATTAAGTTGACTGTGACCAACCGATTCTAAACATGTACTTCTTTAAATGTCCATAGGGGGAGCACGTGGCCATGTACGATGTAGTGCCTACAATGCGTCCAGTTATTCTTATGGGGCCATCACTCAAAGGCTTAGATGTGAGTCTCCTCAAACACAATCAATGAATACACGTGCCACAGTTTTGGGAAATACTATTTCAAGTGTTGCTGCACATATTTAAATGCGTAACATTTCTTGTGGAGGGTTCGTCACCTGCTTGTCTCCACCGAAATATTGTTGCATTTTCTAGAATGTTCCATGGATAAATTCAAATTGCCTATCACATGCAGGTCACAGCACTACACTACATTACCTTTCAGATCTGTGGAGAGTCGCTATAACATCTCCATGGAGACAAGCAGGTGGCAGATCTTTCACCAAAGAGTTGCGCAGTGCACCTTTAAAACAGGTGCACACTTTGATGAGAGTAAATAGTATTTTAAATGTTTTGTCTTATTGATATATAATACAAATCCTAATAAATATTATTTATTTATTATTATTAATTAATAATTGTATTACATTTCCTCCCCACAGGTGACAGATATGATGCAAAAAGCACTGTTTGATTATTTAAAGCACCGATTTGAAGGCAGGTATGTTCAGTCAGACTCAGCACCTCTGTTTGTTTATAGATTATGAATTATTTATTGTACTTTAATACTTTTGACTTTTCAGAATAACAATCACGCGGGTCACAGCGGACATTTCTTTGGCAAAAAGATCCATCCTCAACAATCCTGGGAAAAAGGCCTTAATCGACCGATCCAATACTCGCTCCAATTTAGGTACATCGCCTCAAAGCCTGGCAGCTGTTTGTAATACCAATCACTGCACTGAGAGTTTGACCTTGGTCTAAACTTCTCTTGCCAAACTTTTCTCTCCGGCACTGTTGTTCTCTATAGCTAAACGTGGCAAAAGTTTACTTATTATAGCTACTTTTAGCTCTTATTTCATTTTGTATTTTTAATGATAACTGTCAGCTAGTTAATTTCTGTAACATTATTAGTCATATTTTTATTTAATATAATAAAATCTGACGTGTAAGTTGGTGTCATGACCAGGAAGTACAGCTTGCCTTTTACAGTATGGAAATATGCTTAGCTGTGTGAGTATTGACTTTGTATCTTTTTTTTCTTTGCTGTTCCTGTTAAGATGCTGCTGGTATGTACAATATATCTCTTTGGACTACATGTTTAGACTACGCAAGTGTTTATTTATTCTCGTATTATATTATATTCTGCCTGTGTCCACTGCAGCTCAGATCCAGGGGGAGGTGGAGCGGATTTTTGAATTGGCTCGCAGTATGCAGCTAGTTGTCCTGGACGCAGACACCGTCAACCACCCGCTTCAAGTATCCAAAACATCATTGGCCCCAATCCTCGTTTACGTCAAGATCTCCTCACCAAAGGTACTTTACACGAGCCCATTTTTAAATTATGAAAATATGACTTTATTTAGTACCACATTGTAAAAACTACATCTTACTTAAACTTCTTTTTTCATTTTGGATGTTATTTGCACTGAAAAACAGAAAAAGCATGAGTTCTTACTTTGAGTGGGCTTGCATCTCCACAAACCTGATGGCCTCCCTCTGTTTCTATGGAAATTGTTGGCCTCCTTTCCATGGAAATGTTGTTACTTTGACTGTAATATTCTGAAGTAGAAAATAGTGAAAGTGCTGAAGTAACTTTTTAACTTTCTATTTCCACTGAAATCATGCAGGTGAATTACCACCTCCAGAAAGTTACGCTGTGTTATTATAATTTTAAAAAGGTTTTAAAGGGTATTAATTAAGTAGTTAAGCCTCAGTCATTCTTATTCTTAACTAATTTATTCTGTTTTACTTTACACTTTTGTAGGTGTTGACCAGGCTGATCAAAACAAGGGGGAAGTCTCAAACCAAGCACCTCAATGTACAGTTAGTGGCTGCAGATAAACTCGCCCAGTGCCCATCTGTGAGTGCCCTCTTGTGGATACTGTTCACATTACAAACATCTAATTGCATGTTAGAATGAACTGCAACCTTAATTCAACTATTTTAAAATGCTGTACTGTATAAATAATATATTTTTAACAAACTGGAAGTCTGTTATGTTGGGCCATTCCACATACCCTCATCCTTTTCTTTGTATGTTTTTCAATATTTTCTATTATTTCTGTGCCATAGGAAATGTTTGATGTGATCCTGGATGAGAACCAGCTGACAGATGCGTGTGAGCACATTGCAGACTTCCTAGAGTCTTACTGGAGGGCCACTCACCCCCCTGAGATGGAGCCGGCTAACGCACTGGTGGCTACGCTCGCTGAGAATACCTTGCCCACCTGCCCCACTGTCATACCGGTACAAGCAGTGTCATAATCTAGGTCTACATACAACTGTGAAGATTTGTTTCATGTGGTTTAGAATTAGGGGTGGGACAAGACACAAACGCCACAAGACGAAAAACAACATAGGATCTATAGTAATTATTATAAATAAGGGCTGCAAGATGAATTGTAATCGACTCGAAAACGCATTTGAATTTGCATGGAAATTGCTATTTAAATGGATACTATAGCAAAGTGCAAAGGCTGCAGTTTTTGAAGTACAATAACAAACTACAAAACAACTTAATATCCTGTCTTATTCTGTATAAACAACTGCTAGCCCTACACCATATGGCATTAAATAGCATTTACTTAGTTAAAGGTGTTTTCATTGTTTTAAAATACCTTACAAAACATTTAATCTTGCTTTAATCGGGGTGGCCTCTTCACAGATCTGACCTGTAACTTAGCCTGATGACATCACCTGCTTGACTCCATAGAGCAGGGGTGTAAATAAATTTAAGTGGGACTAAGTTGTGGGCCAAACTAAATATTTATTGAAAATTTTCAACAATATCTGCATGTTTTCTCTTCTTTTGAGATATGTAATGTTAAACCTTTTCTTATAAAAATAAATGTTTAATAATAGTTTTTCCTAAACACTGAATCCAGATCAAGCATAATATAAAATAATAACTTAAATTTTAAATAAATAATGTCCCTATAGCCTATCTGTAGCCAGCAGGCAGCTCTAATACATACAATATGATCTCACGGGCCAAATATAATTATATCGCGGGCAAAATTTGCCCCCCGGGCTTGAGTTTAACGTGTCTGCCGTATAGACACATAATTTTAATCATAATAGACAATTTAATGCCATACTGTTGAACTTTTTAGGTAAAGCAATAGCATCTCCATGGAGACAAATAAGGGCAGATTGGTGGCATTAAAAAAATGTAAAAGTATACTTGAGATTGTATTAGGATGAGGCATGGTACTTTGATTATGCAAGATCTTGTCCGATCCCTATTCAACATATTTGTATCATCTCATGTTGTTATGAAAAAACATTCTGTCCATTTCATCTAACGTTCATGTCATCTCTCCTCATATCCCTACTGGACAGATAAAGAAGTGATGGAGTGGTGAGTGCTTGTCAATAGAACCATGTTGGGCTCTTTAGTGGAAGTAATCTAAAAGTGTCATAGTTTTACTGTAGTGGTAGTAGACCTTAGCCTGGCTAGATGTGAGTTATCAGTTATTTCTATAGAAAAATATTGTTTCATTTGTAAAATTTCTTAAAACTAACTTAGATATAGCATTATAACATTGTTTTTTGACTTGGTTGTTTTACATATTTTAACTTTGTAGTAAATGTGCCCCTCTGTTCTACTTGCCACTTGCCATCTTGTGTCTGATACAATATATGTTTTTTATAATTTTGACATTGTCCACTAGTGTTAATTTCATCACCTGAAATATTTTGTCATAGTTTTGGTCAGTGTTTTTGCAGACTAAAATGAAATTTAAAAAAACTAAATCTATGAGTAAAATTACATACAAGTACAGATATTATTATTTAAAATGCTGTTAAATAAAACTAAACAAGGGGCATGGTCTGGGGGCTGTCCTCTTTTTCTTTTCTTTTTTTCTCCTCCCCCATATCCTCATGTTATGCTGCATGTTTTCTTCCTCTGCTACCTGTGTCCAGTCCATGTCTGGTACCCCCATGTTATGTATTATGTGTTTGTAAATGTACAGATGGGGTGACAGGTCCAATATCAGTTCCTTTGTATGTCTTGTACATGTGAAGAAATTGACATAAATTATATAAAGGACATAAAGGTATACTCACTAAACAAATATGTATGAAATGAATTAAATAAATCAGTGGAGACAAGATTCAAGTTACCAAACACCAGACAATAAACAAACTCAATGTCCGTACACAACATAATGCAACACAATCATAGTTAAAATAAAAGTACGTATTTTCCGGTTGATTAAAACTGAAAATATGTACTTTTGTTGGCATTTTTGTTTATGTCAGTTTGCAATAAAAAACAAAAGCAAACTAAAACTAAGTGAAAACCTGTAGCCAAAACTCATTCTGTTGTTGACTTTCTCTCTTCCAGGATGAGCAGAAAAACAAGAAACCTGTGGCCTCTAAGAGGAAGGGGTCCCGGGACCAGCACTCGGAGCAGGACAGCGCTCCATCAGCCTCTGCAGCTCCTCAACATAACCCAAAACATGAGCCCACCCACCGTCCCAGCGAGGAAGAGGAGGAGCGCCTACTGCGGTCTGAACCAAAGAGACCCTCCCACACGCACCACCATCATCATCACCATCATCATCACCACAAACGAACTGATCACCATAGCAACAGCCAATCAACGCAACCGGGGCACTCCTCTCCCCCTGCTCCAGACTCAGCGAGGGAGCACACCCAGAGACTTCCAACTGCACGGAGACAACTACCGGAAATTAGAGACCGAGAATTTGAAGAGAGATTAGAAGAGGAATCGCACCATCATCATCATCATCATAATCATCATCAAAAGAATCATTCGCGACATCATCAAACCCGAAATGTCCACGCAGCGCCCCCTAGCATGCACAGAGGGGAGGAGTACGAGCACAATGAGAGCAATAGGAATCACAGATACCGCCACCAGCATCACTCAGGCCTGTCATCCCGGAAACCGCACAGCACCCAAGCAACACACTATAGCACCCATAACCACAGCAATTATTACCATGGCTACCACAACCATGAACGGGACCACCAGCCGGAGCGTGAGAGAGACAGAGAGAGGGAGAGGTTTAAGGATAGAGAAAGAGAGATGAGGGAAAGGGAGGCACGGCAGTGGTGTCAATGATTGACTCTTTTTTTTTAACAAACCAGTGATTTTAAATGATGTTGTGGTCTATTTCAGAAGCCACCTAAAAGTAGTAAAATGGGGCAAATTGTGTGTTTTGGTAGGGTAAACTACCTGTCCGCTACCTGCTTGTTTCCATGGAGTTATTGCATTGCCTTGGAATGTTCCACAATATAGTATTAAACTTACCTATCTTGCATTTGTTAATATATTTCTCAACAACACCTTGACAAACATACATTCTTACTGTGTGTGGGCTCGCCTCTCCACAGATCTGACCACGAGCTTGATGGTAGTACCCGCTTGTCTCCATGGGGATTGAAATTTTTAATGCCATATCATGGAACATTCCAAGTTCCAAGTCCTATCATATATTTTATTTTACTTTTTTTCATTAAAAGCAGCATTATTCAGAAGCACTGGTTTATTCACGTGTGCAGCTTGGGCTCTCATTCACTATTCACCTTATTCTGGAAGTTGCCATGGGCAACTCATTATCATTTGGGTTGTATTATTTTGTATGGGGCTACTGATCTTGAGAGCAAATAAGTTCAAATAAGTAAATTTTACACAAATGAACCAACTTTGTCATATTTAAGATGCAAAACCTTTCCCAAATTCTCCATTGACATGAATGGGATTCCCGCTTAAATGGAAGTGCTGCCACAAAAAAGTGTGGTTTAGGAGCGTCTAGAGACAAAAGTGGGCGCGGCGGAATAAGGTGGATAGGACTGACAATGGCCATCTTTCATAAAACTTGTTCCATTACCCTAAAATATTGTTGAAATGAAGAAACAGGTCACAGTCTTTTGGTTAATTACCTTTTTGCACAAACTTGATCACAAATATTCCAGTTTTTATGTATTGTCAGGGCTGAACACTGCATTCTTCTTATTATTATTAAAATAATGATTAATTCAAAGCGCTTTGTTTTATGCGCTTGGCCAGGTTGTCATTGCAAATAAGAAGGTGTTCACAATTGACTTATCTTGTAAAATGTTAAATAAACTTAATTTTACTGAAAAATTAATTGAATAAAAGTCAGGTGTCAGTTGATATTTTTGTTGAGAAAATTTTACAATTTATTTTTATTTTTTTTACAAAAGAACAAAATCAGATCAGTGTTATTGTTATATTTTTTAGCCAAGTTGCATCTTATAAACATTAACAATGCACATTCCCAATTGTTCATTTTGGCATTTGTGCAAAAAGTCATTGCATTTGAAATGATATTTAACCCTCTCATCTTGTATTACACACATCCTGCCCCTCAAATAACATAACACTGTAAAGGTGATTTATTTTACACCTTAATGAAAGTATTTTTCTAGATTGTAAAGGGAGGTTCAAAGGTGCTTCCTATTTTTGTAAACAGTATAACAGTAAATACACAGACTTGTATTTATTCAAAAGCATGACTACTTTTGGTGACTACTTTTTGGCTACATGCTGGATATTCTATGCATTTTCTTGTGGTAAAAATGTATTGCTTTATTACAATCTCTATGCATCTGTACATACGTCATAAATGCCTTGTTAATCACTGTATGCTAGTGTCGGACTTTCTATGTGTGATTGTATTGAAATGTTGAATTGTTCTTTTAAATTGTTCTTTTGGGTTGGTTTTGTTTTGTATGAGATTTAATGGAGAATGATAATTAAACTTGGCAATGCACAGTGCTTATGAATGTCATTAAATCTATGTCATCTATCATGTCTATATGTATAAAACCTTAGTAGTAGGGACTTGCAAGTCATGACTTGGACTCGAGTCAGACTTGAGGCACTATTTTTAGGACTTGAGACTTGACTTGATAAAATAGACTAAGACTTGGGACTCAACTTGGACTTGAAGGTCAATGACTTGGGACTTGACTTGGACTTGAGGTCAAAGACTTGAGACTTAGTTGAGACTTTCAAAACAATGACTTGGTCCCATCTCTAGAAGCAGCAATATTCAAAGTACTGGTATCAGTATTTTATGTAGTATTTGTAAGTGGTGAAATCTCCACATTTGCCACAAACAGGTTATAGTAAAAGTAAAACTTTTAATTAAAAAATACCTTTTTAATATGTTTCAAACATGACACACTAGCACAGCATAGTTCAAGTATAGGCACTGCAGCATTATATAGAAATGTATTTACATCAGAGATTACAGAAAAAAATGTTTCTACAGGGTTGTGCAATAGATCAAAAATGTGTCCAATTGTTTTATTTATCTAATACAAATGCAATTTTGTGGGGACAAATAATAGTCTATTTGTTTTATATTTGTCATTAAGTTAAGCTAGCATATTTAATTCATTGTAACCCTAACATAAATCTCTTCATAAATTAGTTCATTAAACTCACATTTAACTATTAGTCCATGTCACGGTACATAACAAACTACTAATTACCATGAGAATCTACTAATAATACCACTGTGAAATTTGACAGATTTTGTTTTAGTTTTATCACAGACTTATAATGGGCTCTGCGGTATTTTCTGCAGTGTTTTCAATTTCTTCTTCAGTCTCCACTTTCTCTATGAGGTTTTTGGTGTCTACCACGTCAGGCTGAGAGCGTTCGGTACAGTGGGTTTTCAAATGTAGGGAAGGAGTTCGGTGATCTCTTGTAATAGAAAATGGCGGCTGCGACTAAAGCAGAGATGACCAGGATCACCAAGACGACAGCCAGGGAGTTATGGGTCCGACTAAGCCGCTCCTGTGGGCCCAGTGGTTCTGTGTAAAGTGAACAGAGGTAAAAATAAAGACGGGAACTCTGTATGTTCAGGGGAAAAGCATATATAAACAAAAGCAAATATCTTCATTTCTTCATTATGTAAAATACTTTTACAATGTTCCAGAAAGGAGCTAAGACATGCTGTGAATAGACTAAAATCAAACTCAGAAATATTACTTCATACCCTTGTTTTGAATATTTGTTTTCATTACAGTCAAATAAATAAATTATTGCTTTTGTCCTCCTTTGGGCTAATCATTATCTAGAACTACTTCTACATGGTTTAGTCTCGTTTTAGACCTTGTTTAGTCTCGTTTTAGACCTTGTTTAGCTCTAAATTAGCTGTGATAAGGTCCAGGTTTTGATCTGGTGGCACTCAGGAAGCCAATTGTTATCTTCCTAAAACATTTGACTACTGTCAAACTACTGTTTTTTTTTTTTTTAATTACTTAAGTCAAAAGCCTGAATAGTTCATAATATTTAACCTTTAATTAAAAACATGTTAATACATCAAGATAACTCACCCGCTTTTCCACTTTCTTTGGGTATCACTGAAAAGAGAGGAAATTAGAGAGGAAATTAATTTTTCAAAACATCACCATCAACATATATTTACCCCCAAAATATAGTACAGAGTAGGTACAGTACAGAGTAGGTCACACGAAAAAAATCTTTAGCAATGGAACCTACCTGGATTTAAGGATTTCACAGACATAATAATTGTAACAGTATCAAAAATACTTTTAGCATCAATATTGGGGCAATAATCACCATTAACTGTAACAAACTAATACATAGTTACATTTTTGCCCTAGTAATACACACTCACACACAAACCTACTCTGTATTTGTTGAATAAATAAATAAAGAAATAATACCTTTAGCTGTCTCACAGATGTACGCGCGGTCATGCCATCTTCTTCCTGTGCTCCATTTTCCATCAGCTGTCCGCACCTCCCCATAGTCAGCACGAGGCTCCTCTTCATACCAGTTTGTGTAGTCCATCACTGTCTTATCCAGCCACTGCCACGTCCCTGACCACAACAATAGGCTTTATTTTAATATATTTGTCATAGTCTTTGTCTATGCAATTAGGGTGGCAACAATCAATAGAAATTACTGTGAAAAGTCTGCTATTAATAATAAAAAAGTAAATGTATTTTGAAAACCATGATTTACTAAGACAACTATAATCAAATGAAAAACTCATCAGGGTAATTCATTATCTAAATTTATTGCTGCCTTAAAACACTACAGACTGTTGACAAATAAAAACTAAACTTAAAGGGCTTATATTACACTATTTTCTGATCTATCTTATGTAATCTTGTTTCCTCATCACAAACATACCTGGAGTTGTGTTTTGTTTCATTCACACATGTTTAACACACAAACCTGCATATTTAAGCTGAGTTCTTCTCAACACATTAAAAACACTCTGTTCAACTTTTTGATGTAATACAGGAAGTGTGCTTTAATCTCCATAGACCTTCACTAGAATTATTTGGATAATTTCAGCCCTGGAATTGCGATCTTTTCTGAACTAAGGTCAACATCACAAGGTGGAACAGAGGTTTTGGAAATGCAGACAGACTAATAAGAGTAACTCAAACTTGTGTGAATGAAACAAAACCCAACTCCAGGTATGTTTTTGATGAGGTAACAACATTCTAGCATGGCTTAAAGCTCACAAGAGTCAATTTTGTGTAAGACCTTTAAAATAAGGGACGGATGGAATCTTATCAAGGGAAAAGACGTTATTGCCCTTCTTCCTACGGGATTTGGGAAAAGCTTAATATACCAGTAAGCCCCGTTAGCGGCTAGCCCCGTTAGCAGTGATTGGTTAAATAAAAAAAGTACCCGCCTACTGTCAAGTGAACGAATCCTAATGCTGCGAGGTCAGACAGTTTCTACGAAGTGAATCAGGCTACAATAAAGAACTTTGGAGTTCCAAAATGCAGTACAATATAATTACCATAACTTGACTTTCAAAATAAAGTTTCATGATCAACTAAATCCATTATGTCATTTTGTAAAAAATGCATGAAAACTAGACTAAAATAATTATTTTAATAGATTAAATTAGAGTTGGTTGTCAAAGTTGATTGTGATCAATTATACAGTTTGTACCTTTGTGACTTTTGAAGAGGCCGACCCAGAAGGAACTGTGTGCGTCCTTAAATATTTTCAAACTTGTTTCAATAAATTCCTGCTCTGCTGGATCTTCGATACTTGCCAACGTCCCACCTACAACGTGAAAATATATGACAACATTGATAAACAAATGAACAAATGTATTAAATAAATAGCACAATGTATTTATAGTGTGAGTCCTATACATTTATTATTAGATTTGCTTAAAAAAATTGTGTTGGAATGTATGCATTGTAGAGAGCTTGTTATTTTAAAAAAAAAAAAAAAAGTATTCACTAGCTGCCCCCATTTGTATTAAATATTATTAGCCTATTGAATGTTGTGATGCCTTCTGAAACCCAGCAGTTCTTTTTCTAAGAGTAAACCTCAACTGCCGTCCATCTGACTATATGACATCAAACTAAAGCTGACATAATTATTATTGTAGTGATCATTTGTTGATTTATGTGTTGATAGCTTTTCTCACCATGTCTGGCACAGCTGCTGGCAGCATCCCCCCACTCCACCTCCTCGGTCACAAACAGGTAACAGCGGGCTTTGTAAGGGATCCAGGTGTATGCTTGCCGATAGTCCACCTCTGTCTCCTCAGGACACGCCCCCGGGTAGTCCGCGGAAAGGGTCGGGGCCACGTCTGCATTTAACAGTATTTAAGCATAACTTAATGCAAACTCATGTAAATAAATATATACATATTCTACTGTAACAACCACTTCAGATTTTTGTTTGTTTTATTATTTGATCTACTAAGGAATATTATAAAAGTTAAAGGAACAGGAAGTTGTTCTTCTTCCAAGCCAAATAAGAGTCAGGTTTGTGGAGATGCAAGCCAGGACAGAGTAAGACTTTTTCAGAGCAATAAATACCTCACAAATGAAAAACAGGCTATTATTTGAGTCTATTTTTGTTACATGTGAACATTCAAAAGAGAAGAGAATAGAAGAAGGTCTATAATATTTATACCTTGGAAAGACTATAACATTTTGTTTCTGTTTTGTCTGTCTGGTTAGGTTAATACAAAATATAATAAAATAAAACTGCACAGTACCTGTGGACTGCAGACACACACTGTTCATGGTTGCATTACAGAAGGCTGTCTTCCACTTCCCGTCTACGTCCATGTAAACACAGGACCTGTCCTGACGAGGCTCACCACTCGCCCAGGTTGCAAAGTTCATGCTCCAGCCATCAATATAGCGGTAATAACCTTTTGTCTATAACAAAAGGAAACACCATTGTAGCAATTATTCTAGAGAATATACTAAAACAAGGTTCTTGTGTAAAGCTTATTAAATTTACAGGAAGCAAATGCATAAATGAGTCTTCTGAACTCTTGCTTTAAATATCTATTAATATCTGTCATCATGTACCGCTTAATATGGCTACACTTAACCATGTCTATTTCTAAATACTAGAAATGTAATTAAATAATGTATAATTTATATAATAATGTTATATTATTTATAATTCAGACCTTTATATAATTTATGACCTTTGCGTGGTGTCTATAGAAATGCCTCCAGGTCTAGGTTGTCATGATATTTGTACAGAAAAAATACTTTGAGGAGGGAGACGAACTTAATATGCAGGTTTACTAAAACATGCTTGAATGAAACAAAACACAGCTCAGTGTTTGTGAAGAATACATACTATAACAACCTAATTTGTTTAATTTAGCAAAAATATAGGGCCTTTAGCAAATTTTCACCAGTATTCAGAGAGTAAAAGTTCATTGCTTTCCACTTCTGAAAACTGGCCTAGTTGAATTTGAAAACAGATAAGTTGAAAAGGACATAATGTTGAGTTTACCTCGTCTTTGTTGAGTCCGATCCACAAAGGGCTGTTGAGGGTCCTGGCCATCAGCTCCACATAGGATTGGGTCCACTCGTTGCGCAGGCTGGCCAGCTTTGCTTGGTCTTTATCACAGTTAGCTTTAGCATCAGCCCAGCTCATGTTTTGTGTTACCACTTTGACACTGTCATTCCCCAAAGTTACATACGTGTTTGGGAGAATCAGGCTAGACTGTGGGGGGATATTTTTATCTGTGGAAAAAAAAAAAATAGCGACATCTTATAAAAACTACACCTTCATAATGACAAATATTTTTTTAAGAGGCTTAGTAAATAATTTAAATTGCTAATTAATTCCCTAACTCCTAACTCTGTAATTTAGCTGCCTGGTTATTAAGCATTAATCATTAATTCAAGACTAATTATGGTACAGTTATTATAAAGTGGTACCAAAAATATTACAATTTATTATTGTAGTATATATAATATTTGAAACTAAAGTTGCAATATGTAACTTTTTATCTGCTTGTCTCCATGGAGATATTATGGCCTTGATTCAATGTTCCACATTGTGGCATTACATTTATCTATTAAGCATTAATTTCATTACAGGTGCATGAGTTCTAGGTCCACCCACTGATCTGACCTGTAACTTGGCCTTGTGGGGTTACCTACTTGTCTCCATGGAGATAGTTTAAAGCCAAACCCTGGGACATTCTAGTCAAAATATACAGACAATTCACCAGAAAAATTACATACTGCAACTTTAATTTTGAAAATAATTAACTACTACTACTACTACAATAATAATAATAATAATAATTATAATAATCATGTAAAATTGGCAGTAACAAACATTTTCACTTTCCTCTTTCTTTTAAACATCAAACAAATCTAACTTTGTAGTTACACAGTTTATTCTATCTAAATAAAGAAAATGTATGTTGGAAAAAATATTGTAGGACTAACAAAATAAAAGATAATTGCTGCATTGCCATTTCCACTTGAGTATTCATCTTTGTGTAGATGTCTGCACTCACCAAGCTCTCTAACACAAACAAATCCATTGGTGTCATTGCAGGATCTCATCATCCATTTTCCAAAGCCCAGGGGATTGCTGCTCAGAACAACACAGTCCTCCTATTCAGCAAACACACCATACTTTTAATGTTAGGTCAATTCAGAAGTGATGAAAAGTAAAAGTGATGGTAAAAATCAATGAAGATTAATGTACCTCATACCATCTTTGATAGAAGCTTCCTTGTCTGCGTTTACTTTTCTGAAAATATAAATTTACAGTTATTTTGCATAGAGATTGTTGTTTGCTGAGTCCAGAATCATGTCTTTGTATATTTTTTTGCAGAGGGATATCGGTCTGGTCACCACTCCCTCAGTCATGCCTCAAGCCAGGCTCCAACATGGCTGTGCAATCAGATTTGTATATTTCAGTGACGCATGTGAAATGAAGGAGCTCATTACTGATTCCGCATTGATTCTGTTTTCCTTTCTTTTTTTCTTGTAAACAGGCATTTGTTTTGATATGGAAAGTGCATGTCCCTGATTGGCTAATCCACCTGTCAATCACACTCATCTGAACTCTGGGAGATTCACCGGTGACCAGACTGCACTTATATTTAATGCTTAACTGTTGAACATTCTGGACAAGGTTATAATACCTTCTTGGAGAAGAGCAGAAAAGTTACATACCGCATAGCCCCAGTTGGTATATTTCCTTGCCTTTCCATCAGTCCAGAAATATTCTTCTTGTTTTATACTGTTCAAACCAATCCAAAGGTCAGTGGAAGTGGCTTCAGCCATTCTGGTTGTCAGGAAAACTGTAAAAACAAATTAACATAGGACCTCCCAAATAATGTTCTACTATTGTTTGTTAAATACAAGCACACATTGTAGATAAATGTTTGGTTAAAAATGGTCAAACCTTGGACATATCTTGATGGGATAGAGACCAGATTTCCTCCCATAGTAATACACTGTTTTCTTGCATCTTCCCAAGTAGATTTCTTGTTGTTTATGATGCTGTAACACTGCACAGAAGAGTGTTAGTCACATGTCATGTATTATGTCAAATTTTTTATACTCATTTTGACACTAATTCCTAACCTTTGAGTTGAACTGCATCCATTTGAGTGGACAGCCACCAGTAGGAGGGGTTGTTGGGGCCACAGTTGTGTTGACTGGAGCAGAAGAGCTTCGTTTGCAAATGGATTTTACCTCCTCTCCACAGTTACAGTTACTCCAGAAACCTTTAAATGTATTTGAGTCACACTGTGTATTTAATATTAATATCATTTTTAAAAGGTGTACAATAACTTACCCATATAATAAGTCATAAAGACACAGTTTTGATCAACATTTTCTTTAGGCTGATTTTGATCCCAACTTAGAAACTCCACTGGAGTGTTACTCATCCACCTACAAACGTGTAAAAACAATTTGATTTAAAAAATAAATGAAAAGTTTCAGATTTTTTTTATTTTCTCAAACATACCAAAATGAACCATCAAGATCTACAGAAAGCCCAATATAATAACGTCCATAGCTTCTGGAAATCTGTTGAAAACAACAACAACACACTGAAATTAGTTTTCACTTAGGAGAGTTGATTATAGGCCTTCCACCCTTGGAGAACACAGGTGTTTCCACACAATCTCTTTTTTTAGTTTTTACTTTAGCAATGTATTCTGGTCTATGACATAACAATGTCACTCAGCATTATAGATAGAACCATATTTTTTGCATTATATGAATGTGCCAGACCACAAAGGAAGTTCCCTTTTCAGGAAAATTAAGTTCTTAAAGTGCTTTGTTTGAATATATTTGTGCTTTGTTTGAAAATTTATCAGCTATTCACATGTCTTTATATTTGTTGGGTTACCTGTTTCCATATGAAGGTATTCTCGACTCGGCTGGTGATTGTGACCAGGTCCCCGTGGTTTTGTTGACAGAACTTACGGGCCTCCTCCATGGACAGCGAATTTCTATTTATAAAATACTGATTTCCTCTCCACTCCAGCCAACCGTCCGCTGTTGTGTTGAACTCTGAAACAATACACACACTATTTGTTAAATTTCTTTTATTTAAAGTGAACAGGCTAGACATTTCACTTAAAAATAATTACATATGGTAATTATATTTAAGATTTTATTTAGAATCTTGCAAGTCTTTTCTAGTTTAGTCATTTCGGTGAAGTTTGATCCATAACTATTATCGTTACTTATTAACAAGGGTCAGAACTATTCAAAATGACACAATAGCTGATTGTGAATGATTTGAAAAATAATAAACCATTATTTTGTTAAATCAGTGTTTAAACTATCAGAAAAAAAACTTTTCTTTTGTGTAAATTGTCCCTGCATTTTGGTTGTAATCTATGACAGTTGATGATATCTTGCTTTAGACGTTACTGAATACATACCTTGAGTGCCAGGTAATAATTTAAATAATATATTATATCTGTCAAATTAACTTTAAGTATATATATAGGTTTGTGTACTAATATATCATAGAGACACAGAACTGTGTTCTTACCTGATGAAGTATTATTTCGAGGTGGTCTTGGAGTGACCCCTAAAAGAAAAGAACATAACATAACATATTCAGAAATACTGTCATCTTGATGCTGATAAATACTCACACAACACAACAAGAATGTAAAACAAAACATTAATAATGTTCTATCTGTGGGTTTCATCTTTCTGTTATATGCAATAATTTGAGCACTTTTTTCTCATTCAAAAATATTATGTATAGTTTTAACTGTATAATCAGTTTAACTGACTGCCAATCTGCTCCATCGGCACTTAAAGCCATCACCAACTCACTCACACACCACATTCATAGCAGGCAATGTGGGTGGGGTGCCTTGCCTCAGGACACAACAACACTGGTGGAACACTGTGGCACTAGATATTCTCAGCAGTCTGCCATCTGGGTATGGATTTTTTTTACAGCACTTGTTAACATAATTTGGCCCCTATTGTACTTCACCTGCACGGATTTGACAGAGCCAGTCGTTGTAGCTCTCACAGTTTGCGTCATTCCAGGAACCTCGCTCATCCCAATTGTAAATCGTAAACTCTGCACAGGCCTCTGCGTTATTGAAGTTATTTGGCTCCCCCTCCTGCCAGTGCTGGAAGTTCACCTACAAATACAGCAGGAAGATTTACTTTAATAAGCTTTTATTTTAGTAGATTTTAAGAAATAAAGATTTTTATTGGTTATTTGACTTATTTTAAAGTAATTGCATGTAGCCTGTACTATTACTGGGTGAATTAATGAACTACAATCACCAGAGCCTTAACCTGCATAAAGAGGACCCATACAAGTTTTTCTCATTCTCAGTATGGATAGGCCATGCTTCATAAGAACCTCCAGAATTTACTTATCAATCTGATTAATTGATTTGCTGTTTAGGTAGTGAGGACGCCTTTAGGTTTAAACCTATGGAAACTTACATACAGTTTCTTTAATGTATTTAGATAAAAATATTAGAAACAAACAAACCGGGCTCCCGTCGCTCCAGGCATATCCAGTGCTTGAGTCCGGGACGTAGAGACCAATCCAAGCTTTTCCATGACTTTAGAAACACAAAAGTATATTTGTCAGATGAATATAATATTTTTAATGAACAATGAAACAAACAAATTGATATGATCTAACAATGAAAAAGTACCGTGCCACTCGTAGCTCGTCACTGCTGTGAATACTGAGCAGATCTCCTCCAATGTCTCTGCAGTAATCTCGGGCCTCAAACCAGGTCTTCTCATTCGCTCTGGGCCCTGTGAAAAACTATAATACAGACACATAAGTAAGCCAGTGTTTCTCATAGTCCATGTCCATGCTTGTAGTAATGTGTTCTAATGTTAAAACTATTTAGAAATAAGCAGAGGCGAAGAGGCAATAAAATGCATTTCTGCTCCATAAATTGTATTAAATAAAATGATTCAAATCTGGATTGATTGTGCCTCTTATTGTGTGAACCACTGGTTGGTATTCATAGTTGGTATAATAATAAACTATATTTACATACTCATCAGCCTGTCCAGAAATCTACCAAATAACCTCAAATTCAATGTGATATTTTTTCACAATTTTAGATTAACTTGGTCTGGTTGGTTTCAATATTTATATTTGAAATCCTTGACAAGGTTATGAGGAAACTGTCAAAAGTGTAAAGATGTTACTCTACTCAACCAGAAAAAATACTCCATACCATAATAATAATGTAGGCTAAGGCAAAAAAAAGTGTATACCCTTGTAATTATTTTGCAAGGTACTCTCACCAACAATATGAAGAAAATGCAGGCTAAAACAATAACTGCTGATCAAACCTTAGAACAGTAGTTTCTGGTTGGGATCTTGTTCCAGCCATCTGGGCATTTGGGTGGAGACACAGTGGGTGGGGGCTGGGTGACTGTAGCGCCCTCTGCCTGATGTTTACAGATATACTTCTCTGCGTTAGTGCAGGGCAGCAGGTCCCAGAGTCCAGCCATAACTCCAGTGGTCATCGCTACACAACCCTGCTGGTATCCTTGCAAACATAAATTAGGTAGTTAACTCATTTAGTCAGTTTGCTTTTGAAATTTATATCTAAGTATTACTTAAAATAATATATAAAGCTCTATGAGGTGACTGTAGCTGTGATATTGGGTGATGCAAAATAAAATGAATAAACTCTATTTATCTAAAATGATCTCCCCTATAATACAGTTTGTCTATAATACAGTTGTCTGTCACTTATCCATATTTTCAGTAATATATGTTCATATATAATTTCTAAGAAGATTAATAATACCATAATAATTGCTATTAATATGATTAGTATAATAAACAATAAAACCCATCCAGTATTTAAAGATACACTTTTATCTTATGCCATACTGTGGAACATTCCAAGCATAACTACTCCATGGAGACAAGCCTAGGGTGGGCCTGTCACCAGTTGCATAGTGAACTTTTAGTTTAGGAAATACATGAAACAAAGTTCACAATCGTGACAAAGTGGCATATAACAAAATATCCTTTGTATTTTTGGTATTCAATAATTCTTTTAAAGCTTTTTTGTGATGAAACATTATTTAATTTGTACCTGGCATGTTGGCGTTCCAGTGAGTGAATCGAACTTGGTCCGTATTGGTCCAAACAAAACGATCAATGTCGCCCGTATTGGAGAGACCAATCCAAAAATATTTCTCGGGCCGAATCCCCACCAAACTCACAAGGAATGCATTGTCCACTCTGTAAATAGAGAAGTAAAATAAGTATTTCTAAGTGGGTATGGTGGCTAAAGGGTCTTGTCCAAGGACAAAACAACAACTCAAATCAAGTTTTTATACTTAAAGGTACTGTATCTGATTTTACTAGTTCCAGTTCTAGTAAAAGTAAAAAGTAAAGTAAAAGTAGATTCTAAAACTAGTTCTTTTAAAATAGCAGGGGTTCTTACGCATTTCATGCATGTAATTCACTGTGATGTGTTTAGTACTTTTCACAACTCATAGAGACCAGTTTGGAGTCTTGCTGTGACAGCAAAGCTAACAAAAAAATAACATTCACACTTCTAGATCATCAGACAATAAATGCTTTCTGAGTAGATGCAGACAGCATGCAGCATATTTTGACCTGAAGAGTAGCTTCTACAATATAACTGTACACAAGCAAGACAAATTTAGCTTAAATGCATAGGACTTCACGAAGATGCTCTTACCCATTTGAAACATCAACCAGGTAGGAGTTTGTCCTCTTGCAGTCATTATTGGCATCATCAAATGTTTTGGTCTCTGTTCCCACAAAGTAGCAGTATGAGCCATGCCTCTTCCAGCCCTGTGTAGTTGGAATTAAAGCAACAGTTTCATTTAAAATATGAACTCAAACAAGACATATTATACTTTTTGGGGTATTTTTTATTATTATTATTATTTTTCATGTTGTTTAATGCAAACTACAATATTGATCCAAAAGGGCTTAACAATGCTTCCTGTGCAAACCTGCAAAATTGGAAAACCTGCCTCTTAATAGTGGCATTTCATTTTAGCAAGCAGTAGATTGTCAGTTATATGTTTTTACTGTTGAAATTTTAACCTTTACCTAGACTGTGATATATATATTTATCATATCAGATATTTCCAATCACAGGTAAGTAAAGAAAAATAGGTAGAGTTAGGGGGTAGACTTTCTAAGTACTCAAGTCTCGCATGCAGAACAATAGAAGATCAAGTCAATGTTATGTATTATGCCCCCTTTACCAATAAAAGATATATTTTCTAATTGTGCTTGACTTAGATTTAGTTTTAATAATTCTTAATATTACTCACAGGTTTGCAGCCCACGTCCAAGTTGATTTCGTCTCCGGTTGGTTCACTGCCGCTCTGCTTCATACAAATAAAACCGTGCTTTTCATCACAGCTACGATCTGCCCAGTTTCCTTTCTGCATAAGGAGAATAAAGTTCACGTTTAGCAGGAAATATACACCAGGATTACACCAAAAACTGTGAAACAATTACATGAATTATGTCAACTGGACAAAGATTTTTTTGAGTGAGTTGCCTTATATCTGCTTGAAGGAAGCTAACCACACTGAAAATAACACACCTACTTGTTTACTCCATAAACTCAAGAAGGTGCCTGGATGAGCTGTGAAACTGTCCAGTTGACAGAGCTGATTTTTTTTGTTAAGGATCCAACCTGGAATACTGAGGCATTACACAGACCACATCTCCAAAGGTCAATATGCTCTGTTCCACCTTGTGATGCCATGAAGCAGAAGTTTTCAAGTTAACAGCTACCTTTTACCTTTTGTTCAGTAGGCATCTGCAGTTCCAGGGCTGAAATTGTCCAAATGATTCTGGTGAAGGTGCATGGATTTTAAAAACACAGTTGAGCACTTCTTGTATCACCACATGACATACAAGTTGGAACTTGTCTTTTTGAGAGTAGAACTAAATATGTAGGGTTTGTTTGTTAAAATTAAACAAACCACAGCTCCAGGTATGTTTTTGATTAGGAAACAACACCATAAATATACCATAAATCTTAAAATAGTATAATATAGGCTCTTTAATATATTTGCTGTCATTGTAGCATTGTTTATTAGAACTACAGCAACTCTCCAAAACCCATTTTTTGTCCAGTCCAAATGTAAACACTCATTTTTATCACGTGTACAGTCTTAGGGCAGTTTTGTGGGAGATCAATAAAAATATGGAAATACTTTGTCACAGCCCTATTTGAAAGGAGTGTGTTTGAGCCAGTACCTCTCCGGTCATGAGGACACAGTCTTCCATTTCTCCAGACACAGAGGGCTCTCCATACAGCCAGCTGCTGAAGAGCACTGGGGACTGGTCGATCCACTCAAACAGGCCCTCAGTCCTCTGGTCGTTCAGGCCGATCCATAGCTGATCTGACGCGGCTGCCCTCACAAATATAAAGTGGACATAAGTTATAACAAATTAATCAGTGCATATTTTAAATTTTTATAGCAGAACTTTTTATTGATTATTAAAATAAAAGCAATGGCTGCATGTCACTTAATGGCTATGCAGTGTCTATGTAATGTCTGTGTTTCTACATAATTTAACTAATTATTAAGTTTTAAGTTATAATTATTAAATTATACTTCTTCACACTTATTTTTGTACATTTGGACTTTGCAGCTCTGTTGTCTATACACAGTAGCTTGTATTATTTTATTTTGACATCAGATTGCTCTTGTGATGTCCTTATTTGTAACATTACTACAGTTAAATAAAATAAATAAATAAATAAATAAATTCCTTAATTCAATGTGAAAACAGCCATTAATGGTGCACTACATAACTTTTCTTGTAGAAAGTCTGTTAACTGCTTGAAGATAGTATTACTTTGCCTTGAATGTATTAAGTTACACAGTATAGCATTAGCTTTGTGGATCTTGCATTTACTCAATTACAGGTAGTTTATTGCACAAAAACACCTTGTGAAACATGCATGCTTACATAGAAGAGGGCTGCATCTCTACATATATTTTAGCCTGATGGCACCATTTGCTTGACTTCATTACGATAGTTTAGTTTAATGCTATATTGGAGAACATTCTACGCAAAGCAACAACATCTCTATAGAGACAAGTAGGTTCGCACCCTCTACCAGAAAGGTTAGATAGTACATGTTCCTCTCACCGTATCCAAGTTGAGAGATGACAAAGCTCTGGTCTTCCACGTGTCGAATGCTCAGCAGATCTCCAGCTTCTTTACGACACTCTTTCACAGCTTCTGACCAGGTTTTGGCCTCACGGTGAAGGTGGAAGCAGTGACCATTGTAGGGAATCCAGGGACTAGGACAAAACCCCTGCTCAACTGTGGAGTACAACAGCTATGTTTAAATAAAGTTTCAACTTATTACCATTACGACTACTTCTACTGCTACTCCTACTCCTAACTGCTTCCACTGCTACTACAGCAACAACTATTAGGCCTACCAATACTTTCATTACTGTAACTATTATTACAAGCAACAGCTACTCTATAACTACTACTACTGCTACTTATTACTAAATTCATCTAGTACTGCTGTTGTTACTGCTTGCAATAATACTACTTCTCACAACAGCATCAACTATTACTACTACTACTACTACTACTTTCACTTCCACATCCTAATTCTGTATAATTTTACAGAAATGAAATTAACACTGGACATAACCCAAGACAAAACCAGGACTAATATAATCATATGACAAGACAATATTGCATGACAGTTTGAGAATCGATGAGTCATGGACGAACTGATCAGTGTTAGATCGATATCGCGATACTTGCCATAGTATTATTTGATACTGGATTGAATTAAAAAATCACAGGTATTGCTCATCACATATTATCCCATAGAGATGTATCATACCTATAATTGTTGGAGGTGGCGCCCCACTCTTGTAGCATATGTAGCCCATTTGTTTTCCACAGGTTGAGCTCTCCCAGGTCTGCTGCCCAATAGTGTCAATAATCGCACAGTTGTGTCCAGGGTTTGGCTGCGGATTTCCTGAAGAATAAGTAGCAATATCAGCTTCACATTCTCAGCAACATTAGATATTTAATACTGATGGGGCAAGTAAAATGAATATTGTTAAAGAGCATGTTTGTAGAGGTGTAAACGACAGGTGCAATAAGATTTATCTATTAAAACGACAAGATGTGTAGTTTTTGCAGAGAACATTCTATTAGTGCAGCCCTAATTGTAATTCATATGGCCTTGACACGAGAGTCAAATTAATAATGTTGTATGCAGGTAATAACTAACTACAGTGGAAAGAATGCATATTAAAATCCATAACTCAACTCATTCTAAGAAGAGATATCAAAAAGGATAGCCCACACAAATGAACTAGAATCCAGAATTTGCTATAGTACAACACGATTCAGCAACATTAACATATAATTTATTTATTTATTTGTATATTTATATCTGCTGTCTGAGCTGAGAAAAAGCTAACGTTAAACTTTGAGCTAGATTAATAATTATTGTCTCATTGATTTACCAGGAGTCCATCGGACGTATCTGAAGGGTTTTCCATCGGCCCACTGCCAGCCGTGCTCAGGATCCAAGACTAGACCAATCCAGACCCTGAACCTATTGGATCCAAGAAGAACTGCGCGGAAGAAGATGGGAGAAAACAAAGGAATAAAGGTAAAATTGTGAGCCAGGCTGCCACGATTAACTGACTGATCGTATTTTGATCGTAATCGTTATCTGGACTATACATAGCTAAAATGCCTAGTTAGCATAGCTGCAAAAAGATCTCTTCATAACAGAGATGTTAAAAAAGTTTTATGTCTAATTTCCATCATGAATACACTTTACACATGACACGTGGGTTAGCTGCTTTTGTGGCCACCTGCCTCACACACTGAGCAGCTTTTGAAACGATTTGTTTTTTGAGGCTCAGTTTTTAACATCATATCATGGGATCATTTTAACCAAGCAAGAACCAAGAAGTGCAGCAGGTGCAGTTTTAAGAACTGTTGGACTATGCGAAATGAACAAAAATAAATAAACTAGAAAAGCACTCAGAGAGCGCAGACCTCCGCCAAGGACTACCCCCATTTTTTATATAAATTGCGATAAAATCAGTCTTCTGGATCAGATCCGGATCAGCCTTTGGAATATGAAAGAGGATCCCATTGTCCATCCCTGAGTCAAATGTCATGGGGTTTGGTCAATAATTAACCGAGATATTGAGAAACAAATTTTTTGGCCCCATTTACCACAATGTTAACTAAAATTTCAAAGTGATCCAGAATCCAGGATTTCTTCCGGATCACCCCCAAAATGAAATCAGTTCTTCCTTTTCACATTTCCAACAAATCCTGAAAATTTCATCAAAATCGGTCCATAACTTTTTGAGTTATGTTGCTAACAGACAACCAACCAAACAAACAAACAAACAAAAACAGACAAACGCCGGCAAAAAACATAAACTCCATGGCGGAGGTAATAAATAATTTAAAAAAATGAATAAAATGAGCTGTTCCATGGAAAAGGCTAAAGAGCTTTGGACATTTGAGCTGCTACAAGTTTTTACACCATATGTGGAAGCACATGTGGTTGGAGACCTTCAGAGGAAATACTTTAAACAGAAGGATTGTGTGAAATGGACTTTTCTCATATCCATGGAGACTGTGTGCACAGGCTTTTTATAGCAAATGTGGCAGCAAATGTGGCAGATGGACACTGTTTAATTAGCTCATATAATCATGTCAGCATTGTAAAGATTTCATACCTCACCACTTACTACTTTTCTACTCTACTTAACTTAAAGCTTAATATTATATCTTTTAAATGAAAAAAGTCCTCAAATGTTAAAATACATAATTTATATTTATAAATATCTGAATGCAATTATACACTATGATAATAAATGAATGAGTTTACTAAGTATTTTTTCTGGTAGAAGGTCCACACCTGCCTGTCTCAATGGAGATTTTATAGTTTTACCTGTAATGTTCCACAGTATGACTTTAAACTTATATATCTCCATAGATACAAGCAGGAGATGTTTAAAGGTATTTTTGAGCAATCAACACCTGTAGTTGAATAAATGTTAGATAGGTTTAATGCCATACTGGGTAAAATTCCAGCCAAAGCAATAACATCTCTTTAGTGCACCTTTAATGATTAAATACTTACCACTGTAAATGCACAGTGCACAAAAACACAAAACAAATTGAGATCAGATGTTTACAATGGAAGAACCTTTGGAAAGCGGAAGCCCTTAAGTTCCTCAACAGTCTGGATTGCACAATCAGACCCTGCTCTCACTGATCTTTGGAGTAGCATTTTTAGGAAACATTAGAACAAGGGTGGGCTTAACTCAGTTCTGCATAATATTAATTGTATATCTTTATTAAAAACAGTAAATAGCATTGTTTTGACAAGCTGGTAAGACTGGTAAGAGTTTATGTTATGACTAAGCCATGAAAAAGTGAGGTTGCCTTACAGAAAACGTCACTAAAAAAAACTCCTCTAAAATAAAAGTAATGCAGCTTTAGTCCACGCATGAGGTAGAATTATAAAATATGTTTATTTTGTAATTTAAATTATCTTAAAGGATCCGGTCAGAGTGGCTCAGTAGCCCAGGAGCTGTACAATGCCCAGTATCAGAAGGATGTGAAGGTTTTGTTGCTTGCTTTCTCTCATTTTAGTTCTTTAATTACACCTATTTAAATGTTTCAAAACTTTTAGACTCAAATTGTTGAAAACATGCAACCTATACATCTTCATGTAATTACTGTAAGTGTCCGCCAGAGGGCGCCATACCTGAGACAAAGGCCTGTTCGTTGGGATCTGAGATGCTGAGCAGATTGCCTCCCTGTTGTTGGCAGCTGACTTGAGCTTGGGTCCAGGTCAACGCAGCCTCCAAGTTGATCTGGTAATACGCTCCTGTCGCCACGTTCCTGACCCAGTGCTCATTAGCTAAATATAAACAACAAAACATCATACATTTTTTATTTATTTTTTTCTTTTTGATAAATATTAGTATTAGGCCTGATAGTACAATACATTTTGGGGGTCAATATTTATCATACTCTTTCATTGCACTAGTTGGGATTTTTTTCTGTACTATGATAAGATTTGAGGAGAAGGTCGAATAAATAACTTCCATGACTCAAATAGAGCTACAAACTAACTATTAAGTGACTAAATATGTGTTTCATTTTGCTTTTTTTTTTCCTCAATATTGCACATTTAGAGTTTGTTTTTTTTTGTTTTTTTGTCAATAAGGCAGATAATCCTGCTTTAGGGTTGTGTCAGTGGCATAAATTTGTTATATTATTATTTGTTATATATCATACTTTGCAAAAATGGTTACCGTGACAAACCTAGTTAGAATCTATTATTTAAAATACAAACTCACACATGGTTGGACAGTAGCCCCAGCGTTCATGTTCATATTTCGTTTCAATGGCGCACCATGCCCTCCTGGTGGACGAATCAGCGAGGGTGCAGTCTCCGTACCAGCGGTCTTTGTACATGAAGGGGAACATGCAAGGCTTCCCAAACGCATTCCCCCCAATGGTGTACAGCTCTGGAGGAGGGAAACATATTTAAATTGGATTATTTAAAACCAGTTACATATATATAACATGCAAACTGTGAATAGACAGATAGAGACTGCATAGGTGCAAATGTAGATTAAACCTGATAGTAATGTACTGAGCATGATAAATACTTACTAAATACTTTCAATTAGTTTTTGATTTTTCACTTTCCGATATGAGTTAACAAAGTACATTTTCTCATATTTTGCACCAGTATTGAATGTGCGTCACAAAAAATGTCACCGCATTACTCAGGCTTATCAAAATACAGTAAACATTTGCTTTATTCAGACATCTTTTTACATAGGGGCTGTGAATTATCTATTAATCTGATGGATAGTGACAAAATTATAGTTTAAAGACAAATTTTGTCTGTTTGTAATTAAATTTTATATTATAAGCCTTTGCTGAGAGTCAGTAGTATTATTTGCAAACCCTCAAAACAACAATTTGTACCACAAACTCATAAATCTTGTAAATCTTCAGCCTCCACAAAAGCATCAGATTATTCAGTCAGACTTCATTTCAGATTTGGGATTATTCTCATAGCCATTTTACAATTCCAATCTAGGATTATTTTTATGTGACCAGACAATGCTTTGAGAACCATCTGTAATCTCCATTGACAAGATGGTACATATTCATAATCTTCAACAATACTTCAGCTATTTGCACTGTTAGATTTGCATCATATTGTATATTTCCAGTCAAAGTCTATTTCTAACTTATTGTTTGGGTGGAATATATTATTACAGTTATTATGTACTACAATTATTCAGTGTTTTATGTTCTGTACCTCTGTAAGTCCTGGTGCAGGCTCCTCTGTTGGTCCCTACTATGGTGAGGTGATTGTTGGGCCCCACAGTTCGGGACAGAACTATGCTTTCGTCCTCTCGTACCTCCACAAACAGATTCTGGCCTTTCAGTACTAGCAGTGTATTATTTCGACATTCCCATTTCTGCAGCTCGCTCCGATCGTCACAGTCATAAAGACTGACTTCGCTGCCCACACTGTTGCCCTGGGCCCCGAGACATTTTTTGCTGGTTGTCACAAAAAGTCGGTTCCCAGTTGTCCAGCGCACCTCCGAACAGCGGGTGGACTTTTTAACCAGACAAAAACCAGTGGCTTTGTTGGTGAGTGTGAATGGGTTATCTATAAGAGACAATAAGAACAAAGCATTATCAAAAATATCAAGGTGTTTATGATTGGTTATTGCTGATTAATTGACAAATTGTCATAATGGGCTTGTTTGATAACAAAGTGGTATTGTTATGCCATATAGAGCAAATTCATGGGTTTCAACTTCTTGTTTAAACATTTAGGCAAGACTTTTCAATATTCAAAAGATAGGATATTTGCTTTGAATTCTTATGGCAACAGTCACATTTTTTCTTCTTCTGAAAGCCATGGATATAATGAAGTAATCACTGACTATGTACAACATGTATACATACATATCTACTCCATAAGTCAATAATATGTTTAAATTACTGGTCATTAAGAAATATAGTAGTTAGACCAAATCTAACATATGCACTGAACAACATAATTTGAGTATTAAATCTAAAAAATATTTTATCAACCAATAAAACTAATTAAACTACATTTATAGTATTCCAGCTATTTACAGGACTAGACAGATTAACAGAACTAAATCTAAAAATAAGGTTACATATCTTTTGTTGCTTTCAGAAAATGTATCAGTATATAGTAAACATTAAAAAATAATGCAATAGTATGCAGTCTATACGATATTTAGATCACAAACTGTACAATTGAATGAAAAATCTGTGGGAAAAAATGCTTAGTTGATAGAGATTGCTATAATCAACATGTAGCAACTGTCCATATACAAAGTTTACAAGATTTTTGCATACTGTACCATTTGCACATTGAGCAGTTGGGATTAAAACCATAAAAGCAGCCAGAGTTATCCACTGGTCCAGCGCTCTCCTGATAAGCTCCATTGTAGCCAACATGGTCAGTGCACTGCAGGCAGGAGACTTATGAGGCGGACCATCACAGAGACACAAACTTAAAATCACTGGCATTGCATTTTTTTTTTCTTCATTGAGAAAGTTTTGTGTTCCTGTTTACTTCCCATCCTCCAGAGAAATGCTGATTTCTTTGGTAGACATGACGTGGCACATTTGTAAGTTAGGCCTGAACTGAATGGATGGGCTCAGTAATAAAGCAGTAGTAGATTGAAATTAATTTAGTAATCTGAATATAATTCATATTTGTTTCATTCAAGTAAATGAAACAAAGAAGAAGAAAAAAGAAAATATTAAATTACTGAAGACTTGTTCATCAGGTAACTTGTCAGTGACAGAAGGTCAGTCCACTTTAGTTGAGAACCAGTGTTTTGAACTTTTTGGTACACTATGCAATTCTTGTAGTGGAAATGTCCGCCATGGAGATGTTATTGCTTTGACTGGAATGTTTCACAATGGCTATGGTTATACTGTATATGGTTATTATATATGGTTAGTCTTATCTAGAGATGTGGTAACCGAAAGCTCACAGTAATAATGTACTGTATGTTTAGAAAGTTTTTTTTTTATTTTTCTTGTCATCTCCGTGGAGACAAGCAGATACCTTCCGCCACAAAAGTTAGTGCAGAGTGCACCTTTAGGATCATAGTGAATAATATAATATTGCATACAAATCCAGTATATTAAAACACTGTGAAGCAGAGCCTATAGAAATGCTGATTGTCTGAGCTGTATATTGTGGCAGTCCAAAGATCTATACATGTTTTATGTCGGTGTCCTGATGTGGCTGTTTGCTGAACATCCTGTGCTCTCTGCACTTACTCCTCTGAGTCATACAGGCCTTTAATCAGAGCGTTTCAACTGTGTTTTCACTTCCTCTGTAGCTTTTCTCCTTTTCAGGATAGACACACAGGTAGTGTCTTAAATGGCTAATACCCAGTAAACAAGGAACTATAGAAAAGTGTTCAAAGCAACCATTAAAACATTTTTATCCATGGTTGATGAAATCAATGTTGCCATTGCAACAACATCAATACAAAGTAATTTGCATATTATATAATACAAATGGAGTCTTAATTGTGAGATCAATTATCAATTAAGAGCATGGGCTAATGTTAAATCAAAATATACCTATTGCCAACAGGTTGCCTCAGAAACATTGAAAGTTAACCCAAATTAAAGTTATTCTTTATAAAAAAAAAAAAAAAAAATACAACTCCATTTAACTGCATAAGAACTTATTTCCTGAGTCCTAGTTCACCAAAAGTCTTTCAAGTTGACATGATGTCACAATTTTAATGACAAGATTACATACAGTACACCTAGATCATCTTAGCCTTCACCCGATACGTGAAAATGTCAGATAAGGTCAGCCTATCACCAAGTATGTACAAAGATGTCTATTAAAATCTAATTCAGTTAAGATGATGCTTATAATTTTAAACAGTAGCATTAATGACAGTAGTAGTTTTTACAATGTGTAATATTTGCTTTATAAAATGAATTAAATGAATTTAATTGGGCCATAAAACCACTGTCCCAGTCCAGTCCCAGTGCTCTCTGGACTTTGGGATCCTAGATAAAGATAAGATTTGACGCTTTCACTGCTGCACGTACAATAAAACGTGTTCAAAGCAACCGAGGAGGTTAGCTAGGGATGAGCTCTATAGACTAATGCTAACAACTGGGATTTCATGCAGTTTTGGCTAGACATGCAGGCATTTCTGATTATACTGCCTGGTAAGAGATAAAAAGAGAGAGTTGAATTTACTGTAGCTGTTTTGTTGAGGAGAAAAAATATTAATAATAATTTGTCCTTCTCAGTTTTTCTGGTTGCAGTGTCTCCATGTTCTCAGTTCAGCTGTTTGAGTGGAGAATGTGTGCCATCTGGAGCAGGCTGTGATTTCAGAGAGGACTGTCAAGATGGATCAGATGAGGACTTCTGTGGTATTGTTTCTATTTTGTATGCAATACTTAAAGTACTTAAAGTTGCTCTGTGTAATTTTTCTGTTTGTCTCCATGGAGATATTATTGCTTTGCTTGGAATTTTCTACCGAATTGAAACCTATCTTGCATATTTAATTTGTACTGCGCACCTTGAAAAACATGCACTCTTACTGTGAGCAGGCTTGCGTCTCCAGAGATCTGACCTGTATCTCGATCTGTTGGCATCACCTGTTTGTCTCCATGGAAATAAGAAATTTAAAAGTCGTTCAGTGCACATTCAAGGCAAAGCAATAATATTAGTTCATTAGTTACACAGAGTAGCTTTTATAGATAGATATAGGTTAGTTTAGTGATGACATTATTCATCTCAAAGACGTGATTGTTGTCAGGTGAAAGAACTTTAAGACAAGACTACTATGGCAAGTGGGTGGAACCAGTCTCTAACCGATATTGATGAGATTTGTGCATCATAAGTTTCGATATTTCATCCCAAAACAGTAAATCTTCCATGTCATGATAAACGTGTCCCATTGTCACAGTATTGTCAAATCATCACAATACATAAATATATACCTACAATAAATAATAACAAGTGGCATAGCTTTCACCCAGCAATCTGAAAGTTGTTGGTTCAATCCCAGGCCCAGTATTGGCAACTGCATGTTCTGACCAAATACAAAAAATTAAATGTATATTCCTAGGCATAATTGGTTATTTGGGGTGACAGTATATTTTGATGATTTGTTTTTTAAACTCTTTTTTTGTCAGGATCATGTGACTTTGAGCATCACTTATGTGGGTGGAACTCTACAGGAGATGTATCATACACCTGGATACGGCAAAGAGCCAATAGTAGTGCAGTGCCTGGATACGACCACACCACAGGGAGTCCATTGGGTACTAAGGCTGGGTATTGTTAAGAAGTTGCCGATACAATACATACCTTGATTCAATACGATTCAGTATGATATATTTCAAATTGATTCGATACAATTAAATGAAAAATAAAGGCTAAATCATGGCTATGATACTAAAAGTCTTTTTTAAACCACTTCTTTTGCAAAGTTCAGATGAAACATACATTTTACTCATCAGTGAAAATGTCAAATCTGTTGCATAAACGAGTTTCCTTCCTCTTAACAAGCAAACAAACAAACAAAAAACTGTAGCACTGTAACAAAATAATTTTGTAAAATATACAAAAAAAAATAATTGGCCATATATTGATACAGCAGCCCATGATATCGATACTGTATCAGCACATTAAATGATACAATATGTTGATATTATTGCACACCCCTATTGGGTACACTTCCGGGCCAGTTATAAACAAAACACGAGATACATAAGATTCATTTATTGCATCTGAGATAAGATTTGATGATATTTTGTTGTTTATTTTTTTTCTATGCAGGATATGTGATGCAGATAGATGTCAGTGAAGGAGGGGCCATGTTTCAAAAGGCTATTTTAGAGTTCTCTGTTAAAAAAGTATTGGGTCTTGGGTGCTCTCTCAGGTACTTGATTGATATATTTCAGCATGCTTTCCCAATTTGTGAAAGATTAAAATAATAAAATAATTAGTACAATCCTGTAATGCAAAACTATGAGGTGCATTTTATTGTATTATATTTGTGTCCCTCATGATTTGCTGACATATAGTATTTTGATTGATGCATGTCTTTTTGATTAATACTGTACTGTCCTATACTGGAAGCTTGAGTGCTCAGAAAATGTTTGTTTTCACCTATTGTCCTATCCCTGCCCACAGCTTGTAGATTTTGGGTCATACAAAAGTGCTAAGATGTTGCACAGCCATTTTTTTTTTTATGTACAAATCTGCTGCTGGTCATGCAGGAATATGGCCTTTTCAGTACTGCAGTTTTGAACAGGAAGTTATTGGTCCCATTTCTATTATTAAGCTGTTTTAGATCAATATAGTAAAAGTGTTCATTGAAGAACATGTCAAATAATGACTGATGTATGTTATACTTTGTTACCAAATGCCAAAAAGCGTTATAACTCTTCTTTCATTTCAGCTTTTGGTACCACATATATGACATGGACACCCATGCTATATCGGACCTGAAAGTAAAAATAGTGAGAGGTTCGAGTGACAAAACGTTATTGTCCATTTCAAAAAGTAACACAAATGAATGGGAAAAAGCAACTGTTTTCATTGGGAATCAACCTAAAGGATATAAGGTTAGTACTGATTGTAGAAAATTGGTTTCTGTGCCTTTTTTGCACTTTTACCATTCCTCTCAAACTTAATGAAAGGCTGTAACTCACCCTGATTCCTCTCAAATGGGGTGTTCCACCTTTATTTTCAATTTATTTACTCCCACTCAGGGTTTCTGTATTATCTTAAAGCAGTTTATTATTTAAAACTGACTTTTCAAATTTTTAACCCTTCTGTCCCACTTCTCTATACTTACTTTGTTCTCCATTTTAATTGTTTTAATCAGTGATACATGTAGGATTCAGCAGTGTCCCATAGTAATTTTGGTACATATGAAAAAAAAATCTGTTTCTCACTGCTTGCATGATCTACAATAATCCATAGGAGATGCCGATAACTGCACGTCTCTTTGTTGTGATGCAGTTTACAGCAGCATCAGCCCTCTTTGGACTCTGTAGTTTTTTAATGCAGAACTCAGCTGACTTGTTCCTTGGAAATGTCCTTATTTTGGGTGTAATGTTTTTTTTTTTCTTTCTTTTACTCCACAGCTGCAATTTGTTTCCCAGCGTCCCTTCATGGGCCATAGCGATATAAAGTTGGATGATATCTTATTTAATAATTGTGGCTTGGATGACATACCTCCAGCTTCAGATCAGCTGTCTTGTGACTTTGAGAAAGACACATGCTCTTGGTATCATGACTACACAGCCAACCTTTTGTGGGACAGGAATAAATTTGAATTTGGGGACAACCCTGAAGTTACTGGTATACTTTGTACTAATATTACAATACATTATCAAACTATTATTTCATGGCATTGTTTAACTGTGCCTCTTGTTATTCTTTCAGGTTACCATATGGTAATAAAGGCCGAGAGAAATCAAAATATCAGTTCAGCAGCCAGACTTGTCAGCTTTCCCCAGTCAGCACACGAAGGCCTATGTGTCAGTTTTTGGTACCATATATTTGGCAACAATATAGGTATACCTCAAATAAATAAAAACAGCTATAAAACCGATGAATATTATCCCAGTTTTAGTCAAGTTATTGCTCTTTGTAGTCATTCATTGATTCATACTTTCTTCTCAACTCTAGGTTCATTAAAATTTATCACCAGACATCCTGGTGAAGAAGAAACAGTTGTGTGGGTGAGAAGTGGGACACAGGGAAATAAATGGAGATTTGCTGATTTGACTTTTCAAAGTGACAAACCAATGCAGGTATTTTTGGATAATCTTTTATTTTTATTTCCTCCCAAAGCAGTTGAATCAAAAACTTGCTTACTGGTTCCTAAATTTACAGGAATACAGTAACTATTTTATGGCACTCAAAAGCCTAAAATACTAATAATAATCACAAGCAACACTGAAAACCAACAAACTTTTTTTCTTAGACAAGCAAATTCTAATTTATACATGTTTGACTCTGTTTAGCTTTTCTTGACTTGTATAATTTCTGGGACAGTTTTTTTTGCTATTTAACTTACTACATCTGATTTAGTGTTGCTCGGGTTTGTAACAGTTGTGCAATTGTAAAATCATTCTCTAAGGTCCACTTTGTTACACCTGCATGTTTCCACAGATTTGCTGCTGCTTTTCCTGGCAGGTTCCAACATATGGTATTAGACCTAATTTAAGATAATTTTCCTTCATGAAAACAAGCAAGAATGTCACCAAACCAAGTTATAGGTCTGATCTGTGGAAAACCAAACCCACTCACACTAAGATTGTTGTTGTTTTTCAAGATGTTTAGCAATTAAAACTCCTGTTATTTAATAAATCTAACATAGATAATGCCATACTGAAGCTAACATCTCAATGGAGACATGCAGTTACATTGTGCACCTTCAGTCAAAGTTCTTTTTCACTTAAGTATATTTCATTCTACATTATTTTTCTCATCTCTAATGTTTCAGTTTATAATAGAAGCAGTGTTAGGGGGGACACAAGGGAGCATATCCATAGACGATATTGTGGTGTCCCGTGTCTCAAGTGGGTCCTGCCCTGCAGAGAGAGAGTGCACTTTCCAGGGGTCTCTGTGTGGCCTTCAGTCTTTTGGAGGTTTAGGCTGGTCCAGGGTCAAAGGGAGTGTGCTACCAGCTAACGCTCCAGGACCAGAGGCAGACCACACCCTGGGGACGGACCAAGGTAAACCACTGTTTTAAGAAGTTATTTTTTGTCTACTTGATTCAGTCTATTATATTCAGTTTATATATTAAGGATAATACAGAAAATGCCTCTTAAAACAAACATGAATTAGTTTGTGGATCAAGTAATTGGAAGAATCGTCCCTAATCATTCCTTCAATCAAAAAATATATTTACTGTATAATAGAACTGGCTTAGGGTTATGTGGCAGCCAGTTTGTATGACCAAATCTGTTTAATTCAATTAACTGTACTGATTTTGATGTCTATATTGTTCAGTAGGTTTCATGTATCAACAGTAAATGCCTTTCTTGTTGTGTAGGTTACTACTTGAGTTCTGAGTTGTGGAGTCTTGCAGCGGGGTCTAAAGTGTCTGTGATGACAGCAGACATGGGGCCCACTGCAGCTGGTGGAGAGTGCCTAATGTTCTGGTACCACATGGAGGGGTTGGGCGATGGTGAAATAAATATTTATGTTCAAACCAATGAAAGCAGTGCAGAGCTGGTCCGAGTGTGGAACCGACAGGGGGATCAGGGCAGCCACTGGAGACACGGGAGAATCTTACTACACAGTCCAAATCACCAGTTTAAGGTAACATCATATTGTGTTTAAAGATCCTACATTTGTTCAGCTAAGCATCTGACGTTTCAGTTTTATAATTCGAGTCAGATATCTGTCAAAATTCTCGAATGTCACTCCTTCACTCTTCATCCCCATTTCACATTTACATTTGCCACATTCATTAAAGCCACTGAGTCAAAAATATACATACAAATTGAATATTTAAAGTTGTGCTATGTAGGGCTGTGCCAAAAATTGAAAGATCGATAAATCATGATATGTATTTTAGTCGATTTCAGTGATAAGACAAGTGCATTTTAATCGCAAGGTTTACCGCTAATCGTGTTGCAGTAAGAGAGCGTGGTGCTGATGAGGATTTATACTCTTGTTTAGCAAAAAGCATCCTGAGCCACAGGGCGTCCCTTTGCCTCCTCACATGTTCACAAGTTTTGACTTAAATCTGCAGAAAATGTACCTTGCTGTTGAGACCAAATGTGGAGACATGAAGAACTTAATTCAGTCATATGAGTTCTGCCTTGGTCCAACCCCGAAGATCTTATCTTTATATACAAATCCATACACTATACTCTGTCATTCATTACCTGGTGTGGATTTCACTGGAAACACTGCAAAATTTCAGAAGAAATTACTCACTTACTTTATGACTTCCTCTGTTCCATGGAAATGTGGAAAATAAACAATTCTAATGTCTCAATATGATCATACACAGTGCGCAGCATGCTACAGCATTAATTTTCTTAAAAAAAAGTTATTTCAACTTTGTATTTGAGACTGGGCCCAATACTGTAGAGCTCCAAAAGGACAGTTTTGGCTGGGGATAGGTTGGTATAAATTGGCCTCTGTGTAATTCGATGACCTGTGTGTTTCAATGAAGATGTTATTGATTACTCATTAAACATTAATAGCTGAGACAAGTATGTAGTGCTACCAAGCCAATTTACAAGTCAGAACAGTGTAGAGACAAGTGGGAGAATACATGTTTTCGCATTTATTTTTGAGAAATAAAATATAATAATAATTAAATAAATGCAAAACAGATAATGCCATACTATAAAGCAACAGCATTTACATAGAAACAAGCAATTGGTGGACCCCTGCCAAAAGATTACATAATGTACATAAAATAATATTTAAACTAATTAGAACATGAGAAAACTAAACTATTCATTGTTGCTTTTGAACTGCAGGTGATATTTGAGGCAGTTGCAGGTCCTGAACCAAAGGGAAATATTGCTATAGATGACTTGACTGTGCTAAATGATGCCTGTCCACCCCAAGGTCAGTAAAAATGTGTAGTTTTGGTCTCTGCATACTCTAAATATGGTAAACTAAATAGTACTTATGCTTCTTATCTTTTCATAAAAGGTTTTTGTGACTTTGAAATGGACTTCTGTGGCTGGGTGAACAGTCCACCTGTCGAGACTGGACTGCACTGGGACTGGCTTTCTGGATCCAGTTTGGGAAATTCATTTATCCCAAGACGAGATCATAGCCTTGATTCTCGATTTGGTAAATACTCACTATATATTATACAGAAATGCTTATTGCTTTTTATGAATCCAAATTCATTTCAGTCTTGAGAGTAAAATATTTGTAATGCTGTAATCCTGTATTGTTCAACCCTGTGTACCACTGTTCAAAGTCAGTGAGTTTAACCAGTTTGTAAATCAAAATTTGTATGTTTTTATTACACTTTCTAGGTCATTTTGCCTTCTTCACAAATACTAAACCTAATGAAATGGCTCGGCTTGAGAGTGAATTGATGGACTCAGTGGAAAAAGCCTGTTTGGAGCTCTGGCATTACTCATCAGATTGGGTAGTTGACTGTAAGTTTATTTTATTTGTTAAACTAGCAAAGTTTTTTATAATATACTTTGAGCATCATGTATTTTTTAGCAGTGCAAACAGATGTTTTATTTGTATGTGTAAACAATTGGTGCCACTTTATAATAACTACACCTTAATTAGCCTAAGTAAAGCATAAACAGAAATATAATTCATATTTAACAAAGTGTTTATAATGAATTATTCCTGTTTAATAACTTCCTATTAAAGGGCTAGAAGTTAGGGTATTAACTAAGTAATTACTAAGCGTAAATCATTCTTAATAAACAATTTGTTCATCATTAAATTTTAAGAAGAATTAAGTTTTTGTTCATGCTTTATTAAGGCTAAGTGTAATCATATCATATATATCATATAATAGTATCAATAACAAAAACATGTAATGATGTCATGCTTTTGCAAGTTCAGTTCAGATCAGTATCTCAAAAGGTTAGAATGATTTTTGTAACAATGTAATAATTCATACCCACAACCACTCTAGTCCTTAGAACATTGTAATTACTTGTTATTACTTGTTGGTATATAGTGGGATACATTATAATGGATCAAGTATGTATCAAGTATTGTGTAACATTTGTGTGATTTTCTTCTACATTGTGATTTTTTTGTTTTGTTTTCAGATCCTTCAAACTTTATTTTGACTGTACTGATCAATGAAAATGATTCCCTTCAACCCCTGTGGAGCACACATGGGTTTTTGAACTCCTCCTGGATCCTCGGTAGAGTGGATTACATGGCATCTGGGCTACACCAAGTAAAACATATAGTAACATACTGTTATCATACACAATGCCATATTTACACACGTGTTCATTTATATTTCAATGGTTGTTGCAGATTGTTATTGAGGCCACTTGTCCAGAGTCAAATTGTGGCAGTATTTCTCTTGATGACATCCATATTATGAAAGATATTTCATGCAGTGACTTAATCCCAACAACAACTGCTCCTCCTCCAACCACCCCTGCCCCTCCCTCCGCCATGGACTGCACTTTTGAACAAGGTCACAAATTTCCTCAAATGTAGTTTACCGAAAACCAGATCTCTATAGAAATACTTTTATCTTAAAAATGTCTACAGTTCTTCCCAGTAAAATGACTAATGTTTCATGACACATAGACCTTGTAATTCCAGCATATTGTTGCATTTCTCAAAAATCTTTTCAACTCTCCAGCATATGCCACGTGCTTGTCTTGTTATTGTTATTGTTATTGCTATGTCTATGTGCTATGTGCTATGTCTATGTTATTGATTTGCCTAGAGTGCTCCACAATATGCCATTGAATTTGATGGAGACAAGCAAGTGATTACACCAGGCCAAGTTATAGGTCAGGTCTATGGAAAGGTGACTGTAAGAATACTTTTCAAGGGATTCTTGAGGAATAAATACAGGAATGTGCTATATAAGTAAAGTGGATTGGATTGAATACGTTTTAGGTTTGATTTTTAACGCATACACGTATTCTATAGATGTCCTATATAGTGGACTGGTCATAAGAAGAATAAAAATATTTTAGTTATAACCCTGGAAATCATTGTTTCAGTTATTGACAGCTCCTCAATTTGTGTTGAAAGTTGCTGAAAGTTCTTGGATATTTGTGTCTTGAATGTACAGGTCTGTGCACCTGGGTTCCAGAGGTTGGTGCAGATGTGAATTGGACTCTTAGGAATGGACTTAATATTGATCACCCATGGCATGGGGCTCAGTATGACCACACTGTTGGAAATAATCAGGGTATTTATGTATTTATATATGTATGTATGTATGTATTATACTTTTGACATTGGTTTAAAAAACATTTTTATTTCTTCAGGTTTCTTTTTGCTGTTAAATGGATCTGGCTCTGAAGATGGCGAGAAGGCCTTTATATCCACCCCAATTCTGGAGTTTTTTTCAGAGTTTTGTGTTGAATTTTGGTTTTACATGTCAGGGCCAACTGTGTCCTCATTGGATCTGCTCATTCAGACCGTAAGAGTGTTTTTTATACATTTTTGTTTATATTTTTGTAGAAACTAGAAATTGCACTTGATTGCTGTATTTATGTTTATTTAGCATACTATTTTCTAGTGAGTGTTCCCCACTAGTAGCTTGTTTCACTGAAGATGTTATTCCTTCACCTGGCAATATTCCACAGTATGGCAGGTTAAACTTATATCATTAAACATTTATATCATTACTAGTGTTGTTATTGCTCCAAAATTAACGGACATCTCCATCCTTACTGTAAGCAGGCTTGCCACACCACAGATCTGGTTTTCTCCATATGTTTATTATTGCTATAGTGGAGAACATTATAGGCAAAACAGTGGTGACAAGCAAGTAGTAGACCCCCCACAAGAAAAGTTAAGTAAAACAAACTTCTGTTTTTCTTTTCTAGAAATCTTCTGACTTGTTGGTGTGGACACGAGATGGAACCCAGGATCGAAAGTGGACTAAGTCTCAAGTAAATATTAAGAATAATGACATAAAGAAGGTAATTTTTTTTTTTTTTACTTAAACTCATGTACACAAGTATTTATGCACAACAAAATGCTCAATTACTAATGTATTATGTTTCAACCCACAGCTCTTGTTCAGTGCGTACAGAAATAAGAGCAGTGAAGGTTTTATTGCTGTTGATGACATTACAGTGAAAGGCGGAGTTTGCCAAAATCATGGTAATGTGTTTTTTTGTTTTTGTTTTTTTGTTCATGCTTCCATCTTCTGTAGACATTATCAATTAAATTAATGTCTAGTGCATTTTTATCACAGAGAGATGGAATAATACTTTGATTGATTAGTAAAATAAAACATTACTAAGGAAAACTGCAAGGGTTTGATGACTTTTTGTCTTGTCTTTACATCTGTTCTGTTTTTCTTCTGTTTCAGACGTGTGTGGTTTTGATGTGGACTGGTGTAATTATGAAAATGATGTCAGTCATGTTGGACGGTGGAGTCGAACAAAAGCTAAAAATACAAATCCAGATCATACTTACCGAACTGAACATGGTGAGGCGTAATTTGCTTGTATCTTATGACTCAAGATTCCAGTAACAGTTTCTTATTTTTCAGCATTTGACTCAGTCACTGAGTACATCCTGTCTCTTTGGAATCATCTGTATTCATGCTGACGATACAGATTTAAGCAATCATTACATCAAAACTACAGTTACTTATTGTCATGTGTCGTCCTCCAGGTTTTTATATGAATGTACTGTTGTCAAACTCAACCACACCTAAAGTGGCTCAACTCCTCACTTACGAGCTTCCAGCGGCTGCAGAGATGTGTGTGCGCTTCTGGTGAGGCCACTGTAACATAGCATTGTGCAAGTCCAAAGTCTGTGAACTTCCAGAATATGGCATAAAAAACATGACCCATTGTGTTATTTTGTATCTCATCATACACCACATTCTCAGTCAAATTAATTTTATTCTGAATTTAGCTTTAGGTACTTGATTTGTGTTGCACACTGTTATGAATTAGTCCAAGATAAGTCCAAGTTGAGTCTCAACTTAAACTTGGACATGTATTTATTTTGGAAATGTTCATGAAAAGATTGAGAATCATTGTCCAATTAGAGCTGACTGAAAAAGTGTACCCAATTTTAATCTGATACATTAAATACTATGAAAATGGAACATCCAAACACATCCAAAACTCATTATATTTGTGTCAGACTGTCATATGTATTGATGTTTTTATTGTATTTTTGTATGTATGATTTGATAACACTACCTCATGTTATTATGAAATGGTGTATTCCTTTCTTAAAGGTACCAGGTGCCTGCGGCACCCTCCAACACTCTTGCTGTCCATTTGTTCTGGAGTGGAGAGTTGCATGAAAAGCTTTGGGAGTCATCTAGTTCAATGTCTCTGACCTGGGAGATGGCCGAAGTCACTGTGTGGGCACCTGCCAAGTTTCATGTAAGGCCTCAAAATGGTCATTGAATTGTCTTGATCCGAATAGTTTGACAGGTGAAATAGGTAGTAATAATTATATCATCCTCTCCACACACTTATATTTCCTGTATTTTTAGGTTGTTTTCAAAGGATTTGATGTGCCTGGAATGACCTCTACAGTGAAGATAGATGATATCTCTATAACAAAGGGAGCCTGCAGTCCTAGAGGCAGCTGTGATTTTGAGTCAGGGCATTGTTCTTGGGTTAACCGTCCCATAGAAGGGGGCCACGACTGGGTTTTGTCCTCTGGAGGCATAACTGGCCCATCAACCGACCATACCATTCAAACCTCTGACGGTACACAACTACACATATACTGTACACGGGTTCAGAATGATGAAAAGTATGCATTCCTATAGTTATCAACAAAATCGATCATCTTCTAAATGGGAAGCTGAAACCCAGTGCATATATGAACTGCAATATAAGATGATTTTCCACAAATTGCTAAGTAACTTTTCTGGGGAGACCTGCTTGTCTCCATGACTATGCTTCTGATTTGCCTGGAATGTGGCATGATGTGGCATTAAACTTAAAAAGATGCATTTTTACTGTACGAAGGGTTGCCTCTCCACAGATTTGACATGTAACTTAGTGACTCCTCCAGAAGTGTTACAAAATCATTAGATTTGCCAATACAACTATAGCCCATTGTCTATGCTGTTGTTCAGGTTTCTTTAGCCTCCACTTCTGTTTTCATTCTTTCACTTCCTCTGCCCAATATTATTATTATTTTTTTAAATGTCAGTATATTTAAAAAAAAAAAAAAAGCCAGTTTAAAAAAAAAAAAGTCAGTAACAATGTTTTTGTGATTCTTATGACTGTAGGTGTATTTTTGTTGAGCTCTGCACAGCACCTGGATCACAGTAGCAGAGCACAGGTAGTTTCTGAATGGATTCTACCCCAAGGGACTACTTCGTGTCTCTCCTTTTGGTCCTATATGCAGAGGTATGTCGTGCACAATTACATTCAGTTAGTACCCCTACCCCACTCCCCCCCGTCCTCAAGTTTTAATGTGGGCTGAATGGTGGGGGAAAAGTACAGGGCCGTTTTTTTGGTTCCTGTCCGCTCCTACTTTATTTAGAATATTAAATTATTTCAATATTTGGTTCTTGCACCGCTCTTTCAGGTAGGATTTTTTTTTTCTAATTGCTGTGGTCTATCCTATAGATGGGGCATATATCGGTTCCAGTATTAGCAGTATTGGTATTGGCCGATATCGATATAGTTCCTTTGATATCAGCAGACATCAGTGCTTAATATTGATATTCTATAGGGTTTTTGTATTGACCTCAGTGAGCCCTTTTGTGTGTATCCTTTTTGACTCAGAATGGAAATAGAAGAATTATGTGGCTGTATGTTTGCACGAACATGTAACAAATTATTTTATATCCCACAAAAATATATTTTGTTATTATTTTCACAAAAGTGAAAAGAAGATTTGTGATTGTTACTTTAAATTCTTTAAAGTAAATTTGTGAGCAAAATATCAGTATTGGCAAATCGGTCAAAACCATATTGACCCATCCCTAGTCTGTCCTTTGTACATACCAGATTTTATGCATTAATAAAAGTTTTGTCTTTCCAATTTCATTTACTTCAAATAATAAATTCAGTGTCATGATTTTACTACTCTACCTCTGCCTTTATGGGAACCAGGTCAGCAGAATCACCCTTAAAAGTTTCACAAACATACAGTATGCAACAGCACAGAGGATGCTTTCTATCCTGTTAGAAGGCCTCAGTTTCCTCCTATACTTCCTTCTAAAACTGTGCACTAAAGTCATTCAGCCATGAATCACCTGCTTCTCTTTGTGCAACAACTATGAGTGGTAAGGGTCAGAGAAAGCAGTCTGAGAAATGTTTTGTGACATTTTTCAACAGCTAATGTGGTAAAGTTCAGTGGAAACCAGGTTAAAATTGGGACAAGATCTGGGGAGATATAAAATTGCTACAAGATTGTACAGACACAAAGACAATCATCTTGTGATATTTGTTTTCCAAAATCTTTACAAATGTCAGATTCTCCACTAGAAAAGTAGCATAGTGCAGCTTTAATTAAACAAATGAGTCAATACAGGAAAACTGCCACTCTATTTGCCAAATCTTAATTTGTTTCATGATTTTTCTGTTTAATCCTTTTGTCAGTGAATCTGGGGCTTTGCAGTTAAAAATTCATTCAGGACAAGTGGAGGAGGACCTGAGATTTAACATTAACACCAGTGCTAACGAATGGACCAGGTTCTCTCGTACTCTCACAATGAACAGCAAGCCTTTCCGGGTAAAACAATAACCATTCAAGGCACTGTACCTGATTTTTACCATCTTAAAAATGTTTTAAAAAACTGAGCTAGTTCATTTTAAATCATGCATCCAAAGTAATTCCTCACTACCATCCTAATGATTCATCCCAGTGAGTTTAAATCAGAGTGAAGTTTTGCCATGGTGGTAAAACTAACAACTATGAGTATGCTAACAGTCCACGTCCTGATTATGGGACAATAAAAAGCACTCTAATAAGATGCACACAGCATGGAGCAAGCAAAAGCTGGAGATAGACATATTTTGCTGAAATACATGGGTAAAAATACGGTACAGAGTTTTTAACACTATCAGTCGCTGTAAGGTGTTCTTGGCTGTTTGACTCTTTGTTGCTCTTAGCTGCTGATAGAAGCTGAAACTAAACCAACAGGATACATTGCCATTGACGACATCAGTATTAGTCCAGGTCTATGTCAAGGTACAGGTGTACATGTATATAAGACTATTATTAACAACCTGTATGTTTGTGTGTTAATTGTTTTGTCTATTTTACTGGCAGTTAATGAAAGCACTCCAGAGTTTGTGGGCTGCTCTTTTGAAACTGATACCTGTGGTTGGCATGATACAAGCAACGGACAGTTAAAATGGATCAGAGACAATGGGACTCTAGGTATAAATTCATGCTACTAACACATTCTTTTACCAGTTTGCTTGCTATACATTTGTCATTTCAGATGGAGGGCAGGGGCTTCAAAACAGAAAAAGTACAGATTTTTACCTTATTGTTGTTGTGTGTTTGATGTTGTGTGTTTTATGTCTTAAAGTTTTGACACTGTTAAAAAAGTTAGCTCTGAAATTGTCCAGGAAGAGGAGGGACAATGAATTTTAGACAATCACAGCAGCAACAATTAAATCCCAATAATTACCAAATTAGTAACCAGAAACCAGGTTAAAGCATCTCCATTTGAAGGTGAATTTTAACCTTTTAGCTCCACCCCACCCCTACTTTAAATCATATGCTAAATGCAAATGAATGCAACCTATATTTTCATTTGCATGTGTTGACAGTTATTTAATTTGACAAACTATTGTAATTATCAATAAATTCATCTTCATTGTATTGCAGTGTTATTCATTATCAAATCTTTTTTTAGGTTGGTACATGACAGTGAAGGAGATGCGTGCAGAGTATGAGAGTCCGGCTGTGCTGCTGAGTCCTTTAATGCAACAGGCTTCTGCTGAATGTACTGGACACTTTTACTACAACATGCATGCACAGGGTAGGTGTACTTCAAATCTGATATGGACTTTTGCAAGGGCTTGGTATTATTGTTTGTATTTTGTTGCATTAACAATATTCTAAAACAGGTGAATTGTTGACTTTTCTTAGGGTTTTTTTCTTCCAGAAGAACATTTTCAGTTAAAAAATTATATTTTGTGAATGCCAGAAGAAGCCAGCCAGATAGTCAGAAATATACGTTTTATTACAATTATACACTGCCACAAATGATCGTACCTACCCTGATTGTGGCTATAAATGTGTTTCAGTGTTTTAAAATAAAAATAATTTATCTTTTGAATGATCAAGGTCCCTATTAAAGTTCTTCACAACAGGTAGAAGTGATGTTACTCTGTGAAACCAATAGTACATAAACTCCTAATTGGCTAGTAACTGAAAAAGACTAGCCACAGTAGACAGTGAGTTCTAACCATCAATAATTTTAGTTATTTTTTTTTTTTTTTTTTACAGAAATGGGCGCACTTAAAGTGTTTCTCCAGTATGGTCCAGGGACTCCAACCCTTTTGTGGTGGGGGTCTGGTCACCATGGAGACGAGTGGCATGGCGTGGAGGTCATGCTAGGTCGAGTCCCACATGACTTCAGGGTCCGGTTTGAAGCCAGGACCTCTGGACCAGGACATATTGCTATCGACAACATAAGCTTCACCAACTGTACTCTGTCAGGTTCACAAAATTTGTCCTTATTTTGCAAAAAGGAGGAAAATAGTTCTAATGATACAAATACAATTACAATACAATACATATTTTGAATTTTTCCAAGAGCACCCTCTACTTGCTCCTACTGATTGGAACACCTGCAGCAAACAGCCACATTTTTGTTCTTTCTGCACAGATATTGAATGTGTCATTTTGTGTAACTTTAAGCACTTGACTAGGACAACAAAAGCTTACACAAAGTTCAAATTAAAACTGTTTTAAACTTCTATAGGAAGGTCATTCGGCTAGGTTGAAATTAATGGTGCACTAAGCATCTTTCAAGGTGGAGGGTCCGCTATTTGTTTGTCTCCATGAAAATGTTACATGCTTTATTGCTTTTACGTTAAGCGTAGTCGCTAGGGGTGTAACGATATCCAAGTCTCACGATACGATATCGTCACGGTATCAACCTCATAGTACAATATTTATTGTGATATCATGGGTAATCTCACAATATGGTGGGGAAGCTCACGATGTAACAATATCTAAATCTCTGTATGATTTTTCACGATATACATCTCATGGTACATGGTCTATGATATTATTGTGACAATACGATATCACGATATTTCATTTTTTGTTACATCCCCAGTAGTCGGCTCTCCATTTGACCAGTAACTTAGCATGGTGGCTTCACTTGTTTTCCTCATGAAGATGAAGAAGTCTAACGTCATCCTGTGAAACATTCCAGGCAAAGCAATAACATCTCTATGGAGAAAATCAGGTGGTGGACCCAGAAAAGTTACATAGTGCAGCTTCAATAATGTAATACTATTGTATATGTTGTAATATTTTGGATACTGAAAGGGTGAATTTACACTTTTTTGTGCTCTTTTTAATGCACATAATTTTAATAAAATAATGTAACTAATGTAATAGTACGTATTACTGAAGTTAGATAATTTTTTTTTTTTTTTATTTAGAGCCACAGTCTTCATGTCCAGAGAATATGTTTACATGTAAAAACCAGGCCTGTGTGGAGCTCAGCAGAGTTTGTGATTTCAGCGATGACTGTGGCGACTGGTCTGATGAGAGTCACTGTGGTGAGATATAGCAATATAATATACAAGTTTCACGAAGTGACAAGAGTTTGGTTTTTACTTGGTTTGGTGGAATAGTATCTAAGCATCAATTTGTCCTTATTTTTCTTCTGATAGAGGAGAAAGGGGTGACTGAGCGTTGCAGTTTTGAAAATGGTCTGTGCTTCTGGGCCAACAACATGGCCAATGTGCCTGTGGTTAAATGGACTTTACACACAGGGCAGGAGGGATGGCCCGACCTCGGACCTCCTCGAGACCACACCAAAAACTCTGCGGCAGGTCTGACATATGCAAAGAACTTAAACTGTTGAAGAGCTGAGCATATACAGACTATATGTCATTACAGGACATTATTTAAACCCCAGTCAGAAGAATGACCATGTTTCTGAGATTCTCTCCAGAACACTACTGCCCAGCACCAACTGCACTGTAAGTTCAACAATACTTGAGCTTGTGTTGTTGTAAATGAAAATTGGTTCTCAATAAAATGAATATATAAAAACTTGAGTTTAATACAAGTATATCTTTGGTAAGCATTATATTTATTCAAGCACAGTAGCCACAATCACAGCAATCAAGGCAGAAAGAAATTATCTGCACAAGGATGGTCAAGTTTGTGCTTTAGGGAACGATTTTTAAAAGTTTACATTTTATATTTGTATTCCTTCCTTCACAGGTACGGTTCTTTTACTACAGCCTGTCTGATGGGAATCTCACAGTTCGGTCCAGGACTCAGAGGAGCGGTGCAGATGATTTTAGTTTGGAAAATAAGAAATAAGCACAGCTACAATTGGCAACGAGCAGAGGCCACTTTCTCATCCACAACCGAGAGCAAGGTCAGTAAAGCGTTATATAAAAATACACGGACTGCTGTGTGCCTTAGTGTTTCGCCTATATGTACCTCATTCTGCTCTTTCCCTTGTAACATTTGTACTGGTTTGGACCCTATACATTCTTGAAAAGGGTTGAACAATTGTAATAAAAAGTACTATGAACTAATTTATTTTAACATGTTTGCAATGGTCCAGAGTTATTTTTCTTTCACATCCTATCCTATCCCTTCCTAATACCTCACCGTGATGAGTTTATAAACAGCTTTTACTACTTTCAGAGGCCAGAAAGGAGTTTTGCCATCTTTGCATAACTAACAACTAGCATGCTAATAGCACAACAGCTACATTTACAATATACTGTCAAAGCTATTTTACTTTATTACATGTATAAAATGGAGTACAGTCCCAGAATTATAGCTATTACTTTTCCCAAATCTTTACTTAATCTTTTACATTTTTAGGTTGTTTTTCATTATGAACATCTGGAAGGACCCAGAGGCCTTGTGGGTGTGGATGATATTTCTTTCTCTGGAGTTTGTTTGTTTGATCCACTGAACTCTGACCTGCCTGGAGAATTCACCACTTTAGCTCCACTGTCCTCGACAAGTATAAGTCCTACTACTACCTCTCCTGTGCCCCCCTGTCAGGTAAAAATCAGGAGAACTGTAACATCTTTTCCCTAATAAAAATAAATAAAATAGTTTTATTTGTTGCAGGAAAATGAGTTTTTTTGTTGGTTGTCCACTGGTACAGTTTGTGTTAACGCCAGTGCTCAATGCGACTATCAAAAAGACTGTCCACAAGGGGAAGATGAGCATGGATGTGGTGAGTGTGGAAACTTGAATGAATTTGAATGAGAAAGATCTGAAAATCTGAATTCAAGAATATATGTTTGTCTCATTTCCAGGCCCATGTACATTTGAACATGACGAGTGTGGGTGGACTGATATTAGTGATGGACAAACTAAATGGAAAAGGCAAAAGTCCAGCAACAACACAGTGCCTTCGTCAGATCATACCATTCAAACAGGTAACTTAAAAAATGTTACATCTTACTCACTTGTTTCATTTTTATATATCAGTGTACTCTAATGGCAAACTCTACACTCACTTTGCAATTGATTTGTGAATTTTGAACAAACCAAAAGTAAAAAATGCATTCTTTACTGTATCTCCAGGTTACTACATAAAAGTGGATTTCAGTGAATCACCATCACAAACCGAAGCCCGTCTGCAAAGTCCAACTCTGTCTCCTGCATCCTCGTACTGTCAGCTGCAGTGAGTTAAAGTTCATTGATTCTATTTCTTGATCTCATATTGATCTATCAGGATTTACAATTGCATTTTATTTTGTTCTTAAAACTAATGAACATGAACAATTGGCATTTCAAACAAAATCCTCCTTAGTCTCAACTCTGCTCCAGACCACATGCTCTTACTGACAGAGCTTGGCTGTAGATCTCTTAATTAAAAACACCATAGCTGATCATTGACAATTATCTCAATAACTGATTAAAATCTGATTAACTGCACAGCCCAATCACCACAAATTTGATCCTTGTTGTTAATGCAAGGTGAATGGTTGTATTTCTCCTCTTAAACTGTCAATTGCTCAATGCCATCTTCTAAAACTCTGCAACTGGCTTCCAAACAACACACTCTCTGGTTCTTCCTTCCTTATTTTTCCTTGTCAGGTTTCACTTCTACATACAGGCAGAGGGTTCTGGGTCACTCACTGTGCTTATGCAGCAAGAAGGAGGCTCTGCAGGACATGAAGCAATCCTATGGTCACGCAGCCACAGTACCGGTGCTCAGTGGACCCCAGAAAACCTAATGCTTGGACCACAACAGAAAAACTATAAGGTGAATACTTTTGTATGTTCAGGTAAATCACAAATCACAATACAATAAAGGTTTAGACATGAATTGAACAAATCTATGTTGTATTAAACTTTGGGTCTATGGCAAGTGATAGAATGGCTGAAATGTTTTACATGGTAGGGATAGGGCCAGATTTCACAAGATTTCTTATTCCTGTGGAAAACAATCAACAAGTTGCAAATAATACGTGCTTCCTGATATAAAAGGTTCGACAAAAAAGGAATAAAACAAGTATTATTAAGGCAAAATCTAGTAAAGACAAATTACAAATTAAGTAATTAATTACTAATTTAATAATTCTAGTAAAAGCAAAGCAAATATTGTTTTTTGTACAAACAGTTACAGTTACAGCATTAACCAAGATAAATCAAAGCATGCAGACAAGACATGTTTTTGTTATCTGTTTGTGACAAAATTGCTTGTCCAACTTTAGTTTGCCAAATTTTATTTACATGCAAGTCATGAGCACTGAACAACACTAACTGTGCTATGGCTGTGAAGAAAGTTGTAAATTTCCAACAACAGCGAACTTCCTCAGAAAGCTTTGCAAACCTGAGTACCATATTTTCATGTAGTGTCAATACAGAGCCAAGGATGTACTTAAAACAAACACTAAAGTTGCACTATGTAACTTTTTGGACGGAAGTGGAGATTTTATTACAATGTTTGACAGACATTAAACTCATCTGTCTTGTATTTATGATATTACATTTGTTTCAGTTGCTCAAAATACCATAGCAGGCTCACCTCTCAACAGATCTGATCTGTAATTTGACCTGTTGATATCCTGTTTGTCTCCATGGTGAGAGATAAGTTAAATGTCATACTGTGGAACATTCACAGGCAAAGAAATAACATTTCACTGGAGACAAGCAGGTGGGGAACCCTCCACCAGAGAAACTGCATAGTGGACCTTTAACTTTCTTTTACAGATCTGGTTCAGAATCCGAAATAATGGAAGCACAGTCAAACAAGATTTGATTGTGGCTTTGGATGATATTTCTTTCATCAACTGTCAAAAGTCCTTTGAACCACCAGGTATATTTTTACAATGTCTTACCCATATCGGTCTTTAGGACTTGGTTATTTATTTGTTTGTTTATGATGTTATGTTTTTGTTTATTGCATAGCTGTTTCGTTCTTTGGTTGCTCATTTGAAGATGGCCTCTGCAGTTGGTTACAAGGAGCTGAGGATAATCTAGACTGGACTTTGGGATTTGGTCCAACTGAAAGTCCTAACACTGGGCCTGCAGGAGACCACACCACTGGAAAAGGTTTGTTATTCAAAGTGTGTATGACAGGATTTCATGGTTTTCTAGTTATTATTTAGTTTGATGGCATAGTACCTGTGTTTTTCATTTATTATAGTTTTACATCAGCTAAGTAAAGAGCTGAAAAGTACTAAAATACTGGAAGTAGCAGAATACCTCTATGTTATATGTCAACATGGAAAAATACATCAAAATTGCAGTGACAATGTTAACAAGGAAGGCATTTATTGGAGAGATTAAACATTAATTTAACAAAATAAAGATGTTATGCCCTTGTTTACATTATGGTTCTTTGGTAACTGTTATGGAATTACTTCTGTCTGTGTTGTACCTGTTGTATTTGTTGCCCATGGTCCAACACCAGAGAGAGAGAAAGAGAAATAAGGAAGATTTTAAATAAAATCTTAACTAATAAAGACTTGGTGAAATAAGAATCATGCCATATACCCTTTAAAACAGCAGTTTGCATTTTGTTTTGTCTTTTCACTTGTGTAAGTCTTATCTCACACTCATGTACTCATGTGGTGATTTGTTTTTCTTAAAAAAAAGTATAAAAGTATACATGTTTTAATGATATTTATGCCAATATTGTCCTACACAAACACTATTAAGTATGTAAAATATATTTCAAAGAACATTTTAGATTCAAATATGATTCAATTTCATCTTTATTTGAAATCTGAACTCATTCCAAGTACTTGGCAAGTTCTTGTGTATCCCCAAGGGTCCCCATACCTCTGGTTGGGAAACTCTGGTTGCTTTAAAATATATGTATAAAAATAAAAATAAAATATATGTGTACAAATATATTTATCAGTTGCAGAGGGCTCAAATAACCACTTTTGTTTACAGGGAAATACCTTTATTTGAGGACATCCTCTGCCAGTCAGAAAGGGAGTAAGGCCCTGCTCAAATCGATGGCACTGCCCCCTGCGGGTGAAGAGGGACACTGTTTCAGCTTCTGGTACCACATGTTTGGGCCAACTGTGGGCTCTTTGAGGATGTTCTTACAATTTACAGACGTTTTTGAGAAATTATTGGTAAAGCATCCTATCTTCTTTTTCATTACATTGGATGTGCCTACAAATTCTGAAATGACAAAAAAAAAATAACTTTTTTCTGTGTTTCCACTACACCAGCACATCTCTCTTGCAAAGTTTTGTTAAATTGCATTTATTTTGCTCTTTTAGCAATACCAATAACCATTATGATAAACAATTTTAATGTGTGAGTGGTATAATATAATATTACCCATTGCCATTTGTATTTTGCAATTTCTCTTCATGAACTTCTTGCCAAATGCACAGACTGGCACTTTTTAATGTGGATCAACTTCCCTTTTTAACTCTCTCTGTGATTTTATAATTTCATAATTGTGAAATCCTCATTGCTCAAAACTCACATCCTCATTGTGAAGAGTGAATCGGTTTCCTGTGCTTCCTGTAGATGTGGGAGAAGTCAGGTAACCATGGTGACCAGTGGTTGCAGATGCAAAACCATGTGACCGCGAGGATGAGCCGTCAATTAATTTTGGAGGCGACTGTTGGAGGAGAGGCAGGAGATATTGTCATAGATGATATCTCCCTCACAGCTGGGCCATGTCCTGTCTCTGGTAAAGGAGGTTTTCATTGGAAAGCACTTTTTATACATTTTAACACAGTTAAAGTGCATATGACAAGTTAGACTACTAATTTTACTAAAACATAGTTATAATAATTATACTTAACATCTCTTTATAAATTTGTATTCTTTAATTTTGGTGAAGTTTACTTATGTAGACATAATTCTTTAACTGTTACCTACCACCATCAACGAGGGCCAAAACTTGCTCAATATTTCTGATTAGACTAATACAAATAAAAAGTCTGTACATTTTGCTGATGACATAGAGCTATTTCATTTTATAACACAGCACTATTTTCTTTATTTTTGCATGTCTTTTCAATATTTTCTTCCCATCCATTTGAATCTCTCTAAAACTTGCTAGAAACATCTAAGTTGTGTGTTTACATGCAGTTCTGCATCTACAAACATAAAATTCATTGTATTCTTGTATTGTTTTGTCAGGCTACTGTTCCTGGAGTTATTTACAATGTGCCTTCTGAACAGATCCCTATTTTTAAACATACAAACAAATCACAAAATTTGATTTATACTTGACAAATGATTTCAGAAAGACAATAATTTCTGTGTTGTAGATGTGTGTGACTTTGAGCAGGACAGTTGTGGTTGGAGTCAGGACAGTACTGATGAAATGAAGTGGGTCAGACAATTTGGCTACTCCCAATACTCAGGACCCCACACCGACCACACGACCAACACCCCCTTTGGAATGTACTACTTTCTCTCCTCCACACAGAATGATGTAACACAACCATCCGCTGCTATGTCTTCACCTCTGTATCAACCTGGTGAGAACTGTTTCAATTTGTAACACATAACATATTTAGATCGCCATATTACCTTTTATTGTTTTGAAAATGCTATATTTGCTGATAACAATATATTCAAATGTATTTAATTTGTTTTGCTTTTAACACTGAGTCCCCCCTCACTTTGCTCCCCCTTAAAAGTGCCATCACCACACAGTCAATTCACACTACATCAGATTTGTGAAGTTGTAGGACACAGCAGCGTGTAGGACATAGAACATTTTATGGGTTTCAGGCGTAAACACTCCTTCCTGATTTGAAGGGTTTGGTGTGCCTGTGGTACAAATTCAAATAAATATAAAATAAATAGTTTGAATAGGGGAAAGTCCTCACAAAATCCTCAAATCAGGAAGGAATCCTTTTGCCTGAATTGATTTACTACCTATACTTACTTATTACAAGTACTTACCTGTACTTGTATTTTGCAGTTTTTCTCTTTTGTTGTGTTCTTCACAGATGTAGGCTCTTGTGTGCAGCTCTGGTACTACATGTATGGAAATAATGCGGGGACTCTGAATATTTACCAGAGAAGTGCAGATGAGGCTAAAGAGATGCTTGTACTTTCCCTCAGTGGAGCTCAATTTCCACTGTGGAGACCTGCCCAGGCCGCGCTGCTGCCTCGATCCCAGCCCTACAGGGTGAGTCTGCAGAAGAGCACCTCTGACTGGACACAATTCAGAGCACAGAATATACAGAAATGCCTCTGCAGCAGCAAATAAGTTGTGTTCATGTGACATTATAACATTATTATTAATATAATCTTTAAAGTTGAACTTCAGGGCAAATCAGAATTTTATGGTAAAATTTTCTGTCAAGTTGCAGTTTTGATGATCTTGTTTATGGTTACGGTAATATCTCTGTAATCACTGAATATCCACCTAAAACAAAACTGGCACAAAGTTCAATGTCTTTTCTCTCAGTATAAATTTCACAAAAGTGAAATTATTTTCTCAAAGGCCAATATTGCCAATATTCATCTATAAAGGTGTTATATATAGTAGTTAAGAGTTATATAGGCCCTTGTCAATCATCTGATATTATGATATAATCAAATTGTAGAACATGAACGCAACCTAGAGGGCTGGGAATCAGAGTCCCTACTTGAAATAATACACTTGACATGATGTTAACAATAGCCAAAAAGTTATTAGACTATATATAGACTGACCCAGCAGACTAAGTAATAATCACATAAAAACATGCACTTAAAAAGATGTATTTTAGTACCATTAGTATTAATGTTACTCTAAATACAACAAATTTTTCATTGATATTGCTGTTGCCTTGCAGATTGTGGTGGAGGGGGTGCTGTCTGGCCCTTCTGAGGAGGGGGGCATAGCGTTTGATGATGTGCATTTGACAGAGGCTCACTGCTCTCCTCCGGGACACTGTGACTTTGAGACCAATCTGTGCAGCTGGATTAACATGGGGCAGATTGACCAGGCAGACTGGCTCAGGGGCACAGGGGCAGGGGTGGAATCAACCACCAGACCTCCCGTAGATCACACCACCAATTCTTCTAGTGGTCAGTAAATGTATTACAAAGTTATGCTCAATAGTGGCCTTTTTAAGTGCTGAAACTGTTAAATTAACTATTTAAATAGGCCTCATAGTTGACTTCTTTAGTAATCATAATTATCTGGACTATATAGTCTCTAAAACACATTTTCATAGCAAAGAGTGGCATTACTAAATCATAATGTCAAAAATGATTAAACAATTTCAGTAATCATCAATAATTTACTATATTTGTAAATATTCTCAATCGACCATTGCCATAATACAACTTTATCTGGTTAAACATATTTTATAACCCAAAAATCTCAGAGTACAACAAAAATTATAATAATTGTTTAGCCTTACTGTGCACTTAAATAACCAAATATCACCTCAAAAATATATTACGTGACATAAGGGTTAAAATAACTATAGCTGAAATAGAAATAAATCAGATAAATAATGAATAAATTAGGTTTCACCAATGCCTAAAGAAGCAAAAAATAATAGCAAAGATTGTTGTTTGCAATGTGCACAATGTGAGAGTAGACTAGACATTATCAAATCACAAACAACACACAATCGATGTAAACTAAGAGATAACACATCTTCACCCTTAACACTATTTATACTGCTAATTTATTTATTCTTGCATATAGTACTTCATGTTGATTTAGAGTCTTGCATGTTACTGTTAAAATACTGATCAAATGCTGTGCTCTTTTAGGTTATTACATCTATGTGGACAGCTCTGTGGGGCAGTGGGGAGACCAGTCCTTTCTCATTGGTGAGGTTTTCCAGCCATCCAACAGAGGGCACTGCATTACTTTCTGGTACCACATGTATGGAGAGCATGTTGGGACACTCAGACTCCACATTAATGACAGGTAAATTTTGGACTTGGGGACATTTAAGCATTTGGCATAATTCAGGAGTCTTTTAAACTTCTTTGCACACGGTAGCGTTTATAGTTCTTATTGTAAAACATAAATGTGCATAACAAAACTTTTCTGGAGGAAGGAGTTGCTTATCTCCATTGCCTTTTTTTTGTTGCACAGTATGACATTAAACTCATCTTTTTCCATGGAGGCAAGCACGTGACTTCACCAGGCCAAGTCACAAGTCATAATGAGAATATCTTTGAAAATACTTCACCACTGTGAATGATAATACCTTTTGCCAAGGTATTTTTGAGCAATAAAAACTCCTGATGGCTACATTCCATGTCATGTACTAGGCAAGGATTATAATCTGCATGGAGATGTATATGGTGTACCCTCCCCAGAAAAGTTACATTGTGCACTTTTAAAATAATAATTGTATCTGGCTGCAATTAGACTTTTTAGTCATAAGACTATTAGGATAGGTAAACAGCAAAAGCTGGTTTCTTTATTACCATGGTGTTTCTGATTACTCACATCAAATTTTGTTGTTTACATATCATTTTACGTAATCAAGTAATCATCAAGTAATTTTGAATGTCTAGAAGTCAGATAACTATCAGATTTTGGTAGATGTAGTTAAATATGTATGAAGTTGTATGGACTTGTTTACTGTATGCTTGCCTTGACTTGTGTACCAGAGGACAGCATTTTGAAAGGGAGACTGCAAGGTTATGGAAACGTTTGCAACTCCATGCTTTTTTGATGCATTAAAACTATATATAACTATATAAGTTATAACTAACCTGTCCAGCAGAATTACAAGCTTTTCCTATTCTTTACAAATACATGTAGTCTTGACCCAACCTCTGTGAGATAGGTGGATTAGTCAATTACAAAAGCAGATTTAAAAAAAAAAAAGGACTGAAAGAGGCAGAGGCAACTCAGACCAGTGTAGTTTTGCTGTGACATTAACAACGCATTAGTATGCTAACACACACTTCCTGATTAACAAACAATTTATAATTTGAGGGGGAAAAAAGCTCAAATACACGGGGGAGGAAAAATCCAGTACAGGGCCTTTAATGTCCATTGTTAATGTTTTCGTAGGAGAACATATGAGGCTGGGAATGTGGAGGGCATGTTGAAGTGGGAAGAAAGTGGAAACAAGGGAAAACAATGGAAAGAAGCCAGTGTGACCATTAAACATAATGAGCCATTCTGGGTAAGTAAACATTGAAAAAAATCATGTTAGAATAATAGTGGATACATTCAGTACGTCATAACTTCATTTAGTTGGTTGTGCTTGGTTGTCAAAGAGCCCTGGTTAGTATGTGGAGGTAGATTTATGTGTTGAGCAGCAGGGAACTGTAGCAGTAGCAGATTTTCCACTAGAAGTCATTGTAATATCCCTGTTGATCACATATCATTTTCTTCCCCTCAAAAAACATGTAATTTATTGAACTTTTTTGTAGTTTGTGTTTGTCTATCTAAAAGGACAAAACCCAGTGGGACACGTTGCCCTTGACGACATCAGTATTGTCCCTTTTTCTTGTTACTCAGAACCTCCGATCGACCCAGATGCCAAGCATGGTAACAACTAGTTTATTGACACTTTGCAGTTGATGTGATAAACATTTCCTGAGTTAACTGACAGCTCTGCTCTCTGAAACTCTGTTGCTTAAATTAGACTTTAATCTGAAATTTGTTTTAACACAATCTAACCATAAAGATCTGACTTAGATTGAACTACAACAGGTGAGCTGTACTGTTAAAGAAGTCCCTCTCAAATAGATTATAAGAGAAATTTCCTTACACTGCTAGTATTCAAAATTATTGTTTTCTTTACAGATGCGTTAACCATTGGCCTTGGAGTTAGTTTCACGATGCTGGCTGTTATAATCATCTCTGTTGTTCTTTTCATTTTCAGCCGGAAAAGATGTTACAAGTAAATCACTGCTACAATACAAAACCATATCTTAATTCATATCCCATACATTTCAATAAATTGTCATGTCTTCATTTATAGGGAAAATGACTTAATGAATTCTGAGCTTTTAGATCATATTTCAGCTATTGATCTTTCTGACTGTAACAGTGTAAGTTAAGATGACTACTGCAAACAAAAATACATAATGTTATTATTGTACAATAATGTTTCATTTTAAATGCATGTGTCTCTTTTTAGGTGCCACTGGATGCAAACACATCTAATGCTTAGAAAATATTCAAATGTATATGATATTTATAAGATATTACCTGATATTTACATTTATATAACCAATTATGCCAATAAATAAATAAATAATAGAAAGGATTATTGGGCAAAAATAAGTTTGAAATGTGTTTTATTCATTTTGTTCACACATAGATTAAACATGGTAAAACCAGCATGGCTTGGCTTCACACGGTGCTTAGCTGTTTTTGTAGATGCAGACAGCAGTGACACCACAGTCGATGTTTTGGAGCGACTCTCCGGGCGGTTGTGGAACTGGCTCTAATCATGAGATCATCCATTATGCTCATCCACTGTGCTGAACAACTCCTCAGATACTAAACAATGATGTCAGATAGATATTTTACCACATTTTATAAATAATGCAATACAGTGCGGCCTAAGAGGATGCTTCTTCCTTTCATTATACTGGATTTTGCCTGGACAGCATCACATTTTTCAGTTATTAGTTTTTCATTTTCTAATTGGAGACAGTCATTCTCTTTTTGTAAATGATAAATTTTAGATTTGTGAGTGTGTCTTTTTCTTTTATGATATTTTCTGTAATTTCTTTGGCCGACCTGGCCCTGTTATATTCTCAAATAACACCTTTATGCTATCATTTGCTAACAAAATCAACGTAAAAAACATCTAGTTGGCAGATACATTTTGATAAAACCTTAAATAATAATAACAATTTAATATAAAAATTCAAATCAGTTGTGTTTGTACAGCCTCGTATGCGTGAATGCAGCTTGACAATGGGCATCTTTCCAAAAGGGGGACCCTTGGATATTTTGCACGAGTTTATTTGAACATTCATGTTTCTTCCATCAGTCCTTCAGATATAATTTAGATTTCCTCATGTTGGTCTAACCATTAAACTGATTTTGTGCATTATTATGTTAAATGAACTTTAATTTATAAATCAGATCTTATGTCCAGACAGTTTGTCTTTTACTTACTCTATCTACCTCCGCCTAAATTATGCAAGTCTATTGTTTTACATTTTATACTGAAATTATATAAATCAAAAAGTCATAGGATGTGAAAAAGATGTGAAAATATATAGAAGGTTGAATTTGGTTATATCATGCCATGTTTAAAAGCTCAAAATTGTGTATATAAAGAAAATATTAAAATATAATGTTTATTCTAAACAGCCTGCAGTAGTCCAAAGTGATTCCTCACTTAACTTATACATTCTGAGCATCTTCATTTCAAGAGCTTTCCACAACTCAGAGACCAGTGTAGTTTTGCCATGGCATTAACAACTAATTAGTATGCTAACACACACTTACTGATTAACAGACAATTTGCAATTCGAGAAAAAAAAAAAAAAAAAAAAGCTCAAATACATGGGAAAAAACACGGTACAGGGCCTTTAATGTACATCGTTAATGTTTTGGAAGAATACATGTGAAAAAGTATTTAAAAAGTAACATATAAAAAGTGTAGTATATTCATTGTAATATCTTGAAGTATTACAGCACTCTGCTCTCCTCTGCTGGTCATTCAGTGGTTTTGAATAGAAACAGACACACTCTTATCTATTTACAGTCTATTTACAATTTACAAGTAGGTGATAAAGATGATATTTGAGCTGTTTTTTGCTGGCTGCTGCTCGGGGTCAGTGTTGAGTTGGTCTCCGTGGTTTTGTTTCATGTAAGTCTTGTTAAACAGAGATGTTATAATTTTTGGTGTACTACTACAAAATAAAAAGAAGAACTCTGTGTAAACGTAATATTATGTCTTGCCAAATTTTACATCCACAAATGTAAAAATCAGAAATGTCCCCCTAATTTTGCTTGTTTTAAAAACGAACTCAGATTATATATAAAAGCTCTGAAACATATGAATGGACCTAAACCTCAAACTGTGTATTCCTACCTTTATGAACTCAGGCTGAATGAACTCTATTTCCCTTGCTATTATCCTTTTCTATTCCTAAATGCACTTTTTTTTGTATTGTATTGTTTCTACATAATATGTTGTGTTTATGTTCCCTCATCCCAACATGTAACTGCTGACGACACACAGCCATGTTTGTTATATCAAGTTTATGCACCCAGTTGTATGTAATAAAAAAATAATAATAAAATAATAATAATAAAAAAAAAGGTTTTGGTTCATTTACATTTATAAAAACACATTTAAAAAGACAAATCAATCACAGCTGTGCTAAGCGTACGTCGGATGTTACGCGCCGCTAGTTCCGGTGTGGAGGTAGTAATACCGGAAGTGTGTGGGCACAGCACGCACCAGCAGCAGCAGCAGCAGAAACAGCAGCGCTCAGACGTCTATTGAAAAATGGGAGTGCACAGAGAAGTCTTGAAACCTGGTGACGGTAAATGGTGTTTTATTCATACGTTTTACAAATATAGCATTGTGTTTGACATGTGATTACATTTTTATTCCAGAGAGGTCGTACCCGCAGCGTGGACAGAAGGTTGTCGTGCACTACATCGGTGGGTAGAGCCGACATAAAACGGCCTTTTATGGCGCATGGCTAGGCGTACACACAAAAGAACCATCCAGTCCACCGCTCACACCGCTCATCAACCATTTAAACACATTTACTACTAGATTTTCAATAATACGACGTGGGATTACGATAAACCATTCATTCTTTTTCAACCATTTGTTTTCATAACCACTTTTGGGGCGTAGTTTGTTTCAATGCTAGTGCTACATCTGTGCTGCTGTGCGCTGCCGCTTCTAAAAATACCGCTGTTGTTAGGAGTTTGGAAATTATACAATTGTTAAGTCCCTGAAAGATAGAAATACACTTTATAGATTAAGAATACGCCTCTTCTCTAACTTGGAAACTTGGAATGAGGAGGGTGTTCCTGTAAGGGCATTTGGCCCATTAGAAGATAGTAGGGTAAATTATTATTATTATTTAGCCTGTATTTTTGGTTATTGGGCTTTTTGCATTTGAATTCTATTGGATGCTTTTTCTTGTGAACCTATTTTCTTCATTTTATGCCACTACAATTTTCAGATAAATCATTAAAAAAATGTTTAGCCCAAATCAAAAGTCTAATTTGTATGATTTTTTTATTGTTATTATTATTCAGTTTGTGTGTGTGTGTGTGTGTGTGTGTGTTAAGTGTGTGTGTGTAAGTGTAAGTTAAGTGTGTGTGTGTGTAAGTTAAGTGTGTGTGTGTAAGTAATTTATATATTTTTTGTGAATTGATTTGTGACACTACATTCATCTGAAACTGTCAGTTCTGCAATAATGTGTCTAAATGTGGATTTGTAGGCACTTTGACAACTGGGGAGAAGTTCGACTCATCCAGGGATCGCGGGAAGCCGTTTGTGTTCACCATTGGACATGGAGAAGTGATCAAAGGCTGGGATGAGGGCGTCGCTCAGGTCAGTCCATACTCTGCATTGTGTTAGGCCTATCTTATTCTGAAAATATAGTTTTGTCTGGAATATTGGAAAACAATAAGTTACAGATCTCACAGTCGAGATGTTATTATTAACAATAAATTAGTTATTACTGATTTTTACCACCTCATTGATATAATACTGGATCTTCTGACGTAACGGCAAACTAAATCCATTCCACTCATCAATTTGTCAGATTTGTCTAAACTCGGCATATTAATACCTATTAATTCAATGCCTTTCTACATACTTGCGAATTTGTTTGATACCTGTTCATCTTCGTGTTTTATCCCAACTTAATTTCAACTTCCAAATGTATCTGTTTGTAATTAGGCATGTCTGTTTATTTGTAGAGTGAAATTAGTTCAGTGAAAAGTCAAAGTGCTTTATAAAATGAGTTTGTAAAATGGATGATATTTGTTGGTCTACAGTGGAATCAACAAAGTGGCTTTCTCATTATTCTGGCATTATTACTGTTTTCTTCCTCAGATGTCTGTCGGGGAGGTGTCCAAGCTGACCTGCACCCCAGACTACGCCTATGGAGCTCGGGGATACCCACCAGTCATCCCCCCCAATGCCATACTGGTCTTTGAGGTGGAACTCATCAACTGCTATTAACATTTTCAATACCCCATAGCTGCTCATTCCATCCACTTCTTTGGCACCAGTTTAATTAATATTGTGTTGTAATTGTTATTTCCATCACAATCAAGTATTCCACAATTGTAACGAAATTTGAATCTCCCCAATGCTTTAGAAATGTGGTAGTTGAGTTGACATCATGAATTTATTAGACTCTCAGTGATGTTTTTGCAACTTACTATTTTGTCATTTTTGTTGCCAGTACATCTGAAATATTGTGGAAAAGATCATTTATTTTAACTTTTCTATTCAAAATGAAATGTTCTCTAGATTCAGTACACACTTTTAAACGCCATCCATGTGTTTATTTGAATAATGCCATGCCTGAAACTGTAAAATCTCAATTTGTGTGTTTGACTTTGTGCTTACTGAATCATTCTTGAAGTTTGACTACTGAAACATGTTTCTTTTCCACAATATTTAATTTTAAAAACATGTGCCTGTAGTAGATTCCTTGCTATCCTTTATTTTGTCTTACCTCCTTTTGCATTATCCCCCACTCCTTTTTGCCATTTAATCTTAATATGTGGGTATTGCACTTCTTGATTAAAACATTGGATACGACCATGTCTTTTTCCTTGTATAAAGTGTGAATATTTGTTTAATTAAAATATTTTAGGTTTTATTTTTCTTGCCTTTTGCAGTAAAAAGAAAAAGGGCAAAACACTGAATATACACATGATCATGCTATAGATGTGTGTTTATGTTAAGTTATTATTTAAATAGGCTTGTCTGTAGAGTAGATTTTATCATGTTTTGTAGCCTACTGCTTTTACATCATCTAATGCCTCATACATCGCAGGACAAATAAGGGCTCTCTTTATCACTTGGACTCTGTCAGCACTTTGGTTTTGAGTGTCTCTCAGTTCGCCCACAGTGATGAGTGAGCAGTTCAGCTGTCATTCACGCCCACAGAGGAGAAAGAGCCATGTTGCATAATCGGTGGCTAAATGTGTTTTGATTTTTGTGAAGAAAACAGCAGTGCATCCATATACCTGTACAATCTTTGACAACTTAGTCTAAACTTTAAAGAGGTGGCAAGTAGATGATGAAGAAACAACATTGTGCGTGATGGGAATGGGATGCGCTCATTTTAATTAAAATGAAATGAAAATAATAGCTGAATAGTGACATCTCGTGGTGAAAAATTATGACAGACCGTGGATCTATTAAAATAACTGTGACAGACAGGCTATAGATCCCTCCACGGACTACGTCACAGTGACGTCGCAGCACCCGCTGAAAGCACAAGGGGGAAAGGCTCATTAGCGGGAGCTGTAAATGTGTAAACTTTCACGGACTTTTATATTTGCTTGCTGTGATTTTTGGTGTGTGAACAAGAGGAACTGCAATTGTGGCGCAAAACTAAAAGTCTTACTGTATAAACACCCGCGGACATTTCTTCACATAAAAACAAAGACAAAAGAAAGAAAAACAAACACTCTTGGCACATGTAGCCCATGTTTTTAAAGGAGTATAAGGAACGTTCAAGATACTTTAATAAAATGCTTTGTGCAGTTTGAACGAAGATTTCACTACTTGAAATAATAATTTCATAAAAGTAATGGTAAAAGGGAAATTTCCTTCTATTTAAAATGTGTGTACAGCTCGTGTACTTTTGTAAGCTATATCTCTCTTTTTTAGACTTAAAACTATTTCAATGTATATGAAATGATATCAAATCCACTTTTACGCACAAGTTTTATCTTATTTTTTGTTTTTGTGATTTGGACGTAGAGGATAGGTCAAGTCTATAAACCACGCCTCTGCCTCGCTCCAGTAGTGTGAGTATTTTGCACAAGTGTCCCACAGAGAAATTAAATCTGAGCTGGATCGATTTTAAAAAATACGCGCAGAAGACGGGGGCGTTTTATGCATTATTAATAAGCCTATATTTTATACTCAGCGCTATAATGACTCCTTTTATTTTTGTTGGATGTATCGTGTTTTCTTATTTTCACATAAGCTGCGCACAACCTGTTTATGGTAGGTACAGTTATTGTCTTACATTTTTACTTTATATTAATTGAGAAATGTAATGGAGGCCTGCGCAAATGTCTGAACTAATGTTGTGTTTAGGGATAGGATGCTGTTTGATTAATCTTTATTTTTAACTTGCATCCAAGAGGGGAAAGTTGCTATCGTTTACAAAGGCTAACTTTTGTCGGACTGCCTAAACTGTAATTTAAGAATTATTACTTTGTAGTATAGGCTATGGGAAAGAGTTCATCCCCAGTACTCGCAGTCGTCTTTTGTGTGACATTTTGACAATAGCTAACTTTACGCACAATCCAAACGCTCAATTTTAAGACAACTTTAGTGTGGCATAACCCAATGTTTAATTCTATCAATACCAACCCGTTTTTTTTTTATGCACTATGAACGTATTTTGAGTCGGTTCCACTTTGCAACAACACGATGCCTCTCGTATTCTTGTGTGACGCGTTTGTTTGGCTGGTGCTACACTTAACACCGCTGCATTGCCAACGTGTTTACGCACACACGATGAAGGTGGGGGTCAGCGCAGCCACCCCAGTGTGAGTCATGCCCCTGGCCCCGGTGCGCTCTGGGACTGGCCCGCAGTGGAGGTGCTCCCATGAGGAATGTGAAGCGCGCTTTGGCCCCTCGGTGCGAAGAGGAAGGACAAGCCCCGTGATGTCAGTGCGGAGCGGGGGAGAGCTGCCCACATGGCGCGCTGCTGTGGATGCCCTGGGAGAGGACTACAGGGCGCAGAATACCACTGATTAAAGCGCGCTAGTTTCATATGGGCCCTCATCACTCCTGCAAGGACACACTAATGGGTTTCAGCTTTTTGTTAGAGGCAACATTTGACCCTTTACCCTTCAAAAGATATAATATTTCGTTTTAAATTTTTAATTCTAATTTATCATCACTCTGAAACCCATAGATACCAGCATAGACAGGCCTAGTCAAATCAGGAGTGTCTGAACATGATGGATAAGATTCATTCCACTTGGAGGCAGTCACATATTACTGAAAACTGTAGGCCCATCTTGCGTCTGTATACGGCCAAAATAACGTTGCAACATAATTTATTCTTCCAAATTATAATGCAGTTGAGCTTGACAATAAGGGATTTTATTTAGTGTGCTTAATTACAAATTATTGTAACTGTATTGTAAAGAAGGTGCATGATTTCACATGTCTCACATACGTTTCACGTGTATTTTTCTGTGCAGAAATAGCACCCCCATCATCAGAAAGGCCTCCGAAACTCTGGACTCATGGTCGGACTGTTGGGAGCCACTACAGAGACCAGACAAAAGACCAGACCAAAGACCAGACTAGAGACCATCTACTGGAGGAGGAGAACCACAACACCACTACAGTAAGATACTGTTTGGTACAAGTTTATAATTAAGCTCTAACTCTATATCTAACTACATTTAGGCCTTTAAGATTTCCATTAACAGTTGTTAGCTGTATCCCATCAAAATTATCCATCCATCCATCCATTTTCGTCCGCTTATCCGGGGCCGGGTCGCGGGGGCAGCAGCCTAAGCAGGGACTCCCAGACTTCCTTCACCCCAGACACGTCCTCCAGCTCCTCCGGGGGGACCCCGAGGCGTTCCCAGGCCAGCCGAGAGACATAGTCCCTCCAGCGTGTCCTGGGTCTTCCTCGGGGCCTCCTCCCGGTGGGACATGCCCGGAACACCTCCCGAGGGAGGCGGCCAGGAGACATCCGGAACAGATGCCCGAGCCACCTCAACTGGCTCCTCTCGACATGGAGGAGCAGCGGCTCTACTCCGAGCTCCTCCCGTGTGACTGAGCTCCTCACCCTATCTCTAAGGGAGCGCCCAGCCACCCTGCGGAGGAAACCCATTTCAAGCGCTTGTATTCGCGATCTTGTCCTTTCGGTCACTATCCAGAGCTCATGACCATAGGTGAGAGTAGGAACAAAGACTGACCGGTAAATTGAGAGCTTCGCCTTTCGGCTCAGCTCCCTCTTCACCACAACGGTCCAATACAGCGACCGCATCACTGCCGAAGCTGCACCGATCCGCCTGTCAATCTCACGTTCTGTCCTTCCCTCACTCGTGAAAATTATTGTTACCTATACATTATTTGTGAAGACTCATGAGTTACTGAGTATTTGGCTATACAAAAATAAAATTAATTGAACAACGCTCCATTAAATAGATAATAGATTAAATATACAATAGATTTCAAATATATAATTCTGTTGTCCATTTATTGATTTTATTTACATTCACCCTTGTACATGTTTACGTCTGAAAAGTTATTAGTGTTATTTATCCACACAGGATGTTGATCACGTTTACTACACGTCAAAGGTGTATAGTTCCACAGACGCGCTGAGAGCAGAGCTGTGGGTGAACTTCAGCCAGCGTCAGGAAACATGGAAGAACCACGGCTCTCTGCCAAATCTGCACCGCCAGGCTGAGGTAAGAAACAATCCTGCACCCACTCCAGTTTGGGACATACGGGTCAAAAGGTCCCATGGCAAAGATTGGCAATGTATCGCATTTGAATGGAAATAGGAATTTGAGATGGTGCACTTATCAAATCACAAAGGGTGCAATTTATTCGAATAACAAAATGTCTTTAACTGAAATTTATGAGATTCTTGTATTAGTTTTTCAGTTCACATTTCAGCCTTTTCTCTCAAATAATGGATAATCTCTCAAACTGGATAATGCTGCTGGATGCTGGAGGTAAATACATAAACATTGAATGAGAAAAAATTGAGGAAGCTCTATCTATCTGTACTTAGTGGAATCATAGAAATGGAACAAAGGCTTAGGTTTGGTCTCAGGTTTGGTGGGGACATTTTCAACTAACACCCCCCTCCATATATTTTATGAATTCTTTCCAAAAACATATGGAATCTGGGCAGGTCCAAAATAAGTGGGACGTGGTTTCATTTTTCAGTTTACAAAATGTACAGTTTGTGTCCATTGCCCTTCTAAGATGATTTTTTAGCAAATAACAAGGATGTAGAAGTTTGTAGCAGATTTCCCTTTGCTTGTTGGTGATGAGATATTTGTGAGGTAATGTCCGTACATTTTTCCATGTAATATTGTCAGTAGAGTCCGATTGCTGACAGTGCACAAGTAGGGCTCAGTTTGGGAGGTGCACTTGTGGAGATAGTCGCTCTTTTTTCACTCACGGCGACTCATTATAAGGTAAGTTTAATTGAAGATGAAGCCAAGTAAGTCCCTTTTGAAAAGTTTTTCAAAGTTTGGTGCACAGCATCTTCACTCACGCCTGCTCAAGCCGCCATCTTCGGGTGCTGGCCCTATTCTGCTGCTTCCCCAGTTTAGGCTCCTGGCTCCACTAATGACATCCACTCTGTTGCAGCCAATGAAATAGTGGCAGGGGTAACTCTGTCATCACTGAACGTCTAATAAACAAAATATGAACTAAAATGTGTTATATCGGAATAAATTTATATTTCTGTTCCTTAAAATAAAATGGAAAATATTGGTAGGGACTATTTTGTCTTCCCCAAATATTGGTTGTGACATGTCCCCACCATCCCTATGCAAATCTATGCCCTTGAAGTGGAATAGACACCACTCATTTGATGTAAAACAAAGCAAATATTGTGTAGGGTAAGTATGAATCAAATGCTGTTTTTACAGAGAGTGCGTCTGTCCTTTGACTTCCCTTTCTATGGTCACCTCCTGAAGGAAGTCACTGTGGCCACTGGTGGTAAGATCTGAATTTTTTTTTTTTTTTGAATACTTTAAATGTGAATTATTCTGTTTTCCATGTAATAATATTAGCTGTTCTTTTGTAAATGTCAGGTTTCATTTACACTGGAGAGGTGATGCACCAGCTGCTCACAGCCACCCAGTACATCGCTCCTCTGATGGCCAACTTCGACCCAAGCCTCTCACAGAACTCTTCTGTGTTTTACTTTGACAACGGTGAGAAAAGAGAAAACTAATATAACATAACATGCCAATTTGAGAGGGGAGGAGACACACACAAGACTCCCTGACAATATAACTGTGGTACATGACATGTAATACTGGTGGAACAAAATCTCTTTCAGGTGGTACGTGGATGGTTTATGGTTTTGTCTAATTTAGAGTTCATTTTATCCACAGTTTTGTTTCCTTTGTATAGTTTCTTGTTTAGGACTACAGTGGAAATGGTGTAGTCCACTTTTAGACTTTTACCTGGTTTCAGTGGCAGAATTAGCAATTTTGGGGCCCTAAGCAAACTTGAGTTTGGGGCCCTCACAATGGACCTTTATGTATTATCTGTTTTTCCCCATTATTCTTGAGAACCGCACATCTCTATTTATTTGAATTATTATACTAGATAACCAGAGCTGAAAATAGTTTAATACAATTAAATTTTTTTTCTTTTTCTTATGATTATTGTTTAAAAGTGCCATTTAATGTCATATTGAAAGAAAATCAAATTGCACTGAGGCCTCGGCCATTAACAGCACAAGTTCAAATGTTTGGGGACCCCTCCAGATTTGGGGGCCCTATGCAGCTGCTTACTTTTGCCTAATGCAGGCACCTCCTCTGCCTGGTTTAGCCCTATAGGGACCTGGAATAAACTTGGTTTAGAAATACAAATCTTTTCTTTGGTGGTACTTGGTGTGAAAGATTTGAGAGCCACTGCTGTATATATTACTTTAAACACTGTTACACCATTTAAAACTTGATAGATGAGATTAGGAAAGAGGAGAGAGGAAAGCTCCTGAAAAAAAAACATATCAGCCCAATCAGCTGTCAGTCTGCTGTCCCCTCTTGTTTAAGAACACCTCATTTCCCATCATGCATTTCATTTACAATCCATGAACTCAGCAAAAAATAAAATAAAATGAATTAAATGAAATAAAATAAAATAAAACTTGATGTACAAAGTTTGGCTGCATAAAAAGAGGTTGAGTGTTGGTGTTTAGGTCCTGTATTTATCCTTTTTGTGAATAGTCTCTCTTCTCTAAAAGGCACAGCTCTGGTGGTGCAGTGGAGCGACATTCTCCTCCAAGACAACTCCAGACTTGGACCCTTCACATTTCAGGCCGCTCTGCACAAAAACGGACGCATCGTGTTTGCATACAAACAGGTGACTTTGATTTTATGTTTCCCAAGGTACTTTAGCTGTTTTCACAATTACAACAATTACATCATCTTCTTTTATTCCAACTGGTCGACTGTCCTGTTCACTGAAAAGGTGCACTATGGAACTTTTGGTAGAGGGTCTCTCAGCTTTTTGTCTCATTTAAAGGTCTTGAATGTTTCACAGTTTGGTATAACTTCTTTTTTCAATTACATGTGTGTCTTCATTGCAGGAAATTACTTGGTTTGGTAGAGTAAAACCCTCTAAAGCACTCCTTTAACTTATGAATCTTTTATCTTTGTCTTCACTGGCAACTCTTACTACCTCTGTAATGGGTCTGTGTAGTCTAATTATTTCTATTTATCAGTTTATTTTTATTGGTCCCAATTATTCATAAATAATTCTACATGTTGCAGACCCAAAGATGATTCTGACTTTCTGGTGCAGGGTCTGTCACCTACATCAGTTGGGACACATGCTATTGCTTAAATGGAATGTTCCACAATATGGCTTTAATGGCAAAAAGCTGCTTCTTCAGTTCTGGTCAAAATGCTGGTGGACACTGCCTTATATCTGCTTGCAGGGAGGAGTTAACTACAATGAAACTACTCTGAAACTAACACACCTACTGGTTTACAGTTTTTGTTAGTTAGCTAGGTCTATTGAACTTGCACTGAGTGTGGGGTCATATTAGCATAATCACTCAGGGCCATTAGGGCTGCTTTCAGAAAGCATTTTGACCAGAACTGAAGAAGCAGCTTGAATGAGCTGCAAAACGTATTCGACCAAATAAACTTTTGTCCAGCTGACAAACTGAATTTCTCCTTTTGTCATGGATTCTACCTGGATGACAGAGTTTTACACAAATATCCCATTAAACTTTTCTCTATGGAGACAAGTGATGCCACTACACCAAGTAACAGGTCAGATCTATTTTGCATGCCATTTATTCAGCCAAACACGTTTGTAATTGGTAAAGTGCTGTATACTTGGCAATACTTGACAACTATAGATTAGAAAAGCTACATCACCTTTAATTTTCATGTAAGTTAACATGTCACTCAAATTTTTCCTCCTCCAAAAATATGGTCTTCACATGCTCATGTTTCTCTATCCTCAGTGTTGCTAACTGTATTACTTACTACTCCAGCTGGTTATGTAACAGACCTTATTTTGTGCCTGTACTGTTTTAGATCCCAGTGGACACCAGCCTCATCAGCACAGAGCATCATCCAGTCCGAGTGGGTTTGTCTGATGCTTTTGTGGTGCTGCATCAGATCGAGCAGATTCCAAGTAAGTTACAGCTGTTCAAAGATATTTAAATAATATTGCATTGTGAGAAAAAAAAAAAATATATATATATATATATATATATATATATATATATATATTTATCCTCAAAGGGTCAATTTAGAAGTACAGCAAAAAATATATATGGTTTGTTTTATTTTATTATTGGTAGAAAACATTTTTCTATATTTTTGAGGAATTAAGTTTTGATACAGTTGCAAATATTCTTACAACTACTACTATTACTTGTTAATACTACTTTTTAATATTAGCTGCACCAGTCAGTGCAAAAAAAAAATTACGTAAACTTTAAAAATATATGTATTTTCTACATTAAAGGTGCACTATGTAACTTTTTTGGTGGTCTTCCATTTGTTTTTTCATGTGGATGTTATTGGCATTTAACACCTGTAATTGAGTAAATGCAGGATAAATACGTTTAATGCCGTACTGTAGAACATTCTAATCTAAGCAATAACATCTTCATAGAGACAAATAGGTGATGGACCTTCCACCAAAAATGTTACACCTTTGAGTTACTGTTGCTGATTCTTTAGATGTCCGGAGGAAAACCATTTATGAATATCACAAAGTGGACATTCTCAAGTCCTCAGTGTCTAATTGCACTGGAGTCGAGTTTTTTCCTCTTCCAAGTAAGTCCAAATTCTAATTATATGAGTTATATCAATTAAGTACTTAATAACACACTTGCGAATAATTGATGTCCGTTTAGCGTGCCTCCAGTTCTCCAGCTGTGGTTCGTGTGTCTCTTCTCAGATTGGATTCAACTGTAGCTGGTGCAGCAGACTTCAAAGGTAAAACATTTTAACTGTTCCTTTGTAATAAATGAAAATAAAAATGTTATAAATGTATATACAAAAAAATAGCACATGGGTGTAAACTACTGATGATTCTGGTTCACACTTATGCGTATGTGTTTTTAAAAATAATGACCGAGGATTGGTGCTACGGGACATTCTGAATTGGACTCTTAGCTCTGATAATGCGCTGACGACTGTGCTCTGTAAAAAGTGTAGTTAGGCTCTTTTATGTTTGTATGTTAGTCTTTAGTAGAGCAAATATTTACTATAGCAAATAGTAAATAGTTACTTATTATGTACAAATAGAGCAACTTTTATTACAAAAAAAAGTTCCCCCAATGCTACAAATCTTACCCACAACCCTTTTCACATGTCTGTATTTTTCCCCTCAGATGCTCCAGTGGTTTTGACCGTAACCGCCAGGACTGGGTGGACCACGGCTGTCTGGACGAGGTTTGCACCTGTCACTGAATCTGCACTAAATCACAGAGCAGCAAACACAGCTCAGAGGAAGAGTCACCCCTCAACACTGCGCTCACACACCATGGGCCAAAGTTAAACTCTTACTACCGGAGGGAATGAGTAATGCAACAAATTATGAAGCAACTTTCAGTTTTTTATGTTATGGGCGTTATTTGAAACATATGTGACCATTCACAAGATAGGACAGTTTATTTGTGTTCTTTGACTAAATTTTTGCTCACTAAAAAGTAATCACAAAAAAACTAAAACCAGGCTAAACTAGAATTACATACATTTTTATTGATTAAAACTATGACAAAAAGGACAAACATTTTGGTCTAAACATAAAAACTAAAAGGAACTTGAATCTAGTTCCATTCATGACTAGATTCAAGTTGCACTTGTCAGTCCCAGAGCTCTAAACCAGATTATAAACTCAAGGCACATGTCTGTACATGTCCCATGAAGCAACACAATACAATTTATCATAGCTAAAATGCAAATATATTTTCAGATTGACTAAAACTGTTAAGGATTTAGTCAACTAAATTAGCATGACATTTTGAGGACTGAAAAAACTAAACTCAATTGTCTGAGTAAATCTTGACTAAATTAAAAATAATTTTATCAGATGACCAAGAATAAATCTAAAATTTCTTGTCAACATGTACAAAGTTTGAAGCACTTTAATCTTTTTTGTGTTAATGTAAAGTTTAAACTTGATTAATGATTATTAGAAATGCACTGAAACGTTCCTCCCTTATCTTCCAGAGGGGAGACCCTCGTTGTGTTCAGACTTCCGACCCCTCCTCCTCAGTCCCCTCCACCCAGAGCACCACCTCTGCCCAGTCTGCAGCGGGACAGCACAAGGGGGCCACAGCTGACCCCCAGAACAGTACACAGAGAGCGGACAATACCTCACACAGTAACACGAGCAAGAGGACCGTCTCAACTAAACAACCTCCAACTGAAAATGGAGGTACATAAGTATATTTGTCAAGCCAAGATAATAGTTTTAAATCATTGGTGTGAGTGGGAATTGTTAAAATTATTGCTTTGTCTGGAATGTTCCATGTGTGGCAGTAAGCCTATCTATCTTGCAGTATCCAATTACAGGTGTATTTATTGCTATAGAAAATACAGTGAAAAACATGCATTGTTACTGTGAATGGGCTCACCTCTTTACAGATCTCCCCAGATAGACAGTTTAATGCCATACTGTGTAACATTCAGAGCAAATGGGGAATGATTTAAAAGAACAGAGGGCATCTAAAAATATCACCTTGTTTATGGTAAATTACTAAAATAAAAAAGTACCACAAAGTAAAATGAGTATCAGCACAAGAGAACTAATGTAATAAAAATAAGTGACAACCATAATTGTTTCCAGTTTTAAAGACATAAAGACATGAGGTTAATAAAGGCAATATGTGGACAAACCACTAGCAAATAAAGATTGAAGTTCAAATTTCAAATTGTTATGTTTGAGTTCATTCCATTCGTTAATTTTCTAAGTTGCCCTTAAAGTAAATGCCTATGTCAAATAATAAAAATACCAAATTATATGGTATTTCTGATATAATGTCGATGGCTGGACAATAGGGGGAATTGGGCCTTTTATTTGAGACCCCTGGTATAAACCTTCATGTAACCCCCCCTCTCTGGCCCAGGTCCTGATGAGGTCCCGGACCAGGTGGGTCTTGTGGTGGGCGTTGCCGTGGGGACCGTTGTCGTAACAGCAGCGGTTCTTCTGTCTCTGTACGTTTATATTCATCCGACCTCTGGCCTCAGTCTGTTCTTCATAGAGGTACAATTAATACATTTACATTAAATAAATCTTAAATTTATTATAAGTCACTTTATTTATCTGCTAGAAGTCTTACTTTTATAGTTAACCCTTAACACTTCTTGATTTAAAGCAAAACATAGTAACTTTAGCGATAGAGTTCTCACTGTAGCTCCCTTGTGAGAACATATTAAGGCCGTATAATGCAATATAAAAACATAATGTTGCTTCAGAAGCACCCCAAATATATATATGTATAAAAAACAAATTGATTTAAGTATGTGATGCATTTAATTAGTTAACCAAATGAACACCCCATCTAAAATATGTTCATCTTAATATGCTGTGTTTTACGTTTTTATTAGATGTTTTTTATTAAACCCTTTAACCCTTTACACTCCTCTCTCTGTCACAGCGTCGCCCGACCCGTTGGCCCATGCTGCGGTTTCGCCGTGGCTCCGGTCGGCCCTCGTACGCCGAGGTGGAGCTCACAGGTCGGGACCTGGACAGCTCTGTGGTCATTGACCCCAAACAGGCCTTCATCATCTCAGACCGGAGGGAGAGCGAGCAGAAAGAGGGCTTTGTAGTCCCAGACCAACGAGAACGCTTCCTCCTGTCTGACAACTCCTGACACTACAAGAGATTGCTTTGAGATTGTGATGGGTCTGTTTCTTTACTGAATGCAGCAGCAGTGTAAAGCATTCACTGAGAAAGTTGTTTAACCTCTATGAGGAAGAAATGATATGCAACATTGTACATAAAAGAGAAAAGTACTCAGGTAACCAAAAAAGGAAATCTATTAAAAGATGTCCTGTGCCATCTACTCATTTCCATGGAGATGTTACTGCTTTGTCTGGAATGTTTCACAGTATGGCATTAAACTTATCTATCTGGAATCAAATAGGTAATTCTACAAAATCAAGTATTTCTTTAACAATCAAAGTGCCTGTAATCATATATCGTAAGGTACATTTTGTAAAGAAACGTCTTGTATTACATGGCCAAATCACTGGTTTATTTTTTAATTTAAACATAATACTCAAGAAATAAACTAAATTAATAAAAATAAATAAATAAATATGAGAGAAAGTTTGGGGTATTTTTTGAGTCAATTTTGGCACCTTTACCTTTTATTACTCAAACTCCACTAGTCCTCTATAACTGCTACTACTCTGACAAACCCGAAAAGAATCTGTGTAGCAAATAAATACTACTTCATCTTGTTTATTTGCATATTCAAAGTGACGTATTGGTATTGCAGGTTGTTTGTTTAGAGGCTGAGAAGTCTTAAAGAAGTCTGTCATTTTCAGACTCAGAAATCAGGAATCTGGTGTTCGGGTGGCATTTCCTCATCTCAAAAAACAGACTGAATTCCTCACTACACGCCCATCTCCAGCGCCGGAGCAAACTGGATCAACGAAAATACAAAACAACAAAAATAAAAGTTTGAACCATAACTATTTATATTAACATTGTTTTATTTTGTGCTTGAAAATAAACTACAACTGGCAAAAATACAATTTACAGAGGACAGTAAATAAGGTGGGATATGTAACGTTTCTAATTTTTCACATCATCCAAGCATGTAATAGCCTTGCCACTTTTAGCACAAGTATGTGTTGTTGCTTTTTACTTCTATTGTGGTGCAAAAAAATCTATTTCAACAATGAAACAAAAATATATTAACAGTCTTAGTTTTTTTTTTTTTTTAATCATTACACACAGCAAAAGCACAGGATCATTTGTCTGTTGTGTGGACAGTGAAGGCACTAGGCACTGCTGACTGGACGTAAAACACTTAGGTTTGTTTGTCATCTGAAAAAAAAAAAAGGAAAATGTGTTTAAATTTACAGTGGCATTTTTTATTTAAAGCCTTGTAAACAACTTGGAGGTAAGAAATCATATTTGTTAAAGAGTTTAAAAAGAATGATGTTTATCTCAAAAAGGTCTGGAGGGAAAAACAAAAGAATGGTCGCTGCAAATTTTTGTTTCATTTCTTAAAGCAGACCTATTACTCAAAATCTGTCTTCTTTATAACCAAGCTATAGTTATTTCCCCCTCTCATTTCCCCTCTCAAAGTTGTGTTTGGAGTGATTTGTGCATATTTGAACAGTCTTTGTCGCTTTATCGCTTATTTTCAAGATTTCTGATCAACTTCTCACCACCACCGCCATACGACCACTGGATTTGGATTTGGCAGCATTCCATAGTTAGTTTGGTACAAATGAAAAATGAAATATAAAAAAAAAAAAAATCTGATGTGCAGCTATTCTCTAGAGCCAACAAGTTCATGACTCTTTGTTGTGATGACAATTTTCTAGCGTGGAAGTCAGTGTACTTGTTTCTTTTATTAAGTTGTTTTAGATAGATTATGATATAATATTGCAAAAAATGTTCAAATCATAACATAATGATCCACAAGTGTCATAGATTATAACTATTACTACTAGTATATAGCCAGCTCAAGATCAATATGTCTTCCTTAACTTTAAATTCAATGGCATTTTTTTGTGTCAGCCACATCATAAACTGCTAAAATGTATTTAAAGAGAACGATTCATAAACAAAATAACTAATATCTAACTAAACTAATTATTTTGTGGTGTGTATCTGTACCTTTAATGGGCGGAGCCGGCAACAGGCGCCTCTGCTGCCTCGGCACATCCAGAGTAATGCACTATAACACAAACATGAGCCATTCATTAAGTTCATTCAGCTCTTTTAATATTGAAATGTGCGGTCAGTACCTTTGCTGGTGAGGTCCTGGTTTTAGTGAAAGTGGGCTGAGGGTCCACGTTGAGCCCGGCACTTCTCAAAGCAGCGATTCTGGCTGAAATGTCTGATATCTACAAAAAAAAAAAAACACCAAAAATTGATAATTAATGTTCCTTATAATGGGTGCACATCATGAGTTGAATGGTGTCATTGCATAGAAACACTAGAAGAAAATAGGGATAACTAGGATTAGGGATGACTAGGATGAGAACCCAAAACAGGATTGAAAAGGACTAAAACTGGACAAAACAAATAACCATGAACACAACACCAGAAATAGATCTTAGCACATTTAACCTCAGCTGCTCTAAACGCTGTACAGACATGACTATAACAAGCAGTTAATAATAGGACTGGACTGATGTTAGTTAGGATCAGTTAGGATTAATCAGGATTAATCTGATCTGGGTCATAATCACACAAACATAAACTGTGAATAATCAATTATTCACCTCACCATGATAGCCAAACTGGAGAAAGCAAAATCTTAAGCAAATGTCCCCTCACCTGCATGTCGGACTGTTGGACTTTAGCTGCAGCTGTTGCCACCTGTTCCTCCAGGTATCTGAGCTCTGATTGGCTCGTGGAGCTGCACACTGCCCGGGCGCAATCCTCCAGGTCCTCAAGCTCCAGCTCCAAATCATACACTGAACCAGCCGCTATGTAAACCTGGGGAATGAGAGAGGATTCAACACTGGAATACATATATTATTCACAATACGAGCATTTATTTAAAATTGTTTTGTCAGTTGTTTAGCATCAAAGAAATGTTAGTTTGTTTTTAAAATTCACATGGCGAGAAGTTAATTCCATAAATTAAAGGTGTACCATGTAGCTTTTCTGGTGGAGGGTTCACCTGATTTAGTCCATGAAGATGCCTGGAATGCTCCACACTATGTTCTGGGATGTTCCAGCATATGGCATTAAATGTTTCAAGTGAGCATTTATTTATTATTCATTATGAGTGTTTTATTGCTAAAGTTAAAATTTTATTGAAACTTATGAAGACACATGTCACCAGGCCAAGTTACAGGTCTGATCAGCGTAGAGATTCATAAGTTCAATGCCATACTGTGAAACATTTCAGACAAAGAAATAACGTCTCCATGGAAACAAGCAAATGGCAGACCCTTCACCTGGAAAAGCTACAAAGTGAACCTTTGAATAAGATAAGAAATAAATGATGTACAGTCATTTGGAGTTCATAGTTGCTTCCAGTTCACATTCAATTTTGATGAGTGAACTCCTTGCACGTTCATAAGTTCTCACACATTCATATTATTGAGCTGAAGGGGTCTGGCTAAAGGACACAATGGCAGCATGCATTCAAAACAACACAGATGTGCATTTTTGCTCTTACATTTTCCTCCAGCCGACAGAGCTGCTGGTCCAGTTGCTTGTGGTTTGGGGACAGAGGGGCGTATGGGGCAGAGGGGGTGTCAGGAGCACCCTCTGTCTCCCGTAGCAACTGCTCTGTGGCGTTGAGCACCTTAAGGACCTCCGTCGTGATGCTGCACAGAGACTGAGCAGAGTATCTCTGTGGGACAACACAAACTGTAACCAATCCATGGGTTTCAGTATGATGATCAATTTAAAGCAACGTATTATATATTTTGAAAGTGGAAAATGCTATAGTTTGATTTTGTATTAGATCACATTTTAATACCTAGTAGCATGCAACAGCTGCCCAGGGACAGATTGATAGTAATGTGGCTGCCAATTGGTCACTTTTACTACCATCGATCACTCAAACCTTACAGGGAAAGTGGTGAAAAGTATTACTAGAGTAAATAATGATAGCGCAATTGGAGCTTATTTATGTAAGGGTACAGTTGGATGTCCATTAAAGCAGTAATTATGAAGTATAAGGGCTGTAGTTAAAAGCCCATTCTGAACAATAGTGGCGTGGGCAAAGCAATATACTAATATACACAGAAAGAAAAGCACTTTACCTTCAATACATTATGGAACTATCTATATTCACCAACTCCACCAACATGAATAGTGTGTTTTTGTTGAGTAGAAGAGGAGAGAACTCACAGTAACAAAGGGAGGACAAGCACATACACACCAACCTGACAACACAGACATTTCTATCTGTCTTTCTCACCTGTTTTAGCTGAGTGAACACAAACTCACTTCCCTGAATTGTAGGACCCACAGACAAAAGCAGCATAAGAAATCAAAAAAGTATAGGAAGTGTTAGTGATGAAAATACACACATTTTTTTAATTAAAATAATCCTAAAATTTTTTTCACTCTCATTGTGGTTTATTTTCTACTATCATAAACGATAAACCTTGGTGCCTTTGTTAACATTTGTATTAGTTTGTACGACCATAAACAAAAAAAATAAAAAAGCAAATCAAAGCTGGCATCTTTAACAGAAATACAATCATTTTTCTTAGTTCTCATCTTCATTTTTTTTAGAGGGGTTAGTTTATGGAACAACCTGAGTGATGATTATAAAGCATTATGTTTTTAAAGATATAGAGCTCTGGAATGAATGAATTATGCATTAAATTGTGTTTGTTTTCATTTATATTTTGTCTCTTATATGTACAGTTGTAAATGTAAACTTGTTGTTGATGTGCTGCTATCTGTTCTTTCTTGGAATTCTGTTATTGTTTAGTAGGGTTTGGTACTTTTGCTTCAGCTTGGACCCTTTCTGTCAGTGTCATGATCCAAGTAGTAGTGGTCTGGTTTGTTTTTGTTTTGTAATGCTGCAAAATGAACCAATTTAAAAAAAAAAAAAGAAGAAGAAGAAGAAAAGAAAATGTCACATAGCATATCACAGAGAGCTATTGTGAATATCTATTGTTATAATGATGTTACCTCCTGGACTTTTGTGAGTTGTGTGAGTAAGTCTGTATTGTTAGTCGGTCTGCATTCCTAAAGCTCCACATGCTCTGTTCCACCTCGTGATGTCATGAAGTAGGATTAAATTAAACTTCAGGTACACTTGACTGTCCCTTTATGGAGATTTGTCCTCTGCATTTGACTCATCCTTCAATGCCGCTGGGGCTACCTTGAGTAGATCTTGTCCTGATCTTGACCTCAGCTTGGTCAGAACTACTTTAGTTGGTGGACTGAGATTGAGTGATGTATAGTGTATATATAGTATGTATATGAAATCAATTTTTAAACAATCCAATCTCAAAAATTCACAATGAAAAGCTTAGAATCTTAGAATCATCTTAGAATCAAAAAATCATGAAAAGTTGGTGCTAAAAAGACATGATGAGTGACTACATTTAAAAGTAAAAATTGCACCTTTACCTTTTGTATTTCCTCTGGAGAGAGTAAACCCCCTGGAGAATTGAAGATCCCGCTCTGCTCCTGGTTCGACTCCGGTCCCACACCTCTGTCTGTATCTGCACTTTTCCACCTCTGTCTGTATCTGCACTTTTCATCCTCTCCTCCATCACTTCTTCCTTGAAAACTTGAATATTATTCTGCATTTCTCCACGTTCCTCCTCTGCCTCACCTGCTGTGGTCACTTTTTCCTTTGAATCACTTAAAACATTTCCATTACATCTATCTTGACGTTCCATCTTTTCATAGTTTTTTCCCAGTTCTTCATCTCTCCCTCCATCTTCACCTCCTCTTGTATCATCTGAATTACCCAGCTCAAACTGCTCATTTGTTTCTCCCACATTTTGTCCTTCCACTTGCATATCCTCCAACGTCATCATCAACATGCTATTAATAATTCTATTAAATTCAACCTCATCTTCTTCACTATCTGATTTCTCTTGCCCATTGCCTTCAGCTAATATTTTCTCAAGATTTTTTGACTCTTGTGAACTTGCTTCATTCACAAATTCACTATCAATACTTGCAGTGGTTTTGTATCCTGTATAACTGCCTCCTTCTTTTGTATCCTGCACTGTGTCATCCTCCCAAATTGGTTTTCCCTCTGCTTTTAGTTCAAACATACTAACATCAAAATCTCCGATAGACTCCTTCCTTTCAAAATCTATACTTTCTTTCGCATCGCTCGGTTCAATATCTCCTTTGGACATTTCTAAATAATTGATGGCCTTACAGTCTTCTCTTAGTTCAAACATGTTTACGTCTAAATCTCCGATAGACTCCGTTCTGTCAGAATCATTACAAGTTTCCTCACTTTGGGCCATTTCATCTTGTCCTACTCGATCCAGTTCATCCTCTGTTGAAGAAAACTGACATATGCTCACCAAACTGGCTAAATTTCTAACTTGCTCGCCTCTCTCTGCTTGCAATTTCCATAACGCTGCATCCTCTATGGCCTCTTCTGCACTCCCCACTCTGTCAAGTTCATCCTCAGAAGAAGAAAACTGTGTAGCACTGACTTGGCTAACTAGTTTGCACACTTTAACACCTATTTCTTCATCCTTTTCTTTCTTCGTTAAGTCTTCATCTAGACCTATTCTATCAAGTTCGTCCTCTGTAGAAGAAAACTGAGTAGATTTGACTTCCTGCTCGAGGCGGCAAAGTTTAAATTTCAGGTCTTCCTTTGGTTGTGTGTCCTCTTCCTCACTGATGCCCGCTTTGTCCAGGTCATCATCGGTAGAGGATAAATATAAGAGTCTAGACTGAGAAACTAGTTTGTATAATCGCTCCTTTGCTTCATTGTCAAGTTCAGTATCTTCAGTTTTGTCATCAGGTTCGGCTTCGTCCAGGTCCATATAGTCTCCACTGTTACTTTCAAGGACACTGTTTTGTACATTGGTTGAAGAGTCACTAATGCTATTATGACCCGCCAGTTGTTGTAGTTTTACAGTGAGTTCCTGGTTGATCTGATTGGCTCCTGGGCTGATGACGTCACTGCAGAGGTCAGGGGTCGTTGTTCCAGAGGTTAAAGTTTCAGGTGTGATGGCGTCAGAGGAGAGATGGAGCGTGTGGTCCTGTGAAAATAAAGTGACTCATATTGGTATTTACATGAATGTAAACAACCACAAAAAACAAAAAAAGCACTTTTCAAGGCTGCAATTTTTATGGTAGAAGGTCCGCCACCTGCTTGTCATTGCTTTGCCTGGGATATTTCACAAACCATCTACATGACGACAAGCAGGTAACACCACCAGACCAAGTTACAGGTGAGATCTGTGGAGAGGCTAGCAGGCTCAAAGAAAGAATGCATATTCATGATATTTTTGAGCAATAATATCTGTAATTGTTATTAAACTATTTAACTAAATTATTTGATATCTATACAATTTGGACTATGCCAAGCTTGAGAAAATGTTACTTCATTTTAGTTTCATATTTATTTGCTCTTTACTAACACTTTACTGAAGCTCACCTGTCCACATAAAACATTGGTCTCTCTTTTGCACCTCCTCTTCTTCCTGGCCCTCCTCACTCTCCTCTCCTCCGGATCCTCTCTGCTTTCTTCTTCTACCATTCCTCCCTCTAGGTTAAAGTTCACGTCGATGATACTTGTCCTCCGAGACGATGAGGGCTTCCTGATCTCCACTGGCACCTTCTTGTTTATCAGCGCCTTAGATTTCCAGTAGTTTCCCTCAGAATCCCTGCTCCCTCTCCTGTCTCCCACATAGTCCAGATCCAGGTCTTCCAGCAGATCAGATTGGCCCATCTTCTTGTGGATCTCTTTGAGGACCGCACCCCAGGAGCTGTCAGGCTCACAGTCAGAGTCCATGGCCTCGTAGGCTGATACTGCTCCAGACTCTCTCTCCAAAGCACTGTACACCTGAGACTTCCTCCTGCTCAGCAGACTGGGATGAGGAAGTTGGCCGCTCTGAAGGACTAGCCAATTTCCGTCTGGGCTTTTGAGCACTGGGAGGGACACAGCAAGGTTTAAGAAGAAATGAACAATACATGTATTCAGCAGGAAAAATGGGCTGAGACAAATATCTCACAGCATGGGAGGTGACAAGATTAAATGTTTACATGATTTATAATAAACAACTGCACAATGGCATCATGTTTTTGTATAAAAATATTTTGGGAAATCACCAAAAGTGTTTGTTTTTTTTTTCCTTCAAAACTTAACAAACCATCCTTTTCTGGGCGCAAGCACAATGCGTGTGTGAAAATGTTATTTTGTGAGATCTATCAATATTCAGTAGTCTGTACAGTACCAGAGCTGTCGAGTTGGTCGACGCTCTTCCAGGCCGACAGAGATGCGCCAGGACCCTCTTTCTTCAGACTGTGACTATCACAGGTGGAAGAGTCTGCTCCAATGTCCAACAGGGACAAAGAGTGGGTCCTCTGCAGACATAATGGACTGTATAAAATATATGCACAATATTGTTATTGTTGAATCTATCATGAACAATATAAGGAAGAGAATACATGCAAACATGTTCATGATAACTGAGGTTGGTACACATCTACAAATACAAAATTTTGTAAGATTTCCTTAAAAGTGAGTTTTCCTGGTGGGTCTCCACCTACTCTGTGTGGAGAAGTTATTACATTGATTGAAAAGTTCTAATGTATGGTCTTAAACGTGTGCATGTTGTGTTAAGTGACTGTAACTTGGGCTGATGGCATCACCTGCTTGTCTCCATGGGGAGAGACATGTTTGATGCCACACTGTAGAACTTTCCAAACAAAGCATCTTCATGGAGACAAGCACGTGGCCACAAGAAGATTTACATAAACTATGTACAAAAGGCTGACATCACTTTACATTACAAACTTTACAAATGATTCAAAAGGTACTCCTCCAGATGTTGCAGTGATATGTTTGAAAGCAACTGTTATAATTATTTTATTTACACCTGATGTCCTTTTGTTTCAACTATGACAGTAGCGGGAAATAATATAATTGCATTACTAAGACTTGTATTGTGGTTACCCAGAGTCCTTGCTGATGTGGAGGCACAGAGTGGTCGTAGTACGTGTGGGTTAGATCCTGGTCGTATTGGCTCTTGATCTGGGCCAAAGTCTTCCTGCGACTGATGATCTGAGCACACAGGATTATACAAGGTCAAATGTTAATCCAGAGACACGGCAAAAAAAAACAAAAAAACAGCTGCTGCAGAGGCGACATACAGTACAAGTGCAAGTCTTTCTAAAGTGTATTAAAACAGCAATACGCTTCTTTTTAGTATTCCAAATGTGTTTTATGACTGAACAACTCCAGGTTAAAGACAGCTTGTTTAGATTATAAACTGGGTTTCACAATGAATAAATACTTTGTACTGTAAAGAATGACTCAAAGTGTTAGCTACTTTTTCTACTATGGTAGTTGCCAGTTCTTCAATAAGTTCTCCTCGATGTTGGCGCAAATAGTGTGCTTCATTCTGCTTTTCCTAAAAACAAATGAAGCTACAATTATTACGTATCCATAAGATTATTTACACTTTTTTATGTAGGTGGTTTGTGTAATAGTGACCTGGCTGTAGGTGTGGACTTCAGCTTTGGAAATGGCTTCATCGATGGCTTCTTCTGCTACACGCCGAGCCACAGTCAGAGTTTCAGACATGCTGTGCTCTGGACACAGGAAACACACAACTCCAGTTCAATCAATACTAAAAAAAATATTATAAAAATACTTGGGAGGCATAAATGTGTTTGAAACAGGATACAAGTATCACGTCCCAGATACGACAGTAGGGGTGGGTTGGTAATACACCAATAACATACAGTATATGTTGTAATACTGTGATTATACTGCGAATATAACCGGACCAGCTGGAGAAAATCCTCCATCCTAACACGAGACGATCCAACCAAAGCTGCTAATTTGTATCACGTGGCTCTCAAATGCAGAAGACACCTCCTCTAAAATTTTGGCACTTAAATTGTCAATTTTGCAAAAATCTACACTCCTTTCTGGGTTTTTTTCTTCTTTTTTTTATGTGTAAGCAGCCATATTTGTTTTTGACGCTGATTGGTTAATCCGCCTGCCAATCATGCCCTGTGAAACTGGGGAGACATTATACATGATATGGCTTCAGATCCACTTGACTTTATAAAGTTTTGTCAAAGCATGTGGTTCTGACTAGTCAGGTAAGCAAATTATGTGTTACAAAGTGAAGTGGACTCTTGCATTAAATGATATACTTGTAGAATCTAACTTAACAGCTTGTGTTTATTTAGTTGATATGATTCACCTTCAGTTTGTCTGTAGAAGGTGGAGTCGCTTCCACAGATGCTGCCATCATTGCCGATGCTCTCCTCATAACCACTACCATCTGCGGGAACAAGGAAACATGTGAAGAGTGGAGAGAGACATTCAGCTAACTGTAGAACCCAGGAATCAAGGTCATAACGGTGTGGTTGTAGCAATATACTAAAGCACTTGTTCTCAAGCTACATAAAAGTAAAAGTACCACCTCAGAAAAAGATTTGGTTTTCCGAGTATAACAGCATCTAAACCAGGTCTTGAATGGTACTATTCCTGGTCTAACTAAGGGCTAAACCCAGTATAATTTTATATTACACCCCTAGTTTTAACTAAGAAATTACCCAAAGGACCAAAAACTGGATTTTTTTTTTTCTAGATTAAAGAAATATTAGAACTGTAGAAGACCTCACATCTACCCAGTAGTTAGAATGGACCTACTTACTATACTACCGAATGGTCATTTTAGTGTGCAAAAGCCTAAGATTTTCAAGCTTTTTTTTTTTTTTTTTTTAACTTTAAATAGTTCATAATGCTGTACAATGTCTTCTAATAACTCAGCCTATTTAGAGTGAAAAATTTCATGATGACCTCCTTTACTGTTCCCCCCTCTGAAAAGGCCAAGCAACAATACAGTCATTTGTGGTTATGTAAGTGCATTAGTGCAGCCTCGTGTCTGGCATTACTGGCCTTCTGTGAAGTACAGTGGGCCGCTAGGGTCAATTTTAATCATTTTAGGGCCAAAGACAGACGCTGCCCCTCTGATCGGCTGAGATTACGGAGATGTGCACTTAGTTTATGAGACACTTCAGATAATAATCCTCCAGGGGGCAGAGCAGAGGTAGGAATGCGAGTAGGGCAGGGGTAGCAGAATGAGGTTTGACCCCCTGGCAGATGGAACAGATAATGCAACGTGACAGTTTTGGCCCAAATTGGACTTCTGACGAAAGAGATGCTAACACTACGAGCTAAAGGGCTGTAGGTCACAGCTCTCCTGTAGGGTGTGTGTGAGTGTGAAGGTGAACACGTCTGTATTAAACCAATTCTTTATAAAACAGGGGGCACATTGTATGGAAAATGTATTTCTGTGTTTCAGAAACATGTTTTTCCTGTTATGGGCCAGGTTGGTAAGATTTTATTAATTTAAAGCAAAATGTTTTAAGGCAATGGTCTCCTAAATATTTGATTACTTAAAACCCCATGGAGAGTTCTGGTGAAATCTATGCTATAGCCCAAAGTCTACAAAGTTGTCCTCTATCCAATTTTACCGAGCTACATTTCTATTTATGTGTTGAGTAAGGTTGTCAAAGGTACTGAAAATAAGATTATGATCAATACTAAAACTAAACACTCATATGAGCAACTATTGGTACTAAAAAAAAAGTCACATTCACAGGACAGTCAAATTTTTCCTGAATAGCTTTAGAATGATCTTGAGCCGTATCAGAACAAGAAAAGAACACATATGCTCTGGGACCACTTTGGAAACATAACTGTGTAATCCTTTAGTCGCCCAGTTAAAGACCAGATGGTAATATAAAAGAGAGAAAGTACTATGATTTGAAAATCACTTTCTATGGTCTAAATAAAGACAGTTGGATTGTTTTTGTTCATCGTAATGGTATCGGAATCAGTATTGAGTATCAAGGCTTTTCCTTATAGTATCAAAGCCGAGTTTGAAATTTTAGTATCACACTAGTGTTATAAGGAAACTACAAAAAAGATTTGTTCTTATTTTTATATTTTTTTATTTAAATATTGGTTAATTGTTGACTAATTTTATGGCAGTTTTATAGTAATGTTATAGATTTATAGTAAATAAGTGTCATGTGACAAGTTATGTGTAGGCAGTCCATTAAATAAAAATAGCTGTAGTTTCTCTGTGTCCTTTAAAAACACGCCTCCGGTGCCCAGATCACTGCAGTCTGACCCAGATGTGTCAGTTTGGCTCGACATTACACCACACCTGACCACAGAGAAGACAAGAGCCTAAAACACAACTCAAACTAACACCATAAATCCTGTATCAGCGTAAGCGTTGTAACTAAAGTATACTAAAAGATTCACACAGGAAGAACAAGACTATATTACTGTTGATTTTGTGCACACAGACTGAATTGTTCCAAACCAATACAATAAATACAACTAAATATTTTGTCCTGATGCATGCATTTTACCTAGACTACTTTCACCCTTAGTATACTTTTTTTTTTTAAGTTAGATTATGCACAATAGCAGCTTCAACAGTCTATAAAAGTTAAACCAAATGTCTGCTGACCTCAACAGCATTTCCTCTGAAATCCCTCAGTTAAATCTGATCAGAGTTTGAACTATTGGCCTGAGATTCATGTCCATATGTGTGTACACATGAAGCACAGACCAGTCCAATATGAACATAATAATATGATAAAAAAGACTCAAAATGGTCCAGTGAGAATCATATTGAAAACACAACAATACATGAGCAAAATATCTGGTAAATTAGTATACCCAAGAAACATAGCAAAGAAATGCTTTCCATGTAAGAATTTCTTCATTTAGACCATTAGTGACTTCTTCACAATATTTTTTCTATGTTTTGGTCCTACATTATAGTTGTGACTTTGCCAGGTTTAAACCTACTTTACTCCCAGTGTAGTCATGATCAAATCCTAATTTAGTCCCATTTTAGGCTACATTCACACATGCTCCACATCAAAATCAGATCTAAACTAGGACTAAACCTGGATTAGAAGTAGAACAGGATTAAAACAAAACTGCATTAGAACTAAAGAATCAAACTACATAAGGTTTAGTTCATACTTCATGCTACTTGGGCTTGAGTACCATTGTATTTCAACTGTTGAATTTATTCTAGTCATCAATTTAATCTCACAGAAATTGAATTATACTTTGATAAATCTTTTTTTATTTCAATTCTCATTTTAACTATGATACTTTGGTTTGACCGAACAGTTCAGTAGGCAGGTGTAGGCAGACATGTGTGGCCGTACCTGTCAGCTCTGAGAGGATGCTGTGCTCCGTCAGGTGTTTCTTGTACAGAGTCTTTAAGACTTTAGCGCTGCCGAAACGTTTAAACCTCCTCTTCACATTAGTGTAGAACCACTCCAGGGACTGGGTCTTCAGCAGCCTGCAAAGAAATACTTCAAACTGTTTCTTTCTTTTACCTGACCATCTTTGAAAGTGCAAAAGGGCTATTATGAACTGCATGTATTTATATTATAACTACTCATTTTCTATGGAACTCACACAAATTGACCTGGTAAATGAGAAATCAATACTGCAAACTTCAGTACACAAAACATGTCCAATAAGCCTACATATAAAATCATTAGAAGGTACAGAAGACAGAATACCTTGAATTAATTAAAATCAATTAACTATATTAAATAAATAAAATAAACATAGTACCATCAGATCTATTCAACACATGACAGATATTCAGAATTCACTGCCTTGTATATTTGTTACATTACAAATAGTACAAGTATCATTCATGCCGCTCACCTGTGTTTCTGGCAGGAGGAGCAGAGCCAGTCCTTGCTCTTCTTGTTGTAGAGTCGACAGGCACGGCACACGTTGTATCCACAGTCTCCACACCGACGCTTGGGGTTCAGCAAAAAAGTGAAAGGGGCGCAGCAGCGGATACAACAGCGCTGGTTAAAACACGACTGAGTGGACAGCAGACGGCTACGACTGCCCTCCTCTGCCAACTCCTGCTTTAGATCACTGTACACAGAGGGGGGAGGAGAGCAGGAAGAGGAGAGAGAAGGACAAAGTAGAGAGAGTGAGTGGTCAGAAAAATTATTCCACTACAATCAACACAAACCAGGGTTGTTAAAAAAAAAAAAAAAAAAAAAAAAAAACTATACTCAGAGAATAATTGATGCACTAATCTTGAAACTAAATTCTCATTTGATATTGAAAAAATGACAAATATATTGGACATGTTTTACATTTTCTGAATAGTTTTAGATAGTATTTAAAAAGGTCCCATATTATGCAAAGTGAGCTTTAAGCCATGTTACAATGCAGTTTCCTCCTCTACAACATGCCTATTTGTTGTGCTGTGTTTTGTTTCATGCACGTATGTTTGAGTAACCAAATCTCAAAATGCTCTATTCCACTTTGTGTTGTCCTGAAGTGGTAGTTTTGTGGTAACTACCTTTTGCCTTTCAAGAGATATTGTCAATTCCTGGGCTAAAATCATCCAAATTATTCTAGTAAAAGTGTATAGAGTTTAAAACACAGTGGAGTACTTCTTTGATTACCACATGACATCACAAAGTGGAACAGTGTCTTCTGTTTGAGAGAAGCCTAAACGTGTGGGGTTTGTGTGTTAAACATGTGTGACTGAAACAAAACACAACTCCAGGTATGTTCATGATAAGAAAACAACATAATAACACAGATCAGAAAATAGTATAATATAGGCCCTTTAAACTACTGTACCAGAAACAGATTAAGATCCCATGATTAATATTAAATAGATAATTCATTTCAAATTAAAACAATTAATTTTAAAATAAATTCCTTGTGATACAGTAATATTACACCTTATGAAATTAAGTTTGTATTAAACAAAGTTGTCACGATACCAACATTTCAAATATTTTTCCCCCCAGTCAGCCAGTTTATACTGAGCAAGTGAAGTCTCAGTACTCAGTTTCCCATTAGATTTGTGAAAAATCAAGATTCAGTTCACATTTCACAACCTGAATGTCTAGGAGCCTTAATGCTTGAACACTGAAATATTAACTGCTCACAAATAAGTCATGCAGTCTTGACAATTTGCACCATTCAAATTACGATTACGTTATTTTTGTAATCTTAAGAAATAAAAGTCCCTTTACCATAGATTGTATTGTAGTATCTGAGAGAGTAAATAGTGCCACTAGAACGTCTGTTGCTTTAAATACACTTTCACTCAGTCTGTGATTCAATATTAAGCAGGTGCATATATGATTTATTTGGCTCCTGCTGCGCTGCTCCAAAGGTTAAGAGAGGAAACACTGAATAAAACATTCAGACTGCAGCAGGACATTCTCTGCATACACTCACACAAAGTCGGGCTTTCTAACACAAGCTCGGTTTGACAGTCAAATATAATCATTATTTCAACTCCTCTTTGCGCCCTGTGCGGTACCTTTGACTACTCATTCACCTTTAACTAATCATGAGCCTATGTTGTGTGTGATATATAATGTTAATTTAACATATCTATATTGTTTTTGCAATATCAACTATGGTAAATTATAACACTTATAATGTAAATTATACATTGTAAGTGTAATGCAATAATGCCTTGCAGCATTTAGTTTAACCTAGGCCTTCTTTGTTCTGCATATGCTGGTCTGGTCCCGGTCTGGTCCCAATTTGGTTTTGGTTTAATGTGGATTTAGTTTTTTTGTTGTTGTCCTGTTCAAGTCTTGACTCTTACAGTTTATATTTAAAGGGCCCATATTACATTGTTTTTTGACCCATGCTATAATGTTGTTTCCTCACCAAAAACACATCTGGAGTTTTGTTTCATTCACACGTTTAACTCACAAACCCGGAATATTTACGCTTTATTTAGTTCTTCTCTCAAACTGAAAACACACTATTCCATCTTGTGATGTCATGCAGTAATTTGAATAATGAAAAAAAAATCTGCGGACGTCTATGAACAAAAGCAGTCTTGAATGCTAAATCATTAATATGTTTGTGTAAAATTATGTTGGGTTTAGTCTTGCAAACCTTCACCTGTAGGAAAGGAAAGCCACATGTGGATATAATGACTCTTAACATGAACTTTCCAGCACAGCAAATCCATACTTTAGAATGATTTCAAACAAGGCTTAAAAAGACACTATTCACACAGAAAAACACGTAGCTCCGTGTGTTATTTTCCACCATACTCATTTATGCAGTTATAAAGATTAGATAAAGGTCTAATAGCTCAGGTGGTGCAAGTGCACACAGGTAGAGAATTATGCAATGCAGCTTGTTTTCAGTGACCCATCCTCGAGCACTAGAGGGCACAAAGGCACAGTTGAAAAATAATTTATTACATTTATTTATTCAATAATGAATCAAAACTGAAAATGCAATTAAATGTGTGTCAGTTTTTGTTAAATGAAAAAAATAAAAATAAAAGTGACCTAAACTAAATAATATGCATTTCTAAAATTGCACACTGCAAAAAAGGTTGCTGGATTTGAGGTTCAAAACTTATTCAAACCCCTCACATGTGAAAATGAGACAAATACAACTCCTTTTTGAGGAGGTATTCTAAACACGGCTTAAAGCTTATAAGAGTCAATTTAATTTAAAATTATTCATTCAGATGGTCTTCAAATATAAAAAACATTATATAGACCTTTTTGCTGCTATACTCATAGCTATCCCTTTAACTTTCACATTTCATTTTAGATTTGACACGTAAAATAAATTTAATCTATGAGGCAGAAATGACCCAGAGTATTGCTGAGAGCAGTTTTCACACAGTCCAAATGCGCTCATGCTCAAATGTTCGTGTGAGACATTGGTAATAAATCAGTGATGCATAAGTCATCTATAAATAGTCTGGGCGTTTTAACATCATCAGTTTCACTTGATGGAAAATATTTAAATAATGAATCCAGTGTTGTCAGTATTAAGACAACAAATATGTATTCAGCTGTAACAGTGATATAGAAATATATTTACATATCAAAACAAAGGACAGAAAGTGCAAGTCCTGTGATTACCTTAGTTAGATCGCCCCCTTTTGGATATCGTGTGTAAGCAAACTAATATCATTATAAACAACCGTGCCAGGGACTTCAAAATTACATGATTCAGTTAATCGACATTGACAAGCAAAGTGGATAACAGCAGATAACAGTGCTTCGCTTAATACACTTGAAGTCTGCTCATTATCAGATTTCAGGAGTTGTTAGATTATCAACATTTTATTACATGTGATGTGAGCAATCCGATTTCTTTTTGATGGTTTTGTCAAAGAAAAAAGGGCTAATCCATTGTACTTTGTCTTTCAAATACAACAGTTACTCAAAAAAATCTATTAAAAGCTCCTATATTATGCCAAATTGACTCACATGAGCTTTAAAATGTTGGCACATCCTCACAAACATGCCTGGAGTTGTGTTTGAAACAATTAAACAAAAAACAAGTTCAGATCAAAATGCTCTGTTACACTTTGCGATATTGTGAATGAGAAGTTTGCAAGTTAAGATCTTTTGTTCGGTACTGGCAACTCCAAATGAGGTGGAGAGCATTTAAAAACACAGTGGAGCGCTTCCTGTATATACATAACTTCACAGAGTAGAACTGTGGGTTGTTTTTTTTTCTGTTAGAAGAACTCCTAAATATGCAGGGTTTCTGTGTGTTAAACATGTGTGAATGAAACAAAACACAACTCCATTGATCTGAAAATAACCTAATATGGGCTCATTAACTTACACATGCTACTTATCCAATCTAATTATTGAGTTACCTGATTATTCTAGTCGCCTGATGTTTACTGGCCTTGTAAATGAACTCATTAAGTGGCTTGTTAAAACTGTTAACCTTATCCAGTGGTCTTTCCTGAAGCCTTCTAATATGAGTAAGCAGATTGTTTTCATTAGGAGCACGTAGCATTTCAGTGTTTTTTATGTTTCACTGTTGTTTTGGACAGAAATAAAGAATCTGCTCCCACCCAAGTCCTGTCTGCACTTGGCGAAAGTTTTTAATTTCTAAAAATGTTTGGCGGATGTTTACATGACAACGACAGGAAAGGGCTGTCACTTCCTGTCCAGAGCTTTAGACAATATGGGAGTTAAGAACAGAGCATGATGGGAAATCTCTGCTAAAGTCCAACAACCATTTATATCAACTTAAAAATTTAACAAACCATCCAAATGATAGATTAACTGTGGGATAGTTGGATTAGACAAATGTTTATATTTGCTAAAATGGGATGGGAAAAAAAGTAGTAATGATTTCAGTTACTAATCCTTTAAAGTCTACTTCATGTTATTATGTAGGCCATGTTGTGAAAGCCTATCCTGTACTCATAATCTTTTCCTTTTCTTTTTTTTAACTAAGCAGCTTATCATGCAAACATAAGAACTAAAACTATTAACATTTACAACTGAAAGTCCTTTCCCTTTTCTTTCAGGTGGTAGTTTATGTTGTTTCTCTAGGTAAAAACACAGTAAAAATATATTGCCTCAAAAATAAATGTGCGTATACAAGGCTCAAATGTGTGTTTATCTGACTATAGACATCAGTTTCTAGCTCTTCAGCACTGACCTGAGTCTCTCCTCCTCTCTCTTGCGCAGCCTCATGTCTCTCTGCACCACCTGTAAAACATGCGCCGCCTCCAGGTCCGACAGTCCAGACAGGTCCAGCTTTCGACCCATGGTTCACACACAAAACAAAACTGGAAAGCAAAAATAATCATATTACTACATGTTAAGTCAATAGACACTGTATAAATACAAAAATTATTATTTTGGGGCCTGGCTTGTCCAAATCATCACAACAATTACAATGATAGCTTTCTTGTGTTATCTCTGCCAAATGCCCTTCCACACTGTGACCATTAGCAATTTAGCTGAAGTGTCTTGCCAGGAAACACAAAAACTAACACTAGTTGGTTGTCTAAAGGTATGACTTTACATATCTAATGCCAAATCTGACTTTTTGTAAATGCTTTGTCCTTTATTTGTCCCACAATGGGGCAAACTACAAGAAAATCTGAAAAATAAAGAATATGTAGTGAGAAATCAAGGCGAGTAATTAGTATACAAGTATAAAATTAAGATACAATTAAATAAAAATAATTAAATACAACACAGTGCATGCAGAAAAGTATAAGTTTACCAAGTTATTGTTATGTGCAACAGGTGGCTGTGACAGTATCAAAACATTAAACAGAATATAAACAGAAACACTATCAAGAGAATGAAAGAAAAGTCTAATATTTGTCTTTAGTCATTTGTTTCACACTTGGGAGCCGTGGGCAGCCTCCATAAGCTCATAAGCCACTTTTCAGATTCAAAAATCCACTTACAGCAACAATCAAGGACTCGGTATCCACCAGATTAGCATTCCTCAATATTAAACCTACATGACCAGAAGTACACTTAATGGAACTACTTTCAATTCAAGATACTGAAACTATAAAATACACTACTACTATTATACAAGTGTAAAATTGGTAGTTATAATGTATGGAAGCTTAAGTCAGATATGAAATAGAAATGACAGGCAACATGAACAAAAAAGGCTATTGAACTCCACATCTTACCTTATAGTTTTCTTCCACTTTTATCAATGAATAACAAGCTTTCAACCAAGTCTCCTTTAAAAAGAAGTTAAATCCCAAAGTGTGTAGGTTCCACTGGCCTCCTGGAGTTGCTGAGTGAAGGAGGTGGAGCAGAGTTTCCTGTGGTGGTGGCAGAGGGGCAGGTCCTGAAGAGGTGGACTTATGATTCAGGATTTTTAACAGTGACAGGAACATGAACACACAAAATGTACAAGTTAAGAGAACTTTTTAATAACAAAAATGTGGAAAAGTTAAAGTTAAAGCAACAAAGCTACCAATACATTCAGCTGCAGCGGTGTTGCTGAGGTGAAAGATAAATTGTAGACTGTTGTAGTAATTTATGTTAAAGTAGTTCATGTAGTAGTTTAGTTTAAGTTCAAGTAGCTCCAGTCTTTCAACCTGCCGAGAGGGTACTGAGAAGGAGGTTTGGCGTGGCACAAACCGAAGTATCTGCACTGGGGTTTAAATTGAGCAGACTGGGCACTGATTTGACAGGAGGGGAGGGGTATTTGGAGTGAGGTTATGGAGACTGAGAAGCAGGTTATCTCTGGAGAAGACAGGAGAGCAGTTAGGTCTTCTAGGCTGAATTTATGCGAATTCTGTTTGTCATTAGGGCTATAGAGTTACCCACCAGATTAGAAAGTGTAGTTGCAAAACCTATGCCTGTATTGTATGGCCATTATTACAAGTATTTTTTCTTCAATTTCTATAGTGTGTTCTCTCCCTCAAAATAAATAAAAGTGCCACTTTACACATACATACATATATACACACATTGTTTGAGGTTATCTTGGATACATACAGTAGAGCAGCTCATAAATCAGTGTTGGATTGTAAAGTTACAATTCTATCTTCAGACCATAAGATGGAGCCAGAGAGCTACACTTAAACAACTTGTTTTGCCCAAAAGTAGAAAGTTATTCATAAGGGTGGATTTCATTAGATACAATCAGTTTAGAAAGAAGCCAAATAAACTTAAGACGCAATCTCATAATTACGCTGTTTAGATACATTTCTATCTAACCAAACCCCACCCAAGAAAACGGCCATAATGGTCCAAATAAAAGAACATGCACATAGTACCAAGGGCTGTTCATTTGCACCTCATCATCAACATGAAGAGTCTTACATTGATCTTGGTTTTGAGTCTCCAAGCTGTACTCATCCTCACTGCACCAACGGACAGCAAACTCCAGGTATTTTATCATTGAATATGGTTATGAAATGTTGATTGTAAAATAATTATCTTTTTTTAAATTTTAGGCAGAAGGTGGAAATGAGCTCCAGCGCGCCAACACAGGAGTGACTGGGTGTATGTGGGCAACGACTGGAGCGTGCAATATGATCCATGGAGTAAGATTATTTTATGACTGCTAACTAGAACTCTAAATGGCAATAAATATAAACTTTTAGTCAAGGAAATATTGGAAGCATTTTATTTGCTTCCGTAATCACCAAGCTTGAAACCAATTAATACCAAACGAATTAAGCAGCCTTACAGTTATAATTTTATTCTCATCTATTGTTTGACCATCTATGGCTATTTTATATGCACAACAAAAATGTATTATTATTATTATAATTTTTACAGATGTCAGAGCATTGAAATAATATGTAAACATTACATCTGATTTCTTTCTGATGCAACAATGGGACATTATTTCCACTTATCTGATACTTTACCTGGTCATGCAAAAGTAGCGAGTGATGTATTGAGTGTGTGTTTTTTTTTTTTTTCTTTCAGTCCCCAAAAAAGCCGGGACAAAACACACCAAAAAGGCGCCCAAGGTAAATATGTGGAAATTGTGTGTGTGTTTTTAAACATATGTAAACAAAATCTATACAAAACAAGTCAACACCAAATGTATTTTTCAACAAGGATCCGCCCACGACAATTTGGACCCATTAGGGTGTAAAACCAAGTAAGGACCAACTGTTGTGTATAGACAAAGTGTGTACAGGCAGGAATCCCATAACAAATTGCAATTGTCTTTTCACAGACACAGTACGGAGGATACAGGAATTCGGATTAAGGAAAAAGCAAGAGACAAAATGGAATTGATGAATATATTTTTAACATTGTACCTTTTATAACTATGTATTTTTTAAAACTATGAACCAGGTACTCTGTTCTTAATCATGTATTGAAAGGATAATGCATTTAGGCGTCACTAAATTGTGCATATTTGAAAATGAGCGGGTTTATATGTATTATATTACATTCAAGCACAAATATGAAATTGAAACCTACTGTATATCACAATGCTTTCCACTATATTGTTAGTGTCAGTGATGTATTGATTGACTGGTGACTAATAAAACTCCTTTCTTTAAACTTGCATTGTGATTTGTTTGACTCTTGTATTCTGCCTCCACCCTCTGACTCACTCCTTCCACACTTCTTGCTCTGTCTTCATTTCCAGGAGCTCTGGATCTCACATGAGCCACATTTTTCTGCAATCTCCAACGGTAAGACTCATAACATTTTCTATATGCACTGTCCTGCAAACAATTCCTGCTAAAAGCTTGTACTGCAGCATTTCCCTAATTTAACTAGTGAAGTGTGCAGTTTTAAATGAACCAACTTAATACCATACAATGCAGTATATAAATAATAAACTAAACCAAGCACTTAATAATAAAGTTTTTCTTTTTATTCAAATGTGCATGTCATGAGTCAAGGCATTAAGTCTTAAGAATTTGGTATTTTTATAGGTTTATAAGTGCTGTTTGTGGAACCTATAGATTTATTCTGAAAGAATAGATTGAAAGAATTTTTTTGTTTTGTTTAAAGTGACAAACATGCAACCTAAAAAAAATGTACATACAATATCCGGACAATGGATAGAAAAAGAAACTATCTGCATAAAGGCTTTATTTATCCTGGTATTATAGAAGATAAAAACGTGCAGCTTGATGTAATTAGCAGCCTAAACAGTAAGTCACTGTGAGGGGCTCCTTTTAATGGTCTCTCCTAATCCCAGTCTTACATCAAGGAAATGCTTTTGGGGCAAAACAGTTTATCCACAATCTGACAACAACATTTAAAACACGAAGACAACAACTAGACGACGCCAGTTGTTGACATTGATCTAAATTCAAAATAACCAAACAAGCAGACATTGTTTATAGAGAGAAAAGTTTGGAACGAGCTAAACCTCAAGTGTACAGCTGTCTTAATATTGACTCAAGGACAAACAGTTAAGTCCACAAAAGTACTGCTGAGAAATTGGGTAGATTTTAAAATAAGCTAATTTGTTTTCCAAGCTTCCTGAAGTTTTCACATTTGACTAAAATCACTCCTGACAATAAACCCCATGGCAAAATACAGTTTAAAGAGAACTGGCAACATAATTTTGTTGTGGTATTGCATAAAATCTATGATTGCATTTATAAATACAATATGAGAGTACTCCAGAAGGTTTAGATTATCCTCGGTGGCACCTGCCAAAAAAAGTAATTGTGTAATTCATTGTTTTTAGCCTTTTATCTCATAAGAACTTGTACTAAAGATAAGATTTTTTCAGGAACCTGTAGAAGAGGGTGGGGTCTGTAAAAACAGTGCAAAACTCATAAAACTCCTAACCCTAGTTCTTAAAAACAATGTCTTAATACTCATGCAGTGTTTGCCATTTACAAGGTTTATTTGCACTATATTTTCAGAGTAAAACACATAGATGTAGTGGTAGGCTATTAAATAGTAAAAGTCCTTATAAAATATCCATTTTCCTCTGGGGCCTGGTACCAAATGGCACATCTCCTGGTGTCCCATCAGTAATGGTTGTCTTTGCATCTGTTTTTTTAGCTTGTAACTCCCATACAAAAGTAAACATGTAATTCCTATGGCGCGTAAATCTGGAGTAACGAAAGTTTAATTTAAATCCCTGTTCATCCTTTTCCTTCTTACAGATCCAAAATGGAGGAGTTTGATGATGAGTTTTACTATCATGAAAACTTCACCTACAACTTCAGCTACGATGACTACCCCTCTTTGTGTGAAAAATCTGATGTGCGCTCATTCGCGGGGGTCTTCCTCCCTGTAGTCTATTCCCTGTGTCTCATCATAGGTCTGGCTGGTAACGCCTTGGTGGTGGCCGTCTACATTTACTACAAACGCCTAAAAACGATGGCAGATGTCTTTTTGACCCATTTAGCTGTTGCCGACCTGTTGCTTCTCTCCACTCTTCCTTTTTGGGCTTTCGATGCGTCCCGAGGATGGATACTAGGAGAAACACTTTGCAAAATCGTTTCCTCCTGCTATACATTGAACTTTACGTGCTGTATGCTATTATTAGCTTGCATTAGCATCGACAGGTATCTAGCTTTGACAAAGATGCAAGGTAGTGACAACTCTGGATGCTTAAGACACTTCAATAGGAAAAACTGCTGGAAAGTTTGCATTGCAGTCTGGGCGAGTGCTTTCCTCCTGGGCTTTCCTGATTTGATGCTCTCTGAAGTGAGGCATGCTGGGAATCGTAGTTTTTGTATAGCAGTGTACTCGTCAATGGGTAGAGCAGGTAAAGCCACTATTGAGATGTTTGAAGTCATTCTAGGATTTCTGATTCCGCTTTTAATCATGATGGTTTGTTACTGCAAAGTGGGACTTATGCTTGGGAAACTTCCAATTCAAAGTAAGAGTAAAAGGTGGAAGGCAATTCGTGTTCTTTTGATAATAGTAGCGGTATTTGTGATCACCCAGCTGCCTTACAACATACTAAAAGTGTACAGAACAATGGACACTATTTACACCATAGTGATTCATTGCGAGACCAGTAAAGTCATGGACAGAGCATCTCAGGTGACAGAAAGCCTGGCGCTCACTCACTGCTGCATCAACCCCCTCCTCTACACGTTTGTGGGATCCTCGTTCAGAAAGAACCTAATGAAAGCGGCAAAACGATTCGGAAAAAACAACAGGAGCAGACGCCAGAGGACTGAGGAAGTGGAGATGTCCTTCAACTCTCACAGCCAGTCGCAACAAACTGATTCCTTTTCTATTTGAGCGGAAAAAGTGTGGCGTGGAGGTTGAGGGTTCAATGTTTCCTAGACTGGCTGACTACTCAACGTATTGGTGTCTTCAGAGTGTACATTTGGGTGGTTTTCCACATCGCTTGATCCTAGTTTGATCCCAGGTTTAGTTCTGACATGGATATAGACACAAATCTTGTTATAATCCTGGTCTAGTTCCAGGTTTAGTCACAGTTTAGTCCAGTTTAGATTAGTGAGTGCCCTTACTGGCCTTTTATCCAGACTTTACGCAACCAAACACCCACAGCTGCTTACTGCTTGGATGTCACTGCTGGTTTGGACTTAAAAGATATTATTTTCTCATTCATATTCATCAGCTCATTTCTTTTAAGTAAACAAGGCAAGTCTTCTACTGGAGGAAATGGAGACCCACTTCACCTTATTGTTAGAGGGGTTTCCAAGTAGTCATGCCAGTTAACTAATACAAAATATTAACTTTTGTATAGACAAATGTGGCTTAAATAAGTAAGTTTTAAAACAGCAGCTGGTCTTTCAAAGGTTTGAAGGTCAGATAACACATGTGTGTATTGAGGCGGAACAAAAATGTGGAATTCATTTGAAAGTTAAAACTACGACTGAAATACCAACTGTGGTCTGTATTTGGTTTTGTGTAAAGTGTTGCAAACTGAACACATAATTGTAAATCATGTTTAAAGAACATCCTGACAAGTAATTAATGCTTTGCCTAAAAGAATGTGGGATTGTAGATTTTGTTTCTGAGTCTGCAAAAAGCAAACTGAACACTACCTTGAGTATATGACAGAGATAAATTACTAAATGAACATTTGATGAGTGACAGCACCAACCTTGAGGCTGCATTCTGGCTCAGCTTCCACTGAACTGTTTGGCTGGCAAGTCCAGAGTGACATCTTATCACAATCAAGTATTCAAGATGTATTTCGGATCCCAGGCAACTGAACTGCAACAAAGTGCACAAAAACTTGTACATTTTTTTTCCAAGCACATCTTTGTAAATATGTTGTGAAAAATGAAATAAACCTACTTTATACTCGTGGTGGGAAATGCTGGTCATAGTTTGAAGTCTTCACTAATAAATCAGTACCACCTGCAAAAGCAAAAGAGTAAACAAACATATGGGTCTAATTTTTCACACATGAAAACCATCCTTTGACTGACCTGAAACAAACTGTATGGGTTAATTCTTTCCTTGTTGCCTTTCCAAAGCATACCCTCTTAGGAACTTCACTGATTGTGGTTATCAGCATCCTGTTTATTTGTGAGATTTTGAGCACTTTCAAAAACACTTTCAGAAGGTTTTGTTTTCATTGCTATGGCATCAGTGCTATTCAATGCACAAGTTTTGGAGTGATGAAAAAATGATTGACAGTTAACATACTTGGCTTGGCTTGGCACAAAGGCATACCGTCTCCTGGGGCTGAATAGATAATTAGGACTCAAGCAGATCAAATATTTACAAGTCAAATATATTTATTAGAAAACTCTGCAAAGTGTGCAAAACAAAACAAACATAAAAAATCGTGTACAATAAAAAAAAACATAAATAGGAAAACAGGCCTTTTGGCACCAACATTTTCAAACTATACATTTAAATTAAATTATCAAATTACAAATCAGGCAGTAAATCATCGGCATTAGTTTCACATAACTAGGAGAACAAACTTATGATTTCTCTTACATTAATAAGATATTCCCAACTGAGTACAAAAAAAAAAAAAAAAAAAGGATGCCTAAATGGCAGTGTGGCAATAATTTAGAAATGAAAACTTTAAGGCAGTTTTACTTATTTTGTCCCTTTTCTCATAGATAAATGTAGAATGTCAAATATATTATTCATATGAATACAATTAATGCATTATGAAAATATTTTGAGTCATACCCTGAACTTTAATTTAAATACTAAAAATGCCAATACTGAACATTCATAGATTCTTGCAATATTAACTCAAGGACAACATTGTTCATAAACTCTAGAAATCAAACAGCAGTCTTTTCCACAAAACTAAAGTGGAACAAGTACAAAAAAGACAAAGTGCGGCAGGACAGGAGAGTAATCTGAGCTCACCTCGGCACAGAGAAGCTGCTCTTGGGAATGCTGTCAATCCAAATGAAACAACAAAAGCTTAATTTAGTCTATAAAATCTCAAAGGGTCCAATTGGGGTCACAGGTATCTTTTAAGCTTTTCTGTCCTGAGTAGAGTGGTTAAGGTTTGAGTGGCCAAAGTGCTTCCCAAAGACAACAGTACCAGGGAGCAGTAGTAGTAGTAGTAGTACTTGCAGTTCAGTAGAGTGTAGTAGTGGTACTTTTACTTCAGCAGATGTACTTCAGTAGTTGAGGATCTGCACGTCAAAGAGGTCACATACTCCCTCATGATCATCCAGATTAAAGCTGTAGTCCATACCTTTGTATAGAGAGATAAGAGCAGGAGGATAAGAATACACCTCTATGACTTAAATGTGATTTCTTGATAAACTATTTAGCTGATAAAATCCCCAAAAGCTCAGTCTGCACTTACACATTGTTAACAATTTAACAATACTGCATAAGTTTATAATACATTTTACATGAACTATGCCAATTTTGAACTTTTGCAACAGAAAAACATTGGACACATTTTGGGGACATACTTTTACATTTCTATGATTTCTGTTAAACCCTCATTGTGTATCCTGTAGCCAAAAAAACCTAAATAAAAGCATGTTTAATTCATTTTAGATGTTTTTGTTTTGCTGAGAGAAAAAAAAAAAAAAAAGCATCCATCCTTAAAGTGATCCCCCATGCCCCTATGACATTCCAAAGCATGGCATGAACTTTATCTCCACTGAGAATATTTGTTAACTTTCCATTTCCATGGAATCAACACCTCCAGAAAGTTATACAATGTTGCTTTAAGAGAAATATAACTAAAGAAACACCATGACCTTACCATCAGATGACATTAGTTCGTCAATGAGATCCACAGCTGCTACAAAACAGACACAAACATGAGATTAGACATGATAAGCCCCAGAATGCACTGCTCTTTAGGCCCGAGTGTTGTACCCATGCGCTCGTCCTTGAGGTGGTCCGTGGCTCCACTCAGTTTCAGTAAGTTGCTCATGTCCATCACAGGCTGAAACTCAGGTCCCACCAGGTCCATGTGCCTCTGTGACAGGCCCATGGAGGCATCACTGTGGCACTCTGCACAGGACACAGTCAACAACAGAAGAGAAACTAAGAATACACAGACGCTTTGGACCATTAAAACTTTTACAGATACTACTGTTAATGACCTGCTTTATTAAGCAGTATTCTCTGCATCATATTTACTTACACAAACCAACCTCTTGCAGTTACTCTGGTTTACCACTACATATCTACCGAAATGTTCTTCAAATTTAAAAAGGTGCACAGTGTAACTTTTTAGGCTTGTCTTCGTGGAGATGTTGCTTTGTCTAGAATGATGTATGGTATAAAACTTCTCCATCTTGCAGTAATTGAACTCTTATACAGATATGAACTGTAATTTGGCTTGTCGGAGTCACCTGTTTTTCTCCTTTCTCCTGTGCTAAGCTAGAGAACATTTCAGACAAAGCAATGGCATCTATACAAAGACAAGCAGGTGGTAGACTCCTACAAAAAAGTTACACAGTTAAACCATTCCAAAATCAGTGTATGCATTTATGTGTTGTCCAATATTGCAAAATTGCAAAGCTGACTCATAAAAAAAAAAAAAAAAAAAAAAAAAAATGGTCTAAGAATAAGACTGTAAATGAGTCAGATCCCAAAAAAAAAACAACTGCTGATGTGACAGTTATAAATCTGCTTATCTCACCAAATACAAATACTGTAGAATTTCTCAAACTCATCATATTTCATTGCAAAAACTTAAACTAAATTAAAATAACAGGGGTTAAAACGTATCAGAGAACATATTTTCAGTTTTGACTTGTGGCTTGATTTAGCATCATGTAAATTATGAACAGAAATCCAAGAGTCAGAACAAGTTAAGGCAGGCAACCCATCTGAGTCGGAAGCAATGAGTCACAGGATACATTTATGGGAAAATCTTGAATTTTTTTTTTAGTTCCTGTTTTTCATCACTTATCACTGACCCTATTCCTTCTGCATTATATAGGCGTTTTTTGTTTCATTTTCACTCCAGGATTAAAAATCAATCAAGCTTTGACACAAAAAAGCAAATATTGTGTCTTGTTTTTTTTTTTTGTTTTTTTTTTTGAGCTGATATAAGAGTTCAAAATGGGGGAAAGCAAGTTCCCAAAAATACATTTTGTAAAAGGTAATAAATAGAAGAAAACCTGATGAGAGAGTATTCCATCCAGAGTTGGGTTAAGGGTTAAGAAAAGGTTAATATGAATGAATATTAATTTTACATTAAATTTAACATTATCTTCTTTATGCTTATAGTCCATTTATACAAACATCACAGACATGGGAGCAGTGCACTTACCCATGTGCAGGTCCGGAGGAGTGGAGGAGGGCGTGAGCACCTCTTCATGGTCTGTGAATGCCATCTGGTGGTCAGAACAGAGAGAGTCCTGGCTGCAGTAGGAGAAGGAGGCCTGAGAGGAGAGGGGGAAGCGCTGCAGGCTGGCGGGGGTGTGGGGGGGTGTGGGCATGGGGCATAGTTCGTCTGTGGGGGGCACAGAGAAGACCACCGGAGCAGAGCCATCACAGTCTCTGTTAATGAGCATCACTTGAATGGGAGCCGTGTGTGAGCACAGATTCACCTGGTACTTCTTCTGGCCACTGAGACTCTGGAAAAGAAATAAGAGCATGCATGTGGTTTAAACATATTCAGGAGTACATACATACACTATACAACACATCTGCCACTTGCTTGTGTCCATGGAGAAGTAACTGGTTGTCTAGTATTTGATACAGGATGAAATTAAACGTGTCCATCTCCATTGAGACAAGCAGGTGATAAATCCAAACCAAGTTAACAGTCAGTTGCATTTTCAAAAATGACTAACCATTTCGGGAAGAGGAACTTCGAGCTGTGTTCCTGCAGGAGCCATGACGGCGAGGAGAGTGTCTCCACTAAAGGCGTTACAGATGTCTTCATGTGTCACAAACTTATATGTGAACCCGTGTTAAGGTCCTGCTGCAAACTGCACATTCACAATACTGGAAAAACTGCCTGAGATTAGCCTGGCTCTTATGTTTCTTCATTCAAGATAATAATTACAGTAATCATTCTCAGTAACGCATAACTAGGAGTCGTATTACAAACTGTAAAGTGGTTTAGTGCAGACAAAGGCAATCTAAACAGGAGCAACAGTACAAGAGACAAGGTCAAGAAATTCAGAAGTTTTATGTTAAATCTTAGAGGTTTTGAGGGAAGGATACTATACCATTTTGAACAGATCATTCATTCCAATGTAAGATTCAATTTGTAGCTTATTACACTGATCTCTGTATTTGACCTGTCCTTCAGTGTTACTCAGGCAAACTATCAGAAGCAGTCTGGAAACCCAACTCCAGATCTTGAGCTAGGCTTGGTCAGGAACTTAGCTTAGCAGTGACACAGCAGAGGTCTAAAAGTTTCAAAGTGCTTTAACTGTAGCCCTGTGTCCCATGTGTAAAAGATATTATTGATTATTTACAATATCACCACATGACAAAAATAAAAATACAATACAAAGTTCTCCATATGAAAAGAAACAAGAGTTTTGAAAGTAGATGTAAAAATGGCAAATTTTATTCACAATTTACTTATTGTGTATTCCTTTAACCCAATTTGGTCTTGGTACAAGTTCTAATTTTGCTTAACTTATTCGTACAGCATATACTTACCAAATTTCTTTGTCTCATATCATGTGGCCCTTATAAAATATATCAGACTACATTGCATTCAAGTTTATTCTGTGTGAGGCTGCATGCCTGGTGGTCATATATTATACATTATATAATATGCGACCCCCGACCAACACTGATTTTACAACTTTGTCCCCTGCTCTAACTGAGTTTGAGAGCCTTGATTTTGGGTAACAGTACGTTGCCCTGTGCAAAGGATATGTGGCCACAGTGGGGTCGTTGCTGAGCTGTTGGATGCTCTCCTCGATCCAGGCCTTCTGTCGGTCCAGCTCCAGCTCCTGAGCCTCCAGATCAGAGACCTGACACTTCAGCAGCTTCACCTGTTCTACCATCTCGGGGGTCTGATTGTGACAGCTCTCACCCCTACACACAACAGATACACACAACATACAGGCTGAATTTACATGCTTTTTGGGGTTATTGTGTTGACGTCTAGTAGGGTTGCACAATAAATCACAGAAGAATCAAATATTGAGTTGGCCCAATCATCAGACCACAAAGGCTGCAATTATTTAGAGGACTGTCCTCTGAAAACCACAGGATCACTGTATTAGGTTTTGAGTTCATATTTCAGTCTTTCAGTCGCAAATTGCTGATATTTTCTCCAAAATCAAAAAGTCCTGCCCATACTTCGTTACATTTCCTTTACGAATTCACAAATAAAAATGCCTTATTAAATACATTTCCAAACAAATATGTAAAAGGAACAGAATTCTTATGCTGTAAGGTTAATCTTGTTAATAAATAAAGCAGTATAAAGCTGTGAGTGACAGTGTGAGAATTATTATTGTTGAAGTCAGTAAAAAAAAAAATTCAACACAAGTTCATAGCTGACCTCCACTGAATGATGTTCTTGTTCTTCTTCTCGATGAGCCCCACTCCCTCCAGCACGTTTGTAATGTCATAGATCCTCCTCTTCTGCTTCACAGCTAAACAGTCTGCAGCCTGTCACACGATCACACAAACAAGTGTTGTTAAAGAACAAGAGATTATAAAAAAGCTATAGTTTACAATGGAGCTGGAGGACGGGTCAGAATTCTAATGGTGGAATTTGCCGTTTATGTGTCAGACTACATATTTAATTACCATGTTTATAGTTAATATCTCAGTAATTACTGGATGTATCTTCGTGAAAACTGGCAAAAATGTGTGCTCTGTCAGTATAAACAAACAAAAAGGGAAAAAAAAAAACATTTTTCACTATAGCCTCAGAAAGTGGGGTCAACCAAAAAGAAGTTATTACTGTGGGCTGAATGGACTTTAATCCATAAGATTAATATGCCAGGTTTGCAGGTCAAATTACTAAAAAATAAGAAGGTTCAAGAGAATCTCCCATAAGGTTATACGGCTTCTATTACATGCAACATTTTGAGGACTTTTTTCCCATCCAAACAATGTTATATATCGCATTAATTGTTAATCTCAATGGAAACTGCTATTGTTTTTTTTTTTATCATTCTGAAACCCATGAAGATGGAGGGCCCCTGCCCTCCACCTGAAATTATAACATTATCAAATCGAACAGAGCATTTAATAGAGATCCCAGTTCCTCTGATTTGAGCCGAAGGCGCTTTTGTGATCACTGGAGGCAGGTGTGGAGGCAGGGACTTGAGGATTGCAAACAAATGAGGGATTTGGTGAATTAAGCAGCACAAACAGCAGATCAGCAGAGCACTGTTATACAAAGGAGAGAAGGAGGAGGTGGAGAGACCTGCTGTGTAAACATTACCAGGCTTTGGCGCGAAACAAGAGAGGGAAAACCACTGAGCAAAGACACTCAATTAAAGTCAAAGAAATCTGTGGCTGCAAAATCCACACTTGACAAATGCATTGTTCGAGAGGCCCAAGGCTCAGTTAATAACGTTTATCCTTGTTGTGCGATGACCTCAGGTTGATCCAACTGACAAGACTGACTAAACAGAAAACTTGAAATAGAACTGATGCAAGAAAAAATATAGAAATGTTTGCAGATGAAATAAAATGCTAATTTATGATGATGCAAAAGCACAGATTGGAAGAGGAGACCGGAGGGCATCAACTTTGCCATTGTGTGAGTGCTTATCTAAAAAGGCTGTAGCCAATTCATCTTGGTAAATACTCTGTGGTAGGCTGGAAAAAAAGAGCGGTGAAGAAGAGGTCAGCTTAATAGCACAGGTAAGCTAATACACTGTTTTTTGTAAATTTGGCTCATGATTTGCAGTAAAATATGAGCTCAGAGACTGCACTACAGTAGTGAAACGGATGGCATTTTCAAATAAAGCAGAGTTCTGTAATTTTATACTGTATAACAGTATGCACCTCCCATAGGAACCATGCATTTCCATTTTATAAACTCATTATTACAATAATTATTAATTCATATTATGACTTTGCCCTTTTTAATTATAGCTCTAAAAATAAACACTGTTAAAGTGCCTATGACAGGCTGGACGACTCATTTCACTAAAACATTAAATAACATAAAATAAACACAGTAAATACCATTATATTGAAGATTTAGCTAAACAAAAATGTTTAAATGTTCCTGGTTGGCCATTTTTTATGTTTCAAATTGTACTTCCTGGTGGAATCATGACATCATTCTAATAAGGTCCATAACTTCTACATTAGCAACCATGTACAGAACGCCAAAACTCTAATATACACATAAATGATTATTTGGCAAATAAAACTATAAGAAAACACCATTATTTTGTCAAAAGAATGTTTAAAGTAAACTAGTTTCTTGCGTGAGATTGTGCTCCCGTTTTGGACAGAATTCTACCAAGTGTGATGTCCTCAATGTAGAATCTCTAAAGCAGAACTATTTTTCAACTTTTCTTCACAAATTCCTTCTTAATCGGTGTAAAACTATAATTTACATTTACAACAGGTATTATCCCACCAAGTCAAAATTAGAATAAGACAAAAACCTGGCATACGCACTTAAACATTACGGTCAAACAACAATCACAATCAAGAAAGATCTAGAAACCTTTTGCTTCATACTTTCCTTTCAACAATAACAGACTGGCCAAAAAGTATTAAATTAAATCTGATAATTAAATTGTTTATTTGATTCTATTATAAATGACAGTTTGAAAAATCATGTAAACACACACCGCACACCCTTGCTAACATTACTAAACTGTTTTCAAATTAGCTTTAATGTACCGTTTTATTATTATTGGCTTGGTTAGTAAATTAGACTGTCCCACATGGACCAGTCTGACATTTTTTGTATATTTTGTATTTTTTCCATCATCAACAACAAGGGCTATGCTAATGGAGGCTGCTAATCCACCTGCAGCCCAAATCACTGCACCTGACCCCGCAGCCTTTTGTTTCACTTTGTTCACATCTGTCGCTCAGAGGAAGGCCCAAGATAATACACCCTTGAATGAAACTCAAAACATTTTACATTTTTTATTTCACTGACCACTTTTAAGTCCAACACGCCGTCCTTCGCTTCTTGTAGCAGACTCACAAACTTCATCGTAAGGAGACCCAAACTTTTCTCGTGTCGGCTCGGAGTGGATCGTACTGTCTCCGTGGCTTCAAACTCCATATTTCTTCTATAAAACAACTTAATTTGATGTTTTTGGACGCTATTAACCTGTCTTAACATACATTTCTTCGTATGCAGCGTGTCTTTTTTACCTCAGTTTGGCCGCTGTGTGAAAGTACCTACGCGGATTTTAAATGGACGCACGTTACGTTAGGTTAGAGCTGTTGCCAGGGAAACCGCGGTCCAGTTCAGGCAGGGGCGCGTCCCGATTCAGCTCACTTGCCTCCTCAACATCTCAAATTCTCGATTCCTTAACTTGTCCATCACGCCCACTGCGAGAAAAGAGCCATTGACGAAGGACGCAAGTCGTTTTTTATTGGTTCACTCTCCTCCATGGGCGGGATTAATACCTGACGGAAAAATTGGGAGTTCGAGGAAATAAGTGTAGAGTTGGGACACAGCCTAGCCCCGTCCCGTTTCTTAACCCGCCCCGCCCCCTCACACTCCAGACATGAGTGACAGCCCCCACTTAATTTAATTGGCACAGTGGGACCAGTGAATAGGAGACAAAATTATAGTCTGTAAAGGATTACGGCGACCAGATATTCCTTTAATAATGTCAAAACAACTAATTGGACAAGACTTGCAGATGTTTTTATCACTTTGCTGATTTGAGAATGTAATAAAATGTGTATTCTGCATTTTAACTAATCAGTCATTGCTTTACCTGTTGCTTTGGTATTAAATAAAAATGTGATACCCATTGGTTACCTGCACCTTTGAATAAACACTGATAACAATACAGGCACTAAATGGTAAATGGTCACATTTTTAAATAGTGCTTTTCAAATTTCAAGGCTCTCAAAGCAGTTCACATCAAATAATTACTCACCCATTCACATACATTCACATTCATACAACAATGTACACGGGGCAAGGTGGGTTTAGTGTCTCAGCTAAGGACACAACAACAGCATTCAACTGTGGGAGCTGGAATATGACTGCTCAACCAACGATGTTTATGTTGACAGCACCAACCATATTTTCAGTCATTTAATTTAATAGATACATCTTATATACAATATTTAAGACCAAAAAAAATACACATTTCTTATGTTAGCATTAACTGAACTCTCTTAGCACACTGTTGAGTCGTTTTATTTTCTCTTCCATGACTCTTTTCTGAGCACTCGTCTCCTCCAGCAGCTGACGCATCTCCTCCTCCACATCATAAACCTGCAAAACACAGTCCTTGAGTTGTTTTGCACCAGATGCCCTTCCTTATGCATGCATCTCCCTCCATTTACCCAGAGTTGTGGTACAAATACAGTTAACCATTTGATCCCATGTGGCTAGAGGCATTGTCTATTGTTCAATTAAACAAATAGTATAGTGCAATGAGAAGCCAAACATGGCCTTAACCTAGCCACTAACCTTTTTCTTTACTCTTACTTCAATGCACCAATTTCAAAAGTAGGGCTACTCTTTTTTCCTAGGCTGGATACATCAGGGAGGGCATCCAGCTTTAATCAATTTAATCAAATATTAACTGCTCCATGAGGTCGGTCATTTAATGTAACAAAAAAGGAGAAAGTTAATGGGGCTCTAACATTTCTTGCGAAGGGTCTGGCACCTGCTTAATGTCTTAATGTCTGGGTGTCCTGAAAGGCGCTATAAAATGCAATGATTAATGAATTAATTAGGGTAGTTTTGCAATAAAATAAAAGGTAAATAAAAATACCAGTTTCAAAAGTAAGTGTACTCTATATCTAAGACTCTGAAGGCTGGATAAATGATAGAAGAATACACCAGGGAGGGCACTGAACATAATCTGTAGTATTTATAATCTAACCCTCTGATTGGCTTGCTCTATCAGTTTCTGCTTGTCTGAGGCCAGTTGTAGCAGCTCAGTCTGGTGAGTGACCTGAAGTGACTCCAGTTGCTGTCTGAAAGCATCATCGATATTACGCAGCTTCTCCACTGCAGCTCTGCAAAATGACAAGACAGGACAAGACAGCTGTTCATAACGTTTGATCCAAATTAGTTTAGAAGACATCATTATTTCAGTGAGTACATCTCTTTTTAAATGAGCATTAGTCGTACTTTTGTGCTTCAGTGGCTTTATCGCGTTCTTCGAGCAGCAGTTTCTCTTTTGCATCAAAGTTTTCTTTCATTCGTTTTACTTGAGTTTCCAGTCGAGTGAGAAGTTCTGCTTTGTCCCTCCACTTTCTGCTGGATTCACTGAGAAAAGACAAGACACAATTTAATTAGCAAAAAACTCTGATGTGCTGTAATTGTAGAAGGAAAGTACAAATCTAAAGATTGTTTTGAAAAAAAAAACAAAAAACTTTTCAATTAAATGTTTTAAATCTTTCATCACATAAAAAAAAAAAGAGAACTAATCTCAGTTGAGATTTAGAGGATTCTACAGGTAAAAGAATAGACCAGCAATAGGCACTGGCAGTAGTAAAGTGGTAAGTGTTCTGAAATAGGAAATTTTACTTTGAAATATTTTATTAACTTACCAGTAATTTAATTTTTTTCTCAAAATTAAATCAGGATTTTTTTTGCATTTACTGCCATTCAGAGTTCTAATATGTAGACACCTATTACCACTCGAGTCTCATTGATAAAAACTGAAAATCATGAAGAGTTATTGCAGTTATTATCTATGAACTTAAATTCCCTGAATTTGTCCCTCCATGTCCCATCATATATAACAACTTATCTGTCTCTTCCTACAATTTGAGGTTGTCACCCTGAACTGAACTTCCTTTCTCTCTGCCTGGCATGCTATTGTCCAAGATTGATGACACTATAGGCCTAAATAAAATACAATTGTAACCCTAGACTAGCCTGATTTATTCCCTCCCTTTTTTTCACTTTTATATCCATTTCTTGCCTGTAAACCCTCTGGACTTCCTCTAGCTCTGTGTCCTTATCTTGCAGCTGTTGCTTCAGCTCTTCCTTGCGCAGAGTGAGGCATTCCACGTGTTCTTTGAGTTCTGTCTCTGTTACTTTGAAAGAGTTTTGGGCCTGGGCAGACTCCTCGCTCAGCCTCTGAATCTGCTCCTCCCGATCCTGCAAAGACTGCACCAAAGAGACAAAACAAGTCAAGGAAATGTTGAAGAAAAACTGAGGGAAAAAATTAATATTATTCAAATGTGATTAAATCAATTAGGCATACAATGAGTCTAATGTAATTTTGTATTGTGTGTTGTTATTTGTGTTTTTATCAATCAATATTAAAGATGCCCTATATAAATATTCTGTGGAGGTGGAGGAAATTAGCTTAAAGTTTCTCATAAAGTACCTCTTTAAGTTTGCGTATGGTCTCTGTCTGGTCATCAATGATTTTGGCTTTTATTCTGAGGGCGTCGTTATCTCTCTCATTTTGTTTCTTCTGTGTCTCCAGCTCCGTGGACAGGACCTCAATCTTGGCCTCCAAACGCCCACGGTCCTGGGCTAAAGAGGCTCCTAAAGCCACAAGAGAGATGGTCTTGATAAGGGCTAGGGGCTTTGAGCTAGCCTAACTTCAGCCTGGAAGACCTAACTTCGCTCTCGTCTACCTCACCACTTCTCCAGAGTTTCCCTGCTCCTCAGCCTTCATCACCTCACTTAAAACACTCCTATCCATCGCTCGCCGCACCTCCTCCTCGTCCAATCAGCACCCAGTCTGCCCACTGTAGATGTGCGGCCGCTTCAGTTTGTGCCATCCTTTAATCGTCCCCTTCACTGTCCTCTGCCTCACCTCTACCACTCTCAGTGTCCAGGCCCCAGGAAGACATCTCCTAAACATCTTCTAATCGGCCACACAGCCAAACCTTCATCACTTCTGCCAGATTTTGAGCGCCAAAGCTGAACTCATTCAATAAAGCTACTAAAACTTTCACTTTGAGTCTCTTCAGGTTGGAATACTATTGTACTTGTTATGCATTTTACTTGGTTATTGAAGCCTCTCAAAGAGTTGCGGTAATGGACAGTAACTGAATTCCATCAGTTAACAGTGATTTCATAATGACATTGGCAAACAAGATGAGGAATAATGCAGAAAAATGTTGTTATGCAAAAAATACTGTTCCAGCTCAAATTGTGACAAAACACCCAAGCCCAAACATATTACCGGTACTTTTCCCAGACTTTTCTTTGAATTTTATACATAGATATGTAGTAGTCAAAAGGGCAACTATACTTCTCTATCTGAGTGGGTGACCGCTGATCAGGCAGACCAAACCTTCTCTTAGCAGAACAAATCACCATTATTTGAGTCATAATTGATTGCATCAGATTGCTTGGGACAGAGTGAGTGCACATACATATTATTCAAAACAATTCTTTTTTTTGATAATTGTAATAAAGATAACTTGCATAGCCCACTCCCCAGTCATTCTTAAATACTAGAGTGTTGTGTCTCACCTTGTTGAGCAAGTTCTTGTCCCCAAATCCTCCTCTCTGCTCGGAGCCCGTCGATCACAGATTCCTGAGCTGTGAGCTGAGACAACAGCCTGGACTTGTCCTTCTTCAGGAGCTCCAGCTGCACAGACAGACGCCGGTCCTGCTCCAGCTCTGACTCCAATGACTGCACACGGCTCTGAGGACACATGGCTAATTTTAACACTAACTTACTTTTATGGATGAATACAACATAAAAATGCTACAAAAATGTGTAATACATTTTCATAATGTTGATAGAAATGCTTGTAACTAATCTTTTTAGTATACCAGCCAATTTTTGAACCATAGACTGTATGAAGAAGTAGACTAAGGACTGTGACATCCCCCATGGCCTTTGCCTCCAATAAAATGAGGCTCATGAGGTTAGTAATATAGGAGCAAATCTGGAGTCAAGTTCCATATTAGGAATAGGAATTTATTTACAGACAAAATAGTGCAATAAAAACAACAGGCAAGTACAGAGCTGTGGGCAGGGATAGGGGTTCGGTGAGAACTTAAATTTTCTAAGCACTCAATCTTCAAATGATAGATGGATATAACTAGAATGTGGTTAACACCTCATGAAAGTTGATTTTACATAATAATTCCCTTTAAAACTCAAACATCTAAAAGGGACCTGAAACACTTGTATAGATCATAGGCTACAAACAATTTGACTTGTACCTTGAGCTCAGTGACGGCCTCTCGTTTGGTTTTGATGAGGCCGGTGATGCGGCTCTTCTGCTCTTTGACCATAGCTGTGAGCTCCTGGACCAGAGCCGCGGACTTCTTCTCCCTCTGCTGTGAATGGGAAAGGGATGACCTCAAATCTGTCAACTCTGCACTCATCTGATCACACGCCTCTT